TAGCACAGATCTTATCCTTATCCTTATCCTTATTCTCCTTAGCTTTTAAGGCCTTCTAAATAGTAGCCCGGCGAATTATAAGAACTTATATATATTATAGAGTTAGCCTCGCTTAGTACTTTAATATTAATACCTTAATACTTTATTATTCTAATACTATAATATAAGGAAATACTTACACGTGTACTCTCTAGGAGGGCCTAGGCTACTAAGTAGCCGGCGAAGAGTTTAGTAGCGCGAGTAGGGGTAGCGATATAACCTGATTTATTATTTTTATAATAATAAAAACAGCGCGAAGCTATCTCTTCGTCGCGATAAGGGTCGCCCGGTATACCCTGTAAACCACCGCGAATATAGTAGCTATAAGGTATAGCACGGATAGCCCCTACTATAGCAGGGCAGCAGGCAGGAGTTAGTACTAGTACTAGTAGTAGTAATAGTAATAGTAGTAATAGTAGAGTAGCAGTAGCGAGAGAGCTATAGCAGCTATAGGCCTATTTTACAAGTATTAGCGTAGTTCTAACGATTCCTTATAACACTAACTATATCGGAATCTTTAAATTAATAACTTATAGTCTTCTTCTTTACTACACGAGCAGTAGCGAGATTAAAAACACGCGAGGCGCGAGTAGCGCGAGAGCTTTTAGCTATATTTACTAATATTACGTCGAAGTTGTTATTTAAAGAAAGAGCGTTCCAGGGGACCTACTTAGTTTATATATTCAGAGCTACTAAGCGCTTAAGACCTAACGCTATTAGTTAGTATCAACTCCTATTATAGTTCAGGTAGTATTATCTATACTATTTACATCGCTTCACTTACTATTATAAAGCTAAGCGAGGGGGTGTGTTATACACTTAACGCACCTGAGGCACTCTATAAGGCGCTCCAGCTAACTAGAGGCTACTTATATAACTAGAACTCCTAGAGCTTCCTCTTATAAGGGAGCTCTAGAATACCTTAATAAATCAAGACTTTCATACTACATAAAGCTCCTCCCTACAGTACACGATAGTATATTAGTAAGCTTAGAAAGCTTAATAATACTAATCCTAAGGATATTAAAGGTACTTATAAAAGTATACCTTATAAGGGGGTATTATTAGGCTTATATCGCCCGATTAGGTAAGGCGGCGACTCACCCCTGTATAGAATTTACCCGAATCGAATTATAAGCTTATTAGTGATTTTTTAGCGTGGATATTCATAGTGTCAAAGGCTTAGCGAGACTAGTTTTAAGGACATGCGTAGAAAGTGTAGGTCTTTTTAAATTCTCAGTTAAAATCTACACTAGTCTAACTGTTTTTAGTTAGTTTAAAATCTAAAAATAAACTTAACTTTTAATTTTTAATTCTAATTAAAAATATTATATCTTTCCTAATTAGGTCTAGCTTATATATAAAAGTGGGTCTTATAAAGGGCGCCTAGGGCGTATAAGGCGGCCTTTTATTATTTAAGGCCGACGTACGACAGTCTCTTATATTTTAAGGCGCCTTGAGCGTAAAAAGCGACTATTCAGCGAAAACGGCGAAAATAGCGGGTGGCACGTGCACCCGGCGTCAGAATTTTTTGCTGATGTAATTTCTTTAGTAGTTTCTTTAATAGTTTCTTTAATAGTTTCTTTAATAGTTTCTTTACTAGTTTCTTTAATAGTTTCTTTACTAGTTTCTTTAATAGTTTCTTTACTAGTTTCTTTAATAGTTTCTTTACTAGTAGCTTTTTAATAACCTTTTAATAGCTTTTTAGTAGCTTTTTAAAAGACCTTTTTAATAAGTCTAATAGTAGCTTTATTAATAGTTATTATTTAACTTTATCTCTTTAAAAGTTTTATTATATATATAAAGTAAATCTAATCATAGGTATTTATATACTAGAGACCTGTTCCGGATATAAAGCGGATCTTATTATTAGTATTCACGTGTTACCTGAGGCAGTAAGGTAGAAGCGTGCAGCTAATAAGAGTAATATCTAAATAATTTTAACTAATCAGGAAGCGAGAAGGAAAGCTTAGCAAAAGTTGAAAATTTGACCCCCTCTGCCACCTAAAATCCGGCATTCAATCTGCCTCACGTGCGGGCGCGAGAATTTAGTAGAACTAACGTTCAATAAGAGAGAAGATCTTCGTGTCTTAGAGCTCGGGACGGGACCGGGAAAGCCTTGGGGAGGGGTTTGAACGGGCTGGCTGTCTGTCTGTGTGATGAAACGAAACGAAACGAAACATTTTAGTTTTGCCAAGGGAAGGTGAAGTGAGATGGGAGGGGGAGCAGGGGAGGAGGGGAGGAGGCCGGGTATGAGAAGGGTAGGTAAGGCTTGAAGTTGAACGTGAACTTGAACTTGAACGTGGACGAGGCTGAACTTGAAACGAAACATGCATGCTAGAAAGAGGTGGAAAGAACGTGGGTGTGTATGAATTAGGTAAGTGAGGGAGTGAGTGAGCGTGGTGAGCGACTTGGCATCTAGACCTCGAATCTTTTTTAAACTTATCCGAACTTCATTCCGCTTGGAAGAACCTGATGAGAAGGTAGATGCAAGGAATTTACTCATCTTTCCTCCCTCCTCATGCTTTCATCTCATATCAGAACATCTCATCCAGCCATCCATCACAAGTTGAGCACTCACTCACCTCCTCTCCTCCCTTGATACTCCACCCCCCTGCTCTTCCACACCCATGCCATCATCATCCGAATTGAGACATTCTTCGCACGGCCTGCACACCCTCCCCGCAATCAACTTTATAGGCGATGCATCTATTGACCAGGGACCTCAGACAGTGTACCCAGTTAGGATGTTCTTGAGAGAGAGAAAAATAATGACGCCCGAGGTGATGAATCGCATTCTGTTTTTTCTCGGTCGGTTTGGCTTGTGGTGTGGTGGATAACTGACGTATAGGTATGCTTGGCCGATATCCAAATGACCTACCTACCTGGAAGCCGGAAGTGAGCGGGGCATTGATATTGGCAGAGAGAGTCTATGAGATGAGGTGAATACGCAGAGTGGTAGTATTGGGTGTCATTTCACGAAAGAAAAGATTCATGTGCTTGGGAAAAAGGGGAGCTGGACCTGGAGCTGGGCTATCTACTCTACTGTACTTCCAGAAAGATGAAAATGAGGGGAAGAGAGGAGGACGGGAAAGGGAAGGGGAAGGGGGGGCGGCGTTAACGGCTGTGACAGGCTCCCTGGCTTCTTGTGTGGCTGAGTGGCTTGGGGAGTGGGACCTATTGGCGTGGTGGAACTTCACGCACCTCACCTCACCTGCACACACTTGCCGACAACGCCAACAGCAAGCCGTATCTGACATTATTGAATTTCTAGCTTATCGTGCAGAGATGAGGTGTGGTGGTTTCTGGAAAAGTGTCGGCTGGATATTATTCTAGGTTGTGATACACTGTAATTTACAAGTAGGGATTTGGTCTGACGACGGGATGAAAAAGTGAATCGATTGATCATCAGGGGAAAGTCAAAGTCAGTAAGATAGTTAAGTACCTAGTGTAGTGTACTGTGCTGTGCTGTGCTGTGCTGTGCTGTGCTGTGCTGGGCATTAGATGGACACTAGGTATGCATGCACTATGACCTTTTTCACAGCAATCAGTTCGCATGTGCATGCATTTCTCAGTATTGATCAACGTTTCCTTTCCTCTCGTTTCTACTCGTATTTCTCTGCTAATTAAAATTTAGCTTTAGAATGTTCCAATATTCCTTCCATCGCGAATTAAACATAAAACTCTTCATACAGTACCAATTAATCAATCCATCTCCATACTACCCACCTTATTCCCTTCCACGGCTGCTTCCATTACCCACAATCTATAATCGTAGTCGTCAGAGGTAAATCACATCTCCGTATCCGTCTCGCTTTATCCACCGCCACATCTCCATCCCATCCCAAAGCAGGAGCACACCTCCAGACTGCATCCCCACCCATCCAACCTTAAAGCACTCAACCATCCTCGAAGACCCTCTCGTCCCTACCCACCACGGCACAGAGCAGTAGTAAGCCTAAAATACACAACGGCCAGCACGGTGGCACCTGGGCAGTCGATAACCATTGACACCAAGCCCGTTCCAGCAGCTTGGGCTCCATCCTGCTCGGCCGCAGCCTCGTGCTAGGACGAAGCGGGAAGGCTAGGCACTCGCTCATCCCCGTTCCTGGCTAGAGAGGGCTAGAGCGGGCGGGCGACAGTGGGATTGACAGGGGCAGGATACAGGGACAAGGACAGGGACAGGGACGGGGACGGGGACAGGGACTCAGCGGCGGAGAGAGACAAGACGAGACGAGACGAGACGAGACGAATGGCCTCCCGGGATCACATCCTGGGATGGAAAGAGAACACTGAGTGGACTACTGGACTGGCACTGTGCCCTGCAACCGCAACTGCAACTGCACGCATCCGTGATGGGACGCTGGAGTAGTGAGTGCTGATAATGCTGCGTCAGATGGTCTTACAGTACGGGCTGCCCGTAGGAACTTCCTGACTCCTCTAATCTCTTCTTCCCCTCAAATCAATTCTCGTCAACTCTCACTCTCACTCTCACTCTCATTGTCCCGTCCCGTCCCGTGTTATCTGATCAGATCTATCCGATCTCAACTTTCCTTCCTTCCTTCGTTCCTACACCTGTCCCTACTTGCACGCTTTGACATCCTGACCGTTCCTGACCAAAAGGAAAAAAAGCGTCTGTTCTTTTTATCGCCCTCCTCCACCCCATCGCATCCATTGGCAACCGTTTCCACCCCCCCCTCAACCCCCTCACTGCGAACTCTAACCCGTTTATCCGCCGTCTACAACCCGAAGAACGACCATCGCCACCAGTAACGTCAATCAAACTGCCACGCCATCTGAACCCTCTACTCTATTACCCGCTCGCCTCCTCCTCTTTACCAGCACTCCCCCGTCGTCAAAGCTGCACCAAAGCACACCTCAACCAATGCCCGCCTAGCAATCGCCATAGCACGCCGGTGGTATCACCAAACAGCTAGGCAACGGACCAGCAGCTCTAGCGGATGCACCCGAGCCAAAAAAGCATAAGCAGAGCAGAGCAAGGAGCAAAAGCAAAGATGGCTACTACCTCTCCCTCCCACGAGAATAATATCAACTCCTCCTCACCCGAGGAAGAGGACAGCGACAACCTCCAGATCATCTTCGAGCCCGAAGACGACTCCTTCTTCTCCCTCGTCACCAACCCCAGCAGCGGCACGACCACCCCTCGACAGGACACAATGAAGGAGGTTCAGGTGCCCAAGCATCCCATCCCCTCGATGCAGGCCGCCTTTGCGGAATCCATGCACGAGTCCTCTGCGGCGTCGACCCCGACCATACCGAAGAACCGAGTGGGCAATGCGGCTGCGAGGAGGAAACTCCTGATCGATCAGGATGTCAGCGAGGATACACATGCGTCGAGGTGGAAGCAGAAACCGGGTCAGCAGTACCACGAGCTGTGGAAGCTCATGGCGCAGATCTCCTTTGGGGTGTACCTCCTCATCAACGGGATTGCCAAAGACGACGAGCAGGTCATGAATATTCTGCAGGGACATGTGGATGAAGTTGACGAGTTCCTGGAAACTACTCTGGAGGATTTCGATCTGGCACAAGAGGATATCGAGGAGAGGCTGAAGTTCTTGAAACTTCCGCTGGAGAATATCATTATTTTCGATGCTATGCTTGAGGATCGTAATTTCAGGCTGCAGATCGTCAATGGGAATGAGAGGATCGAACACGTTATCACGAGGACCGCAAAGGCCATGAACGAAGCTCTGAAAGATGTGCAGCAGGGTTTGGATGCTTGCAAGGAGTTCACGATATACCTGGCTCAAGAACAGGAAGAGTCCGCGTGGTTGAAGGACAGACCGGATATGCAAAAGGTGTTCATTGCCATGAAGGGTAATGTGGAGGGTTGGTACAAGGCCTATGTGTCACTTCAAACCAAGGGAAATCATCTTGGTGTAGCTCTGGTACAACTTGGATCGATAGTGGCAGAGATGGATCGGAGAGCTGGTGAAATCAGTCGGAAGATAAGAGTACGTCGATTTCCTTGATTTTTGTTGGTGGCGGAAAATTAACAAATTGCAGTTTAGTAGTGCTTCCCCTGAACCATCTCCCATGGCTTCACCACCTGCCTCCCCCGAATCGAAATTGATGCGACAGTCGATGTTGAAAACCCTTCCTGAAGACCCAAATATGATTACACCAGCAATTCGAGCGACACTCCCTGCATTTCAATTGGTTCAAGACCGAGAACGAACTCCAGAGCCAGACACTAAACGATATTCTTCTGAAAAGGAGGAAGAGGACGAGGCAGAATTCACACTCAAACCACATACATACACACCTGTACCATCGCCATCACCCTCTCCAAGACCACCCACCGCCTCGGTTCAGGCACCTCCTTCACCCCCTCCAGAGATCCCCCAACCAATTCCCGAAATCCAACCAGTTCCAGAAATCCGCCAGAGATCTTCCTTACGGAAACGCTTCTCGCTAGGCAAGAGGAAAGAATCACCTCCGGAGATCACCCTACAGGCTCCTGCTCCTTTAGATACATACTGGGGTGCTCGTCAACGAGTCACTTCTGCTCAATCTACACTATCTGAGCGCCAAAACTCTATACCACGGGACGGGCAAAACTCCAATCCTCATGAGAGACAAAGCTCCACACCTCGAGAGAGGCAAAACTCCATATTGGCCGAACGACAAAATGCTTCACGAGAAAGACAAAACTCTATCCCCCGGGAGCGACAAACTTCAATAACCACACCCCCTTCCAGAGGCCTTGACTCGGCATACTGCTCTGACTTCGAGAAGACCTCACCCCAAACTCTCACCCAACCCACGCCCCTCACACAAACCACCTCACAACAACCCTCCGGCAGTCAACACACCAACGGCTCTCAAACCAACATCCGCCACCAATTCGCCCGCGACTTCGTCCCTTCCCCCCGCTCAGACCAGCAATTCTTCCGCCCCGTCCAAGCCTCCCCCCACTCCCCACTCCAACGCCCCTGGACAGCCGGCCCCTCCAACCCCCTCCACATGCACTCCAACTCGTCGACGTCCAACCTCTCCTCCCACCGCGACTACCACCACTCTCACACGCCCTCGCAGCTCGGCAATCGCCGTGGCGTGCCCAGCACGATGGGCATGTCCGTCATGAGCGACATGACGATGATGACGGAGGTGGATGGAAATGGCGATAGGAAGAAGGTTAAGAAGAAGAGGAGTGCGTTTGGCTGGTTGAAGAAGGCATTTAGTCTGAGTGAGGAGGAGAAGGCGGCGTTCGAGGAGAAGAGGAGGGGATTGGAGGGGGAGAGGAAGGATTATTATCAGGGGCAGAGGCGGAGGTGGGTGGATGGGAAGAGGGTGAGATGAGTTGAATTAAGTTGAATGGGTGGTCTTGTACGGAATTTGAGTAAGGATAGGAATGCGGCCTGGATGGCAAGCGAGACTCTCTGCGACGGTACGGACTGATAGGCTTTCATGGATACAATCCGGAAAGAAACGAGGACTATCTTCGGCAATACGGGTGCATGCCAGGTCACAACAGAAACACACCACGCACACCACACACAAAACACACAAAACACAACATTAGTCACAGCGGAGGATGTGGCCAGAAAAGAAAAGATACAGCACTGCATTGAACGCGAGCGAGCATTTGAAAGCGTTGCGATTGGAGCGTTTGGAGATACTTTCCGCCATGGAGAAAGAGAATGTACGATATTTGAGCTTGGGTTGGAGCTTTGAGGTTTTGAGATTTTTCAGATTTTGAGTTGATACCCGTTCTTTGCGAAGTCGAGATTCGAAGCATGCGGTCGGGGTGCTGCGTTTTATTCGGTTTTTCTTGTTTTCTTTTCTTGACTTTCCGTGGGGCATTTGCATTTGGTACTTGGCATTTGGGGCTGGGGCTTGAGGCATGGGGCATGGGCCATGGTATTTGAAAGGTTTGGTGATTTGTGTTTGAGCTTTGACCTTTGACCTTTGAGCTTTGAGGTTTGGTGGTTCGGGGTTGTGTATTAGGGATTAAGGATTAGGGATTAAGGATTAGGGATTAGGGATTCATTCTGATTTGAAGCGTGGCGTATTGGTGTTCTTCTTGCATTTGATCTATCTTTCTTTGTGCTGTGTTCTTTTCTCTTCTCTTCTCTTCTCTTCTCTTCTTAGGTCCATGGGCATGGTCGTGCTTGAGAGTGAAGTTTGACGCTGGGGTTTCGTTCGTTCGTGTCTGTTAAAGGGAGGATTGTTTGCGAGGTGAGAGAGAGAGAGAGAGAGTGGAAAATTGGCTTGAGAGGTGAGAGGGAGAAGGAGAAGTGTAGGAATAGTAGAGTAGAGTATGGATTAAGAATAGGAATAGGAAGGAATAGGAATGAAAGAGAGGATTGCGGGGTCGGCGAGATCCTGAGAATGAATTCCCCATGCTCATACTCAAGACCCACTACTTGCTGTTCAGAATTTTAATAACAATAACGACAATTTGATTTGATTTGATATCTTCTGCAATGTGCAATGCTAGGTCGTCTGTTGTTGGAGGCGATACTGGAGAAGCGAGATTGTCAAGACTAGGTACTGAGGTAAGGTGAGGTAAGTAAGAAGGTAGGTACCTAGGCGAGGTGCTTTGTAGGTAGGCGCAGCCAACCTAATGAAAGAAGACTGCACGTGGAACCTCAAAAGATATCAACAACAACAACAAACGGCGAATCCAAAAAAACCTTCGCAGCATTAATAATTCTATATCATAAAAACCTCACGCGCAATCCAATCCAATCCAATCCAATCCAAGCCCCCCTCCCATTTTTGATTCGACCTCAATCCCGACAAGGTGAGTGAGCACGAGCACGAGCATCTCTCGCGATATTGCGTGACAAGCGAGTGCCCCACCCAAACACCCAAAACTGGAGCCCCCTTCCCCCTCCTGTTTGCCTACACCGCACCTCTAAAATCCATGGACGAGAGGGTAAAGGGTACAAAAAAGTGGGTGAGCTTCTTAATTACTTATTCTCTCTTCCCTCTCTTTTCATCTTTCCCGAATTTTCGAAATTCTATTAATTTATTTTCATCATCATCTCATTAAAAACTCCCCGAAAAAAACCCCAACCCCAACCCCAACCCAAGACAAGAAAAACAAAACAAAGGAAGGAATGGCACCTAGCGCTGACCCCCTCCTCCCCTTACCAGTAGACACCAACCATACCCCACCATCACAGCCAGCAGTGCCAGCCCAGGAAATCGAAATCGAAATCGACCGCAACGGCAACGAGTTCAAAAGCCGCAACTCCTCACCTTTGAAGAAAAGCGGTGTTTTGGACGCAGCGTTTGAATTCGAGGATGTGACGCCTGTTATTGGGAGGGAGTATCCTAAGGCGAGGATCGTGGAGGATATTCTTGGGGCGGAGAATGCGGATGAGTTGATTAGGGATTTAGCTGTTACTAGTGAGTGGGCAATTTTGAAATTCTTTTTTTTATCTTTTTGGATCCTGGTGGCTGTACTGGTTGGATGAACCTTTGGCTTGGATGGGGAGGTGGGGTTCGTACATTTGAAAGGATATATCGCTGACTTTTGTCTTTTTATCTTGTAGTCAGTGAGCGTGGGGTGGTGTTCTTCAGGGCGCAGACTTCTCTTACGGATGATTTGCAGAAGGAACTGATCGTAAGTGCTATCCACGCTCTTTTATCCCATCTCAAACCCCTCATTGCCTCTTCTACCACTATCAAACATACAACTAACTCCCCCTCTCCCCTAGCTCCGCCTCGGCGCCCTCACGGGCCGTCCCCCAACCTCAACAGTCCACATCCACCCGACCCTAAACAACACCAACGAGTTCGGCGTCAGCGATGCAGAAATCAGCACGATCTCGTCTCTACATAGGAAGAAATCGTACTTCACGCCTGAGAGGCAGTCGTTGCGTAGGAATACGAAAGCGACTGAAGCGTCGTGGCATAGTGATATTCAGTTTGAGGAGGTCCCGGCTGATTACACGAGCTTAAGGTTGGTGGAGCTACCGGAGAGTGGGGGCGATACGTTGTGGGCTTCTGGTGAGTGTTGTAGTTTTCGTTTTATGTTATCCTGTACTGCCTTATCAAGTTGGTTTCGGTGGACTTGCCTGGACTGGAAAGGGCTACGACCTCGCTTATTTGTTTACCTTCCAAACCTCTCAAAAACTCTACTTCCCTCGAAATGCTATAAAAAGGCAGCACTCACAACTCTGACCCCAACAGGCTACGACATCTACGACCGCTTCTCTGCGCCCTACCAGCGCCTCTTCGACAGCCTAACAGCGACCTACTCCGGCGAAGGATTCCTCAAAGCCGTCGCCTCCGGCCGCGCAAAACTTTACACTGGAGCTCGCGGCTCACCCCTCAACACCGGCGGGAAACTCTCAGCCGTACATCCACTCGTTCGGACCAACCCCGTCACAGGATGGAAGAGCGTTTTCGGGATTGGGAATTTCCCGAAATATATCAATGAGCTGGATCCTGAGGAGAGTGAGGAGCTGTTGGCGAGGCTGTATAGGGTTATTGAGGGGAATCATGATTTGCAGTGTCGGTTTAAGTGGAGGAATAGAAATGATATTGGTGAGCTGACCTTCACATCCTTCCTTCTCTTGTTTCTTTTTTTTTCTTTTCTTTCTGTTTTTTTCCCTTCCCTCTGTCTTGCAAGCCAGGCGATTTTGAATTTCAACAATCAAAATTGATATGAGACTAATTTCTCGGCGAAACAGCTATCTGGGATAACCGCTCCGCATTCCACTCCGCGACATTCGACTACGAGGGTCTTGGCGAGAGGGCGGGACATCGTGTCGTGGGCATTGGTGAGAAGCCGTATTTTGATCCGGAGAGTAAATCGAAGGCTCAAGCGCTTGCGGAAGAGGCTGCTGCGAAGGAAGCTGCTGTTGGTAAAGGACGAGAGGGGGATGTGGCTGCGTAGGAGGGAAGGGTTGATAGATAGGATTCGAAAGGGAGAGCGAAAGGAATTTGCTGGCGACGTCATTACAGTTTTCACATCATTTATAAGATAATATCCTACGAATGACATGTGTACAAACATTTCGGCTTCATTTCTCTTTTTGAAGTCAGCTTTGTTGACAGTGGCGGGGCAAATGTCGTAAAGCGAGGCCAAATGCTTTAGAATTCCTACCATCATACTTCGATATACAGATCACCTCTTAGCATTACCAAATACAAATGAGATCATTTTTCGGCCTAAATTGTTTTTCAGAAGCTCTTGGTATCATCTGAAGAGACTTTTGAACGCCTCGACTGTCGCAGCGCACATGGCCACGGGCTATGGCGTCGGGATTTAGCCTTTCCAACTCGGCACAGATACATCGAGTATTAAGCCAGAAAGCGTAGTGATGGTGCCGTTCGAGACGGGATATCATTGTGTCCGCTTCTTTCACATCTGCGTCACATATTCTGAGACGGACGAGGACGCTGATCGCGTGGGAGAGGTAGAGGGTTCTGCGGATTGGGCGAGGCAGAGTTGGCAAGTTGGCTTTCTTGAGTACCTTATTGGAGTGTATCGTCACTACCGATACGCTCTCTAGTACGTATTTTACTATTTTATTACAATTGCTCATAGAGAATGAATTATGTCCAGAGTATGAAGTACTGAGCACGTGTGATATTTGTTGTTTTCATTATTCCGGGATCTCCGCTTAGATAGCCACACCAGATTACTTGTCATGACGGGAGGTATTAGGCAGGTTTGCGACGTACGTAATGCTGGAAGCTGAATCTTTACTGACACTCTTTAATGATATCCCTACCCTCAACTGGCGCTATATACCAATCAACTACTAGTTTTGGTTGAAACTGTATGCAAGGGTGACTTCTGCTATCTAGATTATTCGAGCGGCTGCTTGTTCCGGTCCATAAAGCGGTTATTTTCCTGGTTTGTCGCGTGCGTGTATCAAAATTAGAACGACACCGCCCAAGGCCCATGGTATGTTAGACTGCTCTTCCCAACTCCTCACTCTCTGCCCTCAACAATTCATCTATCCTTTGACTTTCTCGGTATTATCTCTCTTACTGACAACTGAAATTCATACGTATACTAGTACGTTTTAATATAAGACCACTTGCCAATTTCAACTTTTTGTCATCTGTAGCCTGATGTCTCTCACCATGGCCAGAACTGACCACGAACTTCTGTCCACACCTTCGGACGATGTACAAGGTCGTTTGATCCAGTCCTTGCTCGTTGGTAGAGGCTTGGAGTTTACGCCAGATGGTCAATTTGTTCGCTGGTCGATGGCGAACCCGCGACACCCCCGCAACTGGCACAAGTTGAGGAAAATGTATGATAGCGGCCTGATCATTTGGTTGGATCTCTTCACGTAAGTTACTTTCAATTGAACGTTCTATTTTTATACTGACTTCGATATAGGACGGCAGTGAGTACAGGCGGGGTGAGTCTTCTGTTCCCTGCTGGGAACATAAAGCTCAAGAATATTTGCTAGCTCACAAATGTCAGGCCTCGGCGGCCACCAGTGCCCAACTAGAACTTGGCATTTCACATACTATGTCCATATTTTTATTTGTTCCTGTGTATGGTGGCACTTCCTCGCTACCCAAAACTTACAATTAGCTCTAAACCCTGGGTGACGAGGCTGATCACGATGGCAGCTATCTGTTGGGACACGGCCTGGGCGGTATCGCCTTTCCGCCATATTCGGAGGTTTTTGGGCGCAAGAAGCTCTACATCGTCAGTACGGCTCTCTACAGCGTCTTCTGCGCTATCGTCGGGGCAGTTTCTTCGATAGGCGGCGTCGTGGTTGGTCGCTTTGGTAGCGGATTCCTGTCCGCTATCCCAACCACGGTTATTGCAGGCAGCACTGAGGACATGTTAAATACCAAGGATCGCATCTGGATGATATACCTATGGGCTATGGTCTCCAACCTTGGCTTGATTACTGGCCCTATTATGAGCACATACATTACGACAGCCCTAGGATGGTGAGTTGCCAACCAATACTCAGGCTACGAGACATGCTTATCAATATGACATGGCAGGAGATGGATGTTTTACGTCTCTGCCATTATTGTAGCCGTCACGACTGGACTTCTGTTTGCCATACGAGAATCCCGGCCATCGTTGATTCTGAGCCGTGAGGTCGCAAAACTCCGCAAGGTTACCGGCAATAACGACTTGCATGCACTCAATCTAGACCACACTCCCGATATGCGTACATTCGCTCGCCTGGTACTGTTTCGTCCTTTACATCTGTTCTTTACAGAGCCCATCGTCTGCTTGGTGGCCGTCATGAGCGCCATTGCATGCGCTCTAATTTACTTGTTTACCGAAGCCCTGCTGCCCTGCCGCCGATCTACGAAGAGCTTGGGTTTTCAGCAACTTCAGCTCCCTTGCCCTTTCTAGCAATTGGTGTTGGCTTACTTTTGGGTCTTTTTACTCGTGTTCTAGATAATCACATTCTAGAAAAACACTCTAGGGTAGGTCGACCAATTGCGCCAGAGCACAAGCTCATTGGCTTCACCATTGGTGCTCCTGTCTTGGCTGGGGCTTTGTGGTGATTCGCTTGGACTATACCTCCTCGTGTCCACAATGTACACTGGATGGTATCAACAACCTCACTCGTCTTCATCGGGTACTCGTTGAACGAGTTTGACACTGTTCTGGCTGGCTACCTAGCAGATAGCTATCTCAGCTATGCGGCCAGTGGATTCGCGGCAGTGGCACTACTCCGTTCGACGATGTCGGCGGCGTTCCCGCTGTTTGCATCATACATGTTTCAGGGCCTCAGTGCAAACCTGGCCGTGTCTATCCTTGCTGCTCTTGCAACGCTGTTTTGTATGGTGCCAAGATTATTTACGAAATATGGAGAACGCATTCGCTCGAGGAGTAAATTTGCAAAATATAGCCTACAGGTTTATCAGGAAAATGGGGTTGATGGGAATGGATTTTAGAGGCAAATATTAGTAGCTCGATATTGCGACGTTCAGGTGCAAATAACAAACAATACAGACATCAAGATGGAACGCCTCACGAAACATCGTCGACTCCTCGCTTCAGTTGTTCTTCTTGCTTTCAAGATCAATAACAAAATCCGCCTGCACATTACTGTGCCTCACTACCCTGAGAAACAACTTCCTCCGGACGAATTGCACCCATGTCGGGATGCAAGTTAAGAACGTGCCGTTCGCAGTCATACTTCCTGACAAAAGCTTTGACACAAAAGTCACACTTGTATGGACGTAAATTTCCATGAGTTCTCTTATGAGCATTGAGGTTATGCGCTCTGGTGAAATCTTTGGAACAGATATCGCAGACATGCTTTGCGGGGGTCTTCTTAATCTTCGGAAACAGCACTGCCGGATCAGGATGCATGACAGCCAGGTGCTTCTTAAGCTCTTTCTCGGTTGCGAAACCAAGATGCTTCCTTGTACAGCTAGTTTCTGTGCATAAGAAGGGCTTTTCGTGCCGAGCAACATGGCTGTCTCGACTGTTTGAGTTGGGGAATCCCTCATGGAAGTTGAAGCATGCGTGTCGCGGACATCTGTGCCAGTTAAGTCCGTAGTATTGCTGGAGACTTGATATAACTGAAGGGTCTGGGATCGCTGCAGCCTGAATATTTTCCAGAGTAACCCTAGCTCTGCTGACACTGGTTCCCAGGGATCCAAGAGCGGCGATGGTTTCTTCTCGAGCACGATAATTCCTGGTATAGCTGATGAGCAGTAGGAGATTTTCGAAGTAATCGGCGCTCTTGAGGTGTTGGCAAAGATTCTTGAGATCGTCCGGGATGTCTTTTTCGCTTGCTTCCGCAGATCCGTATGCGTCGTAGAAGTCTGCGATAGAAGGGCCAAGGCCATTCTCCTCGACCGCATCGCTTTGCAGATGTGGAATAGAAGCCTCAAGATGATCCACCCAATGTAATACTGCATAATCTTGAAAAGCAAAATATCCGTCTGTGACATAATCTCTGATCGAATCATCGGAAAGGTTGGCGTCGAAACAGTCGAACAGCAGATATTGTAAGCACAGATTCGCCAATTTTTGCTCTTCTCTATGAACTTGCACATATTCGTTATGAATAAGATACCTATAATAGTCATGGTCAGCTATGTCTTCGAACTTGGACTGACAGTTTCATACGACTTGGCTGTACCATGTACTAACTGGACTCTATCGCCCGGAAGCACCTCAACCAGTGAACCACAGATGTCTCTGACATGTGCGCACAAACGTCGATTTTCAAAATCTACTGTCTGGTCTACAGTGTCCATACAAACTGCTCCTTGTATCTCATGCCACTTGAGCGCTCGCTTTGAGCAGGCGATCCAACCAAGAAGACGCTTGGCTGTCTCACGTTCTTCGACATTTTGATTCTCATAAATACTAGCCGGCCCACCTCCTGTTTTGCTCGGGGCTCGCGTACAGTCGGGGCAAGCAACTATCACGGGCAAGCAAAGTGTCACGCTAGAAAACACACTTAAATTCTGAGGAAAGCACCTAATAAAAATCAGACGAAATTGTCGTAAAAATTATAATTGATATTTGTTTAACCTTAGAACCACAACTTAGAATAAAAAAAACTATAGATATATTAATAGATAAAGTATATAGCTAATAGTATTTCTTATTTATATTTGATTTACTTTTATAATAATAAAGTTATTAATTATTTAAGAAATACTTTTATACTTTTAAAATCTAAAATCGACTTTATTATGATTTCTTAGACTTTAATTAAATATAAATAAAGAGAAAGTATTAGATATAGACTTTACTTATCGATATATTTATATTTTATTTTATTAAGAAGTCTATATATTAAGTTATTCTTAGTTATATTATAAGTTCTTTAAGTGTGTTTTCGCGAACAAACTCCTTAGAATCTTGAGATTTTAGGTGTGTTTTTCAAGCGTGACACTTTGCTTGCCCGTGACAGTTGCTTGCCCCGACTGTACGCGAGCCCCGAGCAAAAAACAGGAGGTGGACCGGCTAGTACGTAGCACGATTCGAGAGTACCTAGGGAAAGTGAGCTAAACAAGTACAATGTGTTCGAAGAGTTAACATACGCTTGTTCAAACCCTTTCGGGAAAGTACCAGGTTGTAATTCTAAATAGACTTTTTCCGGCGTCAATTGGTCGAATAGGTTTGTTACAACCAGTTTTGCAAAAAGAAACATTCCTGTCATTGTCAGTTGGACGCCAGGGAATGATTTGAAGCAAGTTGACCTGCCGTCAGAGCTCTCTTGTACTGCAGTTTTGATATATCTGATTGTCTCATCGGGTAACCCAAACTTCCTTTGGATTTCTGTGCACCAATGCTTGGTATATCCTTCAATATCTGACCTGTTATGGCCATCCGATAGCTTCAGGATGGAGGCACTCCGAAGGAGCCTCCGAATGTCATTCTCATCTTGGCTCACAAAAAGCGCTCTCAATTTCCCAGCGGGTCCTTCTACATCAATTATGGGGGTAAAAAATGACAAAATCGATTTTCTTTCCACGGGGTCGCACTCATCAAGTCCATCAATAATGATGGAGGTCGGGGTCGAACCAGTTTGCAATGCTGTCTTGAGCAGTTCCCTAGTAAGCTCCGATGAGACTAGATTGACTTGACCGCTACCAATGCACTTCTCGTAAAAGTAAGGCAGAAGATCTTCGTTGAGCCTAAGAAGCTGGACTAGAAGAGCACGGGCAACACCGATGAAAGTTTTGCGTTCAACATCCTGATAGTTGCAATAGAAATATATGACTGCTTTTGATGATGAAATCTGACATTCTTCAATGATAACAGAAGCCAGTATTGTCTTCCCTGCTTGTACATCAGGCTTTTGAAATAGAGGCGACTAATAAGGTGGTGCCTACCGGCTCCAGGAATGCCATTCATCCATAGCAGTGGCGAAGAACCTATGTTATGATCCAGCCATGCCTTCATCTTGCTTTCCTGTAGCAGCCATCTTCCGGAAGAAGGATACATTATTCGTGCCGTCATAGCTGCCTCATGATCGAGAATTGGGTCAAATGCGGAGAGCCAGGTCACGACGTCAAGGCGCTTTCGCTGGCTCCGAGCTTCCTCCGCCAATCTGAACTCATTTCGGACAAAGGCTCTCTCTCTTTGCATTTCTTGGATATGAATCACACTTGCGTGATTCTGGATGAGAATTTTGTGATTTTGAAGGTCGTCCACGAGGCGTTGAAACCGAGATTCAAAATCTTTCCAAGCCGAGCGAAACAATTGTCTCCATGCTAAGCATGGTTAGAATCTTGAGATCTGGAGCTTGGTAAATGGGTCTTACTTGGCCTTTTCAGTACTCGTAATGCAGACAAGTGGAATTCCAGGATGTCTTCATAAATCAAGGCCAGCACACTGGCCATTCTAGAATCAGCTCCAAAAAGAGCCCGATACTCAGAGAAGAGTGGTAAATTGTCGGCCAGCTTTTGATAAGCATCAAGAATGATATCAAAACAATCTGCCCAAGAACTTGCAACCTAAATATATTAGTTAAACCGTTGTCCAGATATTTTTTGTTAGGTGTGCTTACCATCAGACAGAATTTCATCGGACCCCAGACAAAGCATAATATCGCGGAGGCATTCAGAAACACTTCGATAATTGCGCCGTACTGGCGCATGGCCTCGAGAAATCGCTTGATCCTGGTCAAGTTCATCATGCTCTTTCGCTTGCCTTGCTCTGCCTGAATTGCCTCCACAGATGTCAGAACATCTTCAAGCGAAGCGAATTTAAACTCATTCTGCTCTTCCTTTGTCAAACGTTTGGTAAATTTCCCTACCGCCTCCTGAAAATCATCGCGAACAGAAGTCATGACATCGACTGTTATTGCGTGTTCAAGCCGTTCACAGCTTACAAGCTTATCAGCACCTCGATTTCTGAATGGAGGCAAGAACAAAAATTTCGGAGCTGTTACGCCAGACCCAGGGGTTTGTTGATGTCTTGTCTGAACTGGATGTAGGCAAACAGCACCTTCAGGCAAGTCTGCATTCCCTGCGCCTCCCCAGGCAGACTGCGATCTATTCCGCGTGTCAAATGATCTCAAGAAATCAGGCTCTGCCTCCGGGGAACTCGGTCGTAGAGGCTGTGAAATCTGCTAAGCCACATTGAGCACCTGCACTGTTCCACAGACATGTAGCAGTACCCAATCGCACAGCACAGCCCTTTCAGGCGGCTGATAAGGCACACGCAAAAAAAGAAACACTATTGAGATACAGTAAACTTGCTAAGAGTACAGCTATGTCTGTTGAGAGGACTTCAACATGAAAGGAATGGTATCACCCGCATCGCGGCTTCTCCCTATTACATCCGATGGACAATGACAAGCGACCTATCAGCGAGGTTGATGATCCCGAAACAAGGCGAGGGAAGAAATCCCTTCCTAAAGCTATTGAGCCCGAAATAATTCTCGCTAGGCCGTAAGTATGTAATGACTTTGCCGCGAGTATGAGTGGCTAATGCAACATTGTAGTGATGGCTTGAGAGACCGTAGATGGTGGAGTTTGATTGCAGCATATCTGTCGTTGAAAGAGGCATCTGAAGAATCCAATGGAAGAAACGACAGTTTGTATTCGACCAAACTGGCCCCTATCTCATTTGGTGTTGATTCATCTCCAATCTTGTGCTTTGGCATGGTATTTTCAAACCTTTCGAGACTCACCAACGAATGATTTCTGACAACCTGGCAGATACATAATGCGACTGCGAAAGTCTTGAATGTGGAAGATTTCTCCCAGCTGAATATTGAAAAAGCTTGTTCGGTACCTAATCTCTCACAACTCTACTTGTCATTCAAGAGCGATGCAGTAATTGCCGGAATATCTGAAGCACAACCTCTGGCCGTCTTGAGCGAAGCGACCTCTGAAGTGCTGCGAGATCTTTCTTCGATGAGAACTTGTCGTTTTACAGTCTATGTCAACACAGATCCTAGAATTGAGATACCGCCAGACAAAGATGCCAAAGGGCAGAAAACTCTTTCCGTAAAGCTAGACATTGTACTGTATGGTTCAGATGAAATCTGCAGCAGTGTTGGGATCTTTCTTTCTCGCGCCCGGATTTATCTACAGCATCCTTGCTTTCAAGAACCTGATACGGAATATAACAATCCTCATGTTCTAGACCTATCTCAACTATCTGCGCAGCCTGGTGTTTCTGAACCGGAAAATGCAGTAGTCGAACCTGCCACAAACATTCCTAGCGACATAGCAATTCCTGCCGCTGAAGAACAAGACACTGTCGGTGCAGCCGAAGTAAAGAAAAAGATATCAAATGTTTTCAACTCTTTAACTCGGTATAAATCGTTGACGAGGCTGGAAGCAGACATTAAAGTCACAACACCACTTCTTCCGTGAGTCAACTCCAAAGAACGAATGAGACTCTTGGTCTAATATAATCGGTAAAGACACCAGCAAGAGGCTCTAGACTTTATGATGCAGAGAGAACTCGGTCCCGTGCCCTCGCAATATTCAATTTGGTCCAGGTGCACCAGAGATAAAGAAACGTTGTAAGAACCCCATGCTTAACCAGATAGCGGATAGATAACGGTGTTATGACAGCTATGAGAACAAAATCACTGGCCTGAGGACAGATCTTGTTCCCAATGAGACTGTTGGCGGAATACTTGCTGATGATATGGGTTTGGGCAAGACCTTGACTGTGATATCCACGATACTTCGCACTGCGAACCTCGGGAAACAATTCCAGGAGAAGGGAAAGCACACAGAGAACACGGCGAAAGGCGATCAAGCGGCTCAAAAGCGAGTCAATTCAAGAGCAACTCTTGTTGTTGTCCCGAGTCCTCGTAAGATATTCCTGTCGTCTCCCGACCATGCCTCAAAAACTGACTGCTGCATAAGTCTTGATTGATGGGTGGCAGAGAGAAATCGAAGCGTTAGTAAGCAGAATAATGAAGATCAACGTTCGCTTACAGGATAAATAGACATTGCGATGGCTCGTTGAATGTTAATGTTTACCATGGCCGAGGTCGAGAAGTCAGCCCAGACGCGCTCGCAGATTGGGACATCGTCCTGAGCACATACCATACTATTGCTGCCGAAATGCTCGATGAACACAGCCCATTGTACAATGTAACATGGTTCAGAATCGTATTAGACGAAGGTGCGGCTTCTTCGTGGAACACTACTATCTATATAGTTGACACTGACATTATAGCTCATATCATTCGGCGAATGAGTACTAAACTCTTCCAGTCAATGGCGAAGCTAGAAGGAAAGTTTCGTTGGTGTCTAACAGGAACACCAATTCAGAATGGATTAGAAGATCTGGCATCATTAGCTGCCTTCATCAAATGCTTCCCATTAGACAGTCTTCCAGAATTCCGACAACCACATCGTCTCCCCGCTCCTGAAAGGGACAAACGAAGGAATACAAAGACTCCAAACTCTTCTGGACTCGATATGCTTACGGAGAACAAAAAAGCTTCTGAATCTCCCGGATATCATTGACGAGGACCACTACGTCGACTTTTCATCCGCCGAAAGAGCTTATTACGATAAAACACAAGCTGAAATGCTAACATCTATGAAGCGACAAGACAGTCATGCCAGGAACTCCAAGGATTATTTCGGCATATTCCAACTCCACCTTCAACTTCGGCGACTCTGCAACCATGGAACGTTTCAGAAATTAATTCCCAGGACGATGCCGGAAAGCTTCCAGATAGACCCCGAACAAGCTCTCGACTACTTAAAGACAAAGCGCAAGGCAACATGCACTTATTGTAAGTCAAGGATTCGACGAATCGCAGATCAGGGAGAAAACGACAACAGTAGTGGCATGTTCAGCGTTTGCGGACATCTTTTCTGCACCGATTGTACGCCCAGATTTGAAGCAGCTGTGCGACAAAGATCTGATGCTGGTACCTGTTCATTATGCTCAAGACCGATCTCGGAAAACTTGTTTGCAAGGAGCGAAACGATATGTGTCCGACGGGAAAAAGAGTCTTCGGTGTCGGAACATGACTCAAGCGGAATATCTTCAAAAATTTCGGAACTTTTGAGGAATATCAAGAGTAGCAAAATTGAAGGAAAATGGTGAGTGTTTAGCTGAGAACTCTGAACTCCAGTCCAGCTTCACGAAAGCTTCGCCTGACAACTTCCCACAGTATCATATTTTCCAGCTGGACTAGGTCTCTCGACTTAGTGGGTCGGTATTTGGCTCACGAAAAGCTGGAGTTTCTCCGAATAGATGGCACTTTCACTCTGTCCGAACGACAAAACATTCTTAACGAGTTTGAGAGTAACGAGGAACTTCGGATACTGTTGATGACCACAGGCACAGGTGCAGTAGGGTATGTTATAGAGCTGCATGTTTCATCCATCAAATTCTAGCTGATTTTATTAGGCTCAATCTTACTATCGCCAACTGCGTGTATATACTGGAGCCTCAATGGAATCCAATGATTGAAAGCCAAGCTATCGCTCGTTTATTGAGAATAGGCCTCGAAAGAGATGTGAAAGTGATTCGGTATATTGTAAAAGGGACTGTTGAGGAGGTAAGTTGCGTTCTTCAACATCATTTTCGTTCTTCAGCTGACTCTGAGTCCTAGATGATGCGCTCACAACAGTTGAGAAAGCTTGGCTTCGCGAGATTAGGATGGCGACAAGATCAATGAGGAAACATGTTGACACTAGCCACAAAGTGCTTGGACATTACTTTCATTACTTTCATCACTTTCGATCACTGTCATTCCTTCGATATTGTTCTTTGAAGAATTGGTGAGGTATTAAGGTTAGTCACGACATTTCCCAAGGTCTGGTAGCCAAAAAAAGAAAGAAAAAAAAACTTGACAGCATGCTCGCAATCTTAACTCTTCCAGAGAGAAGTTAACTATAAAGCGATCTTGGATGAATATTGGGCTTCAATCCTGTGATTCAGATCCATTGATATTATTATCGTAACAACACCAAGTGCATAGCAACATATAACTATCCTTTGTCACATACGCGTTTTGATTGACACATCTACGTGTAATCACATGACTGAAAAACAGAAGAAATGGACGTGGTTCGTAGGTCATATAATATGTGCCAAGATGTCACATTCTCGTGAATATAACTCAGGATTGTGAAAGTCCATCCAAAATCTCGTCGATGTGAATTTGCTTCCCACTGAGTATTCCAGTATCACGTTGCATATGTACTCGTAGTCCTTGTAAAGTAAAGTAAGGCTTCAGGTGCTTCGAGGCTTTCGTAGCGTACCTAATGTATGGCTGCCCGACTCAGCCTTTTCCACTGACTGACAAGTGCCCAACGAAAAAGCGGTGCACGAAAGAGAGGCATTCAGCTTGGAGGGTTCTCGGTAATTCATCCAATAGATATTACAGAAGGTCAGGTGAAGACCTCACTCGTTACCAGCTTTCCTGATTCGTCACCGAGTAGCAACGGGCCATGCTTCAGCCTGTTTGGTTCCTATTCAACCCTATCACATCCCCTCGCCCCCACACCCTCACCGCCAGAGTCGTCACGTTTTCTCAGGATTTGGTGGATCAGAATGCCAAAGCTGTGGGAAAGAGAATCTATGTATTTACTTTCGAGCTTTGACAAGCACTAATGTGTTGCGTTGATCACAGAATGAGGCTTCAGGGGCAAAACAAGCTGAAACAACACTTCTTCCGCACACAGAGAGCAAAGGGCTGAGTACAGCTGCACGGCAAAAATTGGGTATCCAAATTATACAGCACGAGAAATTCTGGGTTTCGAAGAGGAAATTCCTCTGTGCTGCTGAGTTTCATTTTACTAGCGTAATTTGGCCTCAAAACGAACTCGGCGATAATAGACATGCAACCAAGTTCCGTGTATATATTCCATCTGTGAGGATAATTCAGATAAGGCGTGGTGTTGGGTAATCGTTCGATAACCGTTGCTTCTGCTGATATAGTCCTTGCCTTCTATCTTGACTTCTGCAAGGTTAAGCCATGGATCTATATCTTCCCACGCCGCCATTATTCAAAAAGATCAAGGATCTGTGATTTTCGAGATATCTATTCAGCCACCAAGTGACACAGGCCAGTATAGAAGTACGTTGATAGATGAGAATAGAAACCCAAATTCATAGGTACGACCAAACTTTATCGACTCGCTTAAATTTTCACTCTGTGCACGCTTGAAGAGGAGGGCATTTGCGGCAGACAGAACCCCTCGTCATTTCTCATCTCATTGTTGACCAGAAATGACGAGCAACAGGGGAGATGGCCATTCTCTGTCAGAGCATTTGCAATAAAGTCCTCTCGCGTCATCTCCCCGCTGTCTACGAGCCTTTTGTCATTCTCCCTCTTCTCCAAGGCTTCATCGTACTCATCCAATTCGCCCAATTTCCGCGCTGCGAATGCATTAAGCTCTTCTTCGTTGTCAAATGCTTTCTCACGCTTCGTCCACTCTGTAGCTCCTATATGTCGACGCAGCTGCGTGAAAGGAAAGCTCCGATGGTCGTTGAAGCCGGATGAGAGGAGCATGTGCAACCACATAGCCCCAGAGGCTTGCGACCACTTGACAAGACTGGAAAGCTCTCCGTCTTTATGTCCGAGCCATTTTACCTCTTCTTCCTCTAAAACACGTATGTACATCTCTAGGTATTTGAAATACCGGGCAGCAATCTTCGGCGGTTTGTCGCCATTATAGTCCCACGCGCTATTGACGGGTCTGTCTTGGAGAAGCCACCATGGTGCCGAGCCAAATAGTTGAGCGGGTCCGATGTATGACCACTCCAGGTCTACTAATCCGACGACAGTGAGGTCCCCCCTACTTCTGAAAATCAGATTCGCCAAACCGAGATCGTCACAAATCAGCTTAAACTTGCAACGGTCATACTTCGGGTTGATTAAGTCGGGTATAAAGCTTCTTAGAACCTTGAAAGCTAGATATTTGTTCTTGGCATCATATGAGCCACAAGTCGAGTTGGGCTGGTAAACGAGCTGTTTCCAGTCCTGATCGACGACATATTGAAAATATTCAGTAGTTGTCGCAAACCCCTGGTTTCGGTCACCTAGATCATGTGTTTAGTTAACGTACTCGATCAGAATATCAAGGAAACGACTGGAAAGGAAAGCAACAAGCCATACCGAAAGTGTCGACCCCTCCATTTTGTAGGATACTGTGTGCCTTGAATGTTAGCGGGCGGGTCGGTGTAAGGCTTTGACCTTCAGCGGTCGGCGACGGCAGGCTGCCGATCCGGTCAAAATCGAGCGCGAAGAGTTGAAGCTGGAAGTTTGCTAATTGTCTGTAGATAGCTTCAATATCACTATCGCTAATATCCTCCCTCAAAAGTCTGGTGGGGTGCTCGGCATTTGGGTCTTTGAGAACGTCGCTCGCGCTCACACCGTTAATAAAGTCCATCATGATGAATGGACCAAGATCAAGCAGGTTGCTAGCAGCAGGACCCCATGTGTGGATTCTCGGGACTGAACTGACAATCGTGTCATGGATGAGCCTCAGGGCAGCCACCTCCTTGGCAACTTTCTCGTCGGCGTAGTCGTCACAAACCATTCCTACGCGAGGGAAACGAACCATCCAAGCAGTGCCGTCGCTGAAGACCATCTTCATACCGGCATTGAATGCGCCATGGTGAAAGGTTCCGTCGAGTTGACAGGAAAGCTTATCAGGATGGAAAGTCGACACCCACTCGCAGAGACGGCCTGTTCTATAGGTCTCGTTGACCTTGTCAACCCAAAGTTGGCCCTGCGCCTCGTGGACAATATCGAGAAGCGCGTTGGTTTCCATATTGCCAGAGAAGGAGAATACCTGTGGTTAAGTACTGGGGAGCATGCGACATCAGTGAGTGAGCGAGCTGGTCGAGATGAGCGAGAGGTGGACGACAACGATACTTGATGGTTAGCGAGGTCGTTGGTAGATTCTTTGCCAAGACTTTCGAAGCAGCCACTCACAGAGCTCGTGTCCCCCAAAGGGTTGAATCGCAGTAGATAATCAGAATATCGCTGCAAATATCTATGAGGCTTGTTGAGTCCATCACAATACTGAACAGGTTCAAAATGGACTTTATTTGAAAGCTACACGTATATAAATCTCTAGATTCAAGTGCATATCTGCCTAGTCTACTTCTTCGCAAATTGAGGTGGGGTCAAAGCAAAAAGTTGTCCAAATAATCGATTCTCCCGCCTTCACCGACACCTATTCCTAAGCAGCTATACTGTGATCGAGACAGAAAAGATGTGTGGCACTTCCAAGAAAAATTACAGCCTCCTGAAAGTTCTAGCAACGATCAGACTTGCTCGAGGTGCCAAAGACCACGGGGTCACCATCGCCATCCCCTCCCAGCAGACCTTTTCAGATCTAGCTGCAAGAGAAAAGTCAAAAAGAAAGAAGACAGCAACGACTGATAGCCAAAAAGAAGTAAATTTTTTGGCTTGATGGTATAGAGAGCCTTCTAGCCTGTGAATCTTAGGCAGTGAAAAACTCTCTGTCTAGCCGGATGCACCGCCCTTCTTTTATTGATAACCGTCAGCACATATTGCATCCGGGAAGTTCAGCTTTGGAAAATGTTGAGTTGAGCACGAACAGCGGCTTCTGCCTTCTCCCTAGCTGCCCTCTCTTCAGCCTCGCGTTTCTCTCGCTCCTCTTTGTTCTTGCGACGCTTCTCGATAGAAGAGTTGGCAGTGTCAACCATCTGTCCCACGGCGGCGTTCCCGGAGCTAATGAGCGCGTTATTGACTTCCCTTCGAGCGTTGGAATCAATTCCAGACATCTTAGGTGGACGTAGAGTGGTGAGTTATGAGTTTGTTGCCGAAAAATCAAAGTCAGGTTCAAGAAAGATAGCTACGGCTTTCAGTCGACGAGATTGATTACTAGTAATCTTTGATGAATGTGATGAAACAGCTGTCGGCTTGACCTGTTAATAGGTATTTGTGATATGTAGACGCCTTGCTTTTGCGAACTGAACATGTAGATTGCCCAGCCTTGCAGCCTAATCAGATCAAGAAGTGGCACCACATTCTCAAATACTATGCCAATCATGATTTATCTGAGTCACACACTACCGGCAGCAGTGAAATCTGTCCAAATTTGGCAGTGCAACAGATTTACGAGAATGGGAAAAGGGCTGGGCGCGGATCTTGCAATGTCGTGGCAGGATCCCATTCGGTGGGAGGTAAGCGTCGAATGGCTTCACGGCCTGAAATCAGGTAGCAACGACTCATCCCCAAGCGAACTATTCACCAGTAATACCGCCCCTCCCTCCCCCTGTAAGCAAACTCGGTCTTGTACAAAGAGGCTGCAGGATTTATGCAGATAAATGCATGAAACACGAGAAAGGGCAAAGTCTTGGAAATATACCGCAATGTTATCCAACTGCCAGACCCCCACACCCCGCCTTTCGAATTTGAATGTGTCCCAATACGTGATATTGGACCAATCACATAGTTCCAAACGATATGGCCAGTGCACAATCAATATACGAATTTCTTGGTGTCGGATGAGTTTGAAACACGTTGAGTATGGCTCCTGTGGTATTTTACCTCCACTCACAGCTTGCGCCATATCTGAGTCTATGGCCAACAGCTTTCCCTTTAATCATCATATTACCCTGCCACTCTACACATCACAATCAATACTCGAGCCTGTCTCCTGAATCTGAACTTGGCCGGTCTTATCTTGCCTGGCAACACTAAACGCCTCTTTCAATTGCATTGTATAGTGCTCCTTGTCCTTCAGTTTCTTCTGTATGACATCCTGGGCGCTCACTCCCCAGTACCACCAGAATACCTGGTCGAAGATCTTTTTCTCGCAGTGTTCTTTGTTGAACAATGGTTGGATATTGGAGTTGAACACCCGATACATGCCTTTGGGAATTGTGACAGCATGAAAGTACCAGAAGCTCCCGGAGTGGCAAACATGTCGCATGATAGGTGCTTGGCAAAGAACTCCATTCCGCGCTAATTCTTCTTGCTCGTAGATGGTCAAATACTCTTCTAACAAGGTTTCCAACTCTTTCACAGACTCAGGATCGTCGAAATCATCCACAGACTTAGATGTGAGCCAATAAGGTGGTACCTGCATCTCCACAGGTTGTGAGCACGACCACTCGAGATCAATAATGGTTTGGATGTTCCACTGTTCGTCCACAAAGATATTGCTTCGGTGGAGATCGGTCAACGTAAAGAAAAAAGGGCCATCACGATACTGAGGACGGATGAAGCGATGCATAGTGGCTCGTAGAGCTGTCAACGCTGCAAGTTGCATTTCGCCATCGTCTTTATCGTGAACCGAGTTTGGTTGAAACAATATCCTGTTATCTTGAAAGCTAAGAAGGTCGGAGATATAAGACTCAACAGAAGTGTAGGTTCTTTGTCGTGGGATCCCCGACGGTATCCCCTCGTTCTCTAGCATTTGAAGATAGAGAGTAAGGGGTCGGTTGGACAGCGTTATGACACCACACGAATCAAGAGTCAATGAAGCTATTCGTGGCAGAGGTTTGTCATTTAATGAAAGGGAAATCCGTGCGAGGCCGCGAAAAAGCCTAGCTCGATAAGATTTGTCGTGCCGATGATCTTCCCATGACTGATGAAGAGGTTCGCCTTTCGCTTCGCTCAGAATTATATAGCCTGTCTTGAATGGGCTGTGAATTTTTTGTCGTATGTAGTTGCACGGAACTGGAAAGCCAAGCCAGCACAAAACAAGTCGCCGTATTCGCAACATCGCCGTGGCAAAGAACGTCACATTTCGGGGGTGTGTAAACTATACAGCTTTAGAAGAGTTATAAAAATGGCGGTTTTACTCACACATTGTCCATCAGGAAGACCGAAGCCATGTAATACGGGTATAGACACATCAGGGCATTGTTCTTGAAGCCAAAGGTACGCCGCAATTTCCGTCCTTAGCTTCTCTTCCACATTTCCAGGCTTATTTCTCTCTCCCAATCTGTACGGGAGTGGAAAACGAACAAAGATTTTGTCGGGCCCTCGACGGCCATTCGCAGGGATGAGGACTGGGACACAGACGTTGAAACTTCCCGATTTCCAGATCTCCATGACGCACACGTGACATTGATCAATGCCTAAATGACAACAAACCAAATTCTTAATATCTGCTTCGTGTGCCTTCAGATAGTCGAAAAATTCCTTTTTGTGTTGCGGATATCGTAGCTGGGCCAGCATATCGTCATCTTGGTCCAGCGCATCTTCGAGACATACTGGCCCCTTCAGAAGTGGACGCTCTGGCAAGTCTGCCATATATATCAATTGCTGCTCCTTGGGGGCTTCGGAGGGAATGCAAAGACCGTATTAGGTCGTGTAGATGTGGCGAAGAGCACGACCAGGTTCTAGTACAGAACTGTCGCGACAGCAGCTTGGTTGGTAGTCGCGCGATGCAATGAAAGGAGACGTGCCGTGCTGAACAGGAGATTGTCGCGAACTCGGGACGCCAAAAATCCGGATGGTAGAACTGTGGCCCAGGGTTGCACCATTGGCCGATGAATTATGAATTGGTACTCAACCACTGTTAATACATGAGACAGGTGGTGTGGTGAGTATGATATGAATCAGGACTGACCACAGACATCATCTTCCATTCTTGAAGTGTGCCTTCAGTCACGTGCTGGGATTAGAACCATAAACTGGTGGATATTGGAGCGACGAAGCATTCCCAGGCCATTACATTCAACAATGAAGTTTGTTTTCTTACATTAGGAGACCGTTTCAAAGGTATCTGAGGCATGCTTAACAGACACTGGGGAAATGTCGAAGTTGCCAAATACCCAATCCTGTGTACCTTTCGAACTTACATACCCTGCCCCTATACCTGCTGCCACCCACCTCTCCGCGCTTCAAAGTCAGCCCACAGTGTTGATAGACCACAACTGCACCCAGACTGTTCAGAGAAGGAAGCAGGACAACACTTGGAAAATTTACGACTGTATGAATTTCTCCTACTAATTTACTAATATAAAGGATAGCTTATCGATGAGTCTTGGAGCAAGCGTTACAAGGACGTTCTTGAGTGGACCCAGTACAATGTCACCCATAGCTCATTTCTTTTCTCCTTTTCCCCTTTTACCCTTGCTTCTCTTCTGTTGTGCATCACTTCCAGACGACAACACATTCTCGACATACGGCGCAGTCTCCGTTCTTTCACTTGGCGTCTGATAATTTGGATCGTTCGTGCCACCAGCGTTTCTCTCATTCTGGGCACTTCGCCCAGATAATTCTGCGACTCTCTCGGCTTCCTCACGGCTTCTCGTCGCATCATCCCTGTGGGAAGTGTTACTGAGCAGCTGAGCTTCCAGTGAGCATCAGGTCGTGGATCTTACCTTTCAGATGCATAAAAGCCGGCTGGAAGATCAGCCCTAGCCGTTGCCAGGCTGTAATATACACCATACGCCGTATTTTGACTTGAGTAATTGTTGTTAAGAACGACATCGTTAATTTCCCATAATTGTTTCTGTTCCGCCATGAATGCGACGTGGGACTCGAGCTTGATATCTGCTTCAAGGCGGGATGAAATTGCAAAAGGACTGACTGACTGAAGTGACCTGTGTTTCAAACACAAAAAGGTATATATTCATTCTATGTCAGCCATCGATATCTGTTGCAGCATCCCAAGCTGCAGCCTGATCCGAATACAGCAGATATGACATGACCTACGTGCTAAGCCACTGGCTCCGCGATCCATTCCGGCCACACTCCCGCCTCCCTAGGGAAGAAGACCGTCAAACGAGCGTATGATTGGCAGGCCACCATACATTCATCCATGAAAACCAACAAAATGCAGAACGTACGATACACATCGCTGCCACGTTCAACATGAACCGGGCGTCGATAATGAACCCTGGTCAGTCTCGACCAATCAATGCCTCATAAGCGAACGCATTCGCGGACGACCCTCCAAGCTCTCGACTGTGTCTGCCTCGTCAAGAATCCTTGACATAAAATGACTCATTTATCTCGGTTATCTCGAATCTCGCTGTTGCCTGTTGATGTCGAATGGATCTGTTAACTACCTGGACAGCTGCCCAATCTCCCGTGATGAAATATTACATGGCAAGGTTGGCTCAGGGAGATGTACACGCTTCGTGAGGTTGTAAGTGACTTCATGAAAGATTGTTGAAATTTGGAGAAGATTGATAGATGCCCTTGGAGGTTCACCTAATGATGATATCCACACGGTAAAACATTGGAGTTGGGTGACAGAGACTCTCAAAGTGATTCCGCTACAGGCCATACATTTCAACCACCCACCAACCCACGCTACAGATCTGAACTATATACTATTACCAACTAGCAGGGACTCTAGAGCTCAGAAACATAAAGGCGACCACGGGCTAGCTGTTAACTCTTCACCGATTCCGGCGTCAACGATCTCCTCCTCGTCCTTGCATCCAACAGGTACTGAGAACACTCATTGTACATTTCCCAATCCGTATCTTTCAACACTCTCATATAGGGTTGATCACCAATTTGAATCTCATCGTCCTCAAAATCAGTCTCCTCTTCATCGTCACCACTAACAATGACTCTCGCAACTGGTTTGGGCGGCCTGACGTAAGTCTGCCCATTCGCCTGGGCACGCAGATTCTGGCTTGCCCGGATACCCCGCGCCCTTAGATCCGCAATATCTTCCAGTTGAAATGTCGTTATTGTCGCGGGGACGATATTGTTATATTTCGATTTCACCGTTTTGTCCTCCTCATTTCCATATTCAATCTTCACTTCCATGAATTGAGCTGCCCAGACTCTCTCGTCGTCATATCCATAGGCGTTATTTCCCTTGTTGTTATGGCCATGGCTGGCTTCTGCACCGACCGAAACAAGTCCCGGAGGAGCGCCGACTGCAAGCCCAACATCTGCAGATGCACCGACTGTCCCACTCAGTGACCGTGAGGATCCCACGTGGACATCGCCGCCAGTGATGAGCTGGATTCCAGTCACCATCCAGATCTCGGGAGCCTTGAATTTGTGTATGCCGAAATGCCCTTTGAAGGATATGGATGCCTGCGTCCGGATCCATTCCTGTACGCCCTCCTGGGCCATTACTTCATCTCTCAGAAATTTCTCGGGTTTTCTGATTTTCAGACGTCGGCCTGATTTGCCTTCTAAGGTAGCAGTAACGGTTGAGTTGGCGCTGCCTTCTGCTTTTACCCAATCTGAGAATTTGAGGGCGAGAGATGTCTCTATTGATAATTCGAAATCGAGGGAGCACCCTCTTTCATCTTTTTGTTCTCGTCGGATCCATTTCTGTACGTGTTCTTCATACTCTTCTTGATCGAGACTGGACTATCAATCAGCAATGCTTAAGTGTGTAGATTGAGGGGTTGAACTTACTCCTCTTGATACTCGAAACGCTTCGATTCTAAACCATCATCGGGGTCCAAAGGATTCAGGTACAGACTGCCTAAACGCAAATCCTCTGGATTGATGCCCCTCGTATAGGGCAAAAAACTTCTCTTCTGTTGCGGAGCCATATATATGGAACAAATGAACCTTTACGATGCAATATTTCGGTGAAGATTAACTCGGTCCCCAGGTTGGAGCCGGTGAGGAATGTGGAAAACTTATTGATGAACAGGTGAGGATATTGAAACAGACGTAACGGCATGAATTAATAGTCAGAGATGTCTCATGGCCAGAGCCTTGGTCTTGTACGCGCAGAGTAGGCTGGGAGGCCGAGTCTTTGGTGAGGCGCTCTCGGCAGGTCTCGCTGGGCTGTGCACTGCCTTCGCCACTGTTCCTGGTACGTGTGCAGTCACAAAACAGCTGAGTGCCACTTATTTCTGCCCTACGAGGCGGTTGTGCCCGTGGACTCGGGATATTGCGAGGGCTGAATGACGCAAATGAGGTCTGTTGAGTAATTGACAGAGAGAGAGGATCTCGGTGAGCGAGAGCAGGCGGACGGAACGGGACGTCGTCCTATCTTAGACCGAGGCTAATGGACAGCCATCCCTTGAACAGGGTTAGCGCAATATCTACTCTTAACCTTCTTTTGACAACTTTCAACTTGCGACTTTCTCTATCAAAAGTACTCCCTTCGTTACCAAGTGCCGCAAAATCCTCAAACATCTCAGGTTCTTGGTTGTGCCATCTTTCGATATGTTCTGAATGCCAGCTGTCCAGAATCGTCCTCCAGTCCTGCTGTCCTATCGCTATTCCAGTAGTGGCGAGCTGCATAACAGGCTGCATGCTTAGCCCACCACAGCCCCCCAATTGACTCGACGATTGGGTCACGACCCCTTGAAACAGCACCAAACAGCGGCCATGAGAATTTCACCGACCTTCGCCATCTAACGTGACAGGGCTGGCTTCCAGATGCCCTCCCCACAGGCTGTGCTCTCTGCGGCTCTAGAGAAAATGAGGGGCAGGCGGCCCATGCCTCTATTCATACGCGCTGCGGCCCATCGGTGATCGTTCTTAGGCTTTGAGGCTGTCACAGAAATGCACTCCCACCATCTACTTTGTCAAGTTAAAGAACACCAGGGTCCCCTACCCCTCGACTTCTCTGTCTTTCAGTTGTCTCTTAGCATCAGCATTTACATCTTTGTCCCAATTCTATATATTGATCTTTCTTCATTACTCAGCTGAGGTACCCCGCGAGCGACGAAGTGGGCCACGTAAATCATTATTTATTCAACCAGTTATTTGCAGGCGTTTATCGACAACAAGAATTGATGGGCATTTGATCGTTATCTAGGATCTGGGAACTGGGAGACCGGGAGCTGTGCTGTATACCATTACCGATGACGACCTCATTGCCAGCCCTACTTAACTCCCGCCCCTCAGTTAGAAGGGCACCGCTTGTCACAGTTGAGGATCATCGCATTCCTCGCACACAAACGGTCAATTTTCCAGCAAGCGATCCCAGCCTCTCATTTGAAGAGGTTGTTCGAGAATATTCCCAGATATGTTCGTCTCCTGAGGACAAACGGAGTGAGGGCGGGGTAACGTCGGAGCTGGACAGCGGCTTCGTCGCTACCACTGTGGACGATGTTTGTAAACTACCCGAGACGGAGGACGAAAGTAACAAACTCTCGGGCTATCTCCCGTCAAAGATTGTTTTCGAGACACGAAACAAATCACGAGATGCGATTCGGCTGGGTAGCACACATGACAGCATAGAAGCACTGGAAAAGGGACTTCAGGCATTAAGGAGGCAATCTGGCCAGCGATCGGACTCTTGGATTCTTGGAGAAGCTGAGATACTTCTTGATCTAGGTCGCAAAGACGAAGCCAAGAAGACTCTTGCCCATTGTGCAACGGAACCGACAACGCGAGGAAAGACAGCGTCTCGCCAACAACCAGTTCTACGAAAAAGTGCATCAGCGGCGGATGCTCTGTTTGCTGAAGATATGTTGAAGTTCAACCAACAGAGTCATCAACAAAACCAAGAGGAACTCCTTCAGCTTTCGTTGCGAGCTGAGGACTGGGGGAAAGCGCGAGAGGCTGCGGAAACCCTTCATCGGATCGACTCCAGCTATTTCGACATCAAAAAACCTATGGACCGATTTCTGAAATGTCGGCAGATGTTAAACCTCGGAGTTCTAGCAGAAACAGGAGCTCCAAATTCCAACAATGACTTGCAACGACAAAGCTTGGCAAAAGCTTTGAGGCTCTACAACCACGGATGTTTTGCAACTGAGCTCTTTCATAAACACTTCGATCCTCCACAAGCTCAGGTCAATGGACTTGACCACAGAGATTGTGCCAATCTCTTCTTTTCCGCCGCACGAGTTTGTGTTCAGTTCCATCGATATGGTATTTTCGATGAGCGGGGAAAGCCGCTCTCTCCAGACGGATTTACGAAGCGATTCAAGAAAGACGCACTTCCGTGCAGTCCGCCTTTGACCGAGAAAGATTGGAAGCACCAGGCTTTGCACTTCATGGAGCAGGGAAGATCTCGGGCGTTGCTGGAATCAATAATCCGGGGAGATCCCGAGGAGCCCCTGGTAACTACCATGCAAAGACGATATTTGATGGCCGACGTGGCGTTGGCAGCTCGGGAAAGCATACGCATCAAAAAGAAGAGAGATTCCTTCCTGCTTGGTGTAGATCCGCGGTCTTCCGCAAGCACTGCTTCAGACTCGCTTCAAGATTACTCCCTTTTAGAGCTTACTGATAGTCCTTCCTCTACAACCATGTCCGCAAAACCGTCGCCAGATATACCAGAAATCCTCGCGAACAGAGAGCCTCGATCATTAGCTCTTGGTCCACTTTTGGATACAGCTGGTTTGGACGATTACAAATATTCCGATGCCTTGCCTGCATCGCCCTCGTCACTAGGTGGATCTGATCTCGGTGGAGAGTTAAGAGACAAGAAATTGGCTCAGCTCAACGCGCAGATGCGATGGCGAAAGGCGATACTTTACGCCTTTTGTGTGTGCAATCCTACCCTGAATGCCGCCATGCCAAGCGCCAGTTTCGTCAACGACGCCAGCAGTATTCGATCAAAGATTCCCTCCGATACTGTTGTGGTTGAGTACGCATTAGTTACCGCACCTCCCGAAGGTCTGATCACTCTCGTCATCTCTTCAAATGCAATTGAAGAATGTACTTGGCAGAGAGTCGATACTCTGCAGCGAGATGTTGCAGATCTTCTGAGTTCGATGCATTCATGGGGTACGAAGACCCGAGAAATGAGCCCCATATCCCCAAGGAGCAAAGCCCCAATCAACGTGCACGAGATTTGCAGCAATCTCTCCCGAATCCTCATCCAACCCATCGAGCAATACCTCGCTGGCAAAAAGAAGCTCATCATCATTCCATCCGGCGAACTGGCACACGTGCCCTGGACTATGTTCCTGCATCTCCCGGTCGCCGTTGTGCCAAGTCTCTCCATCTGGGACCACCTCCAAACTCACTCTCGCGAAGCGGTCCAGCCATCAAAAGTGTCTGTTGTCGGCAACCCGCCTCGGAACGAAGACGACACACTCCGTGATGGCGATATTCCGTTCTCGCACATGGAAGCCTTCTACATCGCCAGAATCAACCAGGACTTCCCTTTTCTTGCAGGAGAAAACAATCGCAAGCAATTTCAAGAATGGGTAGCGCTTACTCGTGTGCTACATCTTTGCGCACACAGCACATTCGATGAGAAAGACCCCGCTCGTTCAGGGATCCAGCTGTTCCGAGATCCACTGACAATCCATGATTGGCGAGATCTGACGATCAAAGCAGACTTAGTGGTTTTCTCCTCTTGCCTCTCGGGAATATCCAAAGCATTCCATTCCGGCTCAGCGTTCGGTTTCGCACACACACTTCTCGGTACGGGAACACGCGCATTCATCGGGAGTCTCTGGCCGGTGGATGACCAGGCCACTTTATTCTTAATGATGATATTCTATGATCAACTTCGATTATTCTCACCAGCCGTAGCTCTCCACAATGCGCAAAAGCGGATGCAAAATCTATCACACGAAGACGTTTGGGGACTGGTGGAGAGGTTGAAGATCGAGGTGCAACATGCGAGAGTTGATAAGTTCGTCGATAATCCGACGTTCTGGATACGGAGGCTGGATAATCTCAGAGACGATGAACTACAGGATCTTAGAGATCCGCGGTCTTGGGCGGCGTTTGTGCTGACGGGATATGGGTTTCAGAATATCTAGAAGACACCTACGAACTAATATAAAAATCCAAGCATTTCGCATCATTGGAGATTGATCAAATGGTGTGGTGTCACTCGAGATTTGTATGCTGCCTGTTCCAAGCTCAATGTTCAATTCCAAGCCTACCAACAGACACATTCCTCTCGAATCCCCTCGTATCTCCTCCATCCACCTCAATCATCATGATCCTTCAACACGATATCATCTACCCTATGATATCCTTGCCCCTTCCTCCTTTTCACCTCCCTCTCCCACGCACTCCTCTCCTTCAACCACGCATACAGCGGAAACCACGCCGCATTCCACCACGTCATCTCTTCCTTCCTAATCCTGTGACCTCTAAGCCATGCTTCGCGCTCAGCTTTCTCTCGCTGCTTTTTCTCTCTTTCTTGGCGCTTTTGTTCGTTTCTGAGTCGGATACGTTGCTCGCGCTCGAAGCGGGCACGCTCTTGGTCGGCGTGAGACCTGTAGTTGCTGCTTCCGCCGCCGCCCATGATTGCAAAGATTTCAAGCTATATATACTGCTTAGATGGAGTTTTGTGTGATATGAGGTGAAATAATTGATCTGGCGTGGCGAGGCTGTGACAGGGTCTACGATAATGTTAGAATATCAGGCAAACACATCGATTAATTGCAATGTACTCACCAAATCATATCAATAATCTCACTTCTTGATGGAATCAACTACAGAAGTCTCAAGGGGATCCTCATTCTATATCTCATCTTCCCCGCGGTCCCAGAAGGAAGACATGTGGTCGAGGCTCAGCACCTGATCCCATATGCGATCGATGTTCGCCCGGCCAAGACGTGCCTCAAAACCACTGGCTCGGATATCATGCATCCCAAAAACCCAGCGACTCAGCTCCCAATCCCCAGCGAGAAATTCAGCCTCGATGCCTTACGATCATGTTTGAGAAATAGGCAGCCATTTGACTAACCTATGACACTGTGAGGCTGTGCCGGGAGGCGCTGCAGCGAAGCGGAGGGTCGATGGGAGTTGGGCGATAGATGCAGGGTTGTCCGTATTTATGAGATGAAAGCCGAATTGGCGTAATCCAGTCGGAGGAAGTTCCTTCTTGTTTTTGATACAGCAGCTCACTTTTTTCTTGGTACATTATCGAGCGTTGAAATTTCCTGGTAGATAATAGCAAAGAGCAGCCTCAAAATGCCTGGCGAGAAAAGCCACAAAGAGCGGACTGTCCCGATGGAAGTCCTGGTACTGGGACTCTGCCGCACCGGGACAATGTGTAAGCTGCAATGCTTCATTCCTTGCCCTTGAATTTGCCAGCTGATTCTGATTGGGATAGCAATGAGAATTGCCCTAGAAAAACTCGGCTATGAAAATGTTTATCATTTTTCCAGTGTCTTTGAGCACGAGACACATCCCGAGCTCTGGATCTCGGCACTGAAGGCAAAATACGAACAGAAAGGAAAGGAGTCAACAAATCAGTTCTCAAAAGAGTATTGGGACGACATCCTCGGAGAATACAGTGTAAGTCTCACTCCCTCTCTGGATGTCTGCACACTTCTGGTACGAGTGACGTTTATCTAGGCAGTTACAGATATCCCATGCGCGTGCTTCGCACCCGAACTCATCGCGGCATACCCAAACGCCAAGTTAATCCTCACTACCCGCTCATCAACAAGCTGGCATACATCTGTGCTTCGAACGATACACGCACTTCAAAGTTCCTATCTGAATCGCTTCCTCCTCCTGTTTTCCGCCGCTTATCTCAACCGCATCTCATCACTCATGGATCTCATCATCGAGCACTATTTCCGCGGCAATATCCCACATTTTGGTGTACAAGTATTTAAAGAGCATAACGAGATGGTGAGGAGAAGTGCGAAAGATGAGGGCAGAGAATTGCTGGAGTTTAACTTGGGTGATGGGTGGGTGGAGCTATGTAGATTCTTAGGAAAGGACGTCCCTGATTTGGATTTTCCGCATGTTAATGAGAGGGATTCGTGGAGGAGGTCGTTTGGTTTGGGATGGAGTGGGAGGAATGTACTTCTTTCTGGGTTGCCTGTTGTTGTTGGAGTTCTGGGGATTTGGCTTGCGTCTTGGAAGCAGTAGCCTGGGCGGAATTGAGACTCGCGAAGTCGAGCGTTATGCCTTGCATGACCGAGTTGACAGCTGCTTCGAAGCTTGCTTCTTGTTGAAAAGATTATTTCGATCTCTGGTGCACGTACGTGAATTGATGAATGCCGAATCTTCTACAGTGGGAGTATTGAAATCAATAGGTTACGACTTAGGCCTAGATTTGACCTCGTGCACTAACATTCGCATGAGAACCTACTACTTTCGATTGACCTGTGTCATGAAAGCTTGCAGAGGCTTGTAACAGAATAAGTATGGAAGATTGGCATATCTTGTCGTAAAGAGGTTGTTGTTCGTGCTTAAAGCTGGGGTATTGCTTCGAAGTCGTTCACTTCACTATCATTAAGATGTGGCTCTGACAAAAGGCAGTCTTGACGCAGTACCATGGATAGTGATGCTTCATGTAGTCTTTTTTTTGGAATCAACCAGTCTCGCTCATTTATCTTGACAGCTCATCGCCCTGACAATTGACTACCTGGGATCAAATCCCCTAACCACACTTCCCCAAATATATCTGGCCATCTCTCCTCTCTGTAAAACTAGTTGTCGCACAATCTCATCATAGCCTGTGGAACTACATTCGGGATAAACTTCTCGGCATGTTCTCTCTACCAGGAACAACTCTCATTGGGTATGAACTGATCCATTCGCATGTAGTATTGGCCTTTCGGCATAGGCGGTCTCCACACCAATCGCGGATCTGTGTCTCTAAAGCTACCCTTGTGGCTTTCTGCTTTTGACATATACCTCCATACACCAAATCTTAATAGCCACTTGACGTTCTTTTCCCACGACACCATAACTGCATGAAATACGGGGCTGAGAAAAGCTTGAAACACTGAACCAGAATTAAGGGATTCACTATCGGCACCATGTATCACTGTACATTTCAGCATCCATTTCGGCTCAAGTTGAAACTTTCCAAATGTTTCTGCAGCAGACACGAAAACATGGCTTTGAGAGAAAGTGCGAGCCAGGAAGCAAATTTAGCTGTAGATATCATTAGGCTCGCTTTTTGATGCCGAAGCGTCTATTGCTCAAAGTTCTGACCTTCCTAAAGCTCCTTCTTGATCTCAGAATTGAAAGATCGCCACATTCAAGAGTCGTCATATGTCAACAATCATGCGTGAGTTTCAGATGGTATACCTAAGCATTGGCATCTCTGGTGCGGCGAGGTGAAAACCCAACCGCATATTGGGAGTTTGGCTTTTATTATCTCCGACTATTGAAGAAGAAGAGTGAGCGATATGTCAGCACTCCGACGAAATGCAATTTTATGCCTATACTCCATTTCCATCAGGAAGACTCGCGAAACAATTTTTTGGGAGAAGATCATTGGTCAGCAGAGCTGTTGGCTCTACCGAGCCATGGCCAAAATAATCAGTAATCATAAACATCGCCCACAATTAGCGAGTCCAGTAAACAGCACCCGCTACGCTTAGTTACGGCCGCACTTCTCAACTGTTCGAAACCTTGATCTCACAACTGCATCGGATTCGGGGAGCGTGGGAACAGAATGCCAGACCTATCAAGACCAGGTGTTTTGTCCTCAGGGATGTTTGTAAGTCAAAGGGGGTAATAAGCTACCTGCTATGTCATCGCATCCCAGTCCGTTCTGCCCCAGTGGTGAGAAGAATTGGCATCCAGCCCCTGTCTAAACGCATCATGAAGAGTAATCGCGACCGGGATTTGATGGACGCAGTGTTCAATCCAGCGAAAGCTTGTTCAGTACTGCCTGAACTTGATGTTTGAGCGCAATTGTTCATCTCCAAATCCACAGTGTATTTACCTCCGTATTGGATGACGGAGATCGGAGCATGCTTTATCAGCGAGTTGACATTGATGAGCATGGGAATCTGCATAAGATAGCTTCGAGGGTCGCTGGTTCATCAATTTCTTCATTCTAATTATCACAAGCTCAAGCAATACTCGACTCTACAATAACTTCTGCAAATCTCAACACAGCCTCTGTACAGATAGCATCCGCATTTGAGTACATAATACATTACAGTACCAAAATCCAGCCCTGCAACATCTCCAGCAAAGCACATCAATGTCGGACCTCATCCGCGAAGCTCCTCTTGGCCAGTTCATGCGCTGGGTCTCCCGCAACAAACTATTTCAATACCCCGAGGAACGCGAAGGATTCGTCCTACCCATCCAATATATCACTCAACTAAACTCAAAAACCAATCCTGAGACAAAAGAATCGACTGTTCCATTGGCACCAACCCCAAGTACTGTCACCAGCGCTGATTTCACTTCTCTGGATACCGACCTCGAAGGCTTAGGTCTAGGCGCTACCAGAACCAAGAGTCGTGCCGATACATTGCCATACAGCAGCGAGCGCTTCGAAGTCGAACAACAACTGGCCCTTGAAAGAACCAAGACGATCCCAATCGTACCAAAGAAGACGTCCGATGGTATCATCCTGGTGGATTGGTACACGACCGACGATGTCGCCAATCCACATAACTGGTCCAAGGGAAAGCGCACATTTGTTACCGTCGTGATGTGTATCTACACTTGGGTAGTGTATACGGGGTCCTCCATTTACGCAGCAAGTGAGGGTGGAGTCATGGAGCGCTTTTCTGTCAATCATACCGAGGCGGTCCTACCACTGTCGCTCTATGTCCTTGCATACGGTGTTGGCCCACTTATTTTCGCTCCTCTCAGCGAGATTCCAGTCATTGGACGCAATCCCGTATACTACCTGACCTTCATCCTCTTCTTCGCATTATCATTTCCCACTGCTGTTTCCAATAGTTTCGCTGGCCTGTTGGTATTGCGATTTCTGCAAGGTTTCTTCGGAAGTCCAGCTCTCGCCAATGCTGGTGCAACGTTTTCGGACATGTATTCATTGCTTTACGTCCCGTATCCTTTGTCATGGTGGGTGTTCTCTGCATGGGGTGGCCCGGCTCTGGGCCCATTGATGGCTGGATTCGCCGTCTCAGCGAACAACTGGAGATGGAGTCTCTGGGAGATTGTGTGAGTACTTTCCTATTCACCGCTTCCACTGAAGAGCTATGCTGACTTTATTATTAGCTGGATGGCCGCTCCAATGCTCGTCCTCCTTCTCGCACTGATGCCCGAAACCTCAACCCCAAACATTCTCCTGCGCCGCGCCCAACGCCTTCGAAAGCTCACAGGCGACTCGAGACTTCAAGCCCAAAGTGAGATCGATCAACGCCATTTCACGGCGTCCGGTATTCTCGTCGACGCACTTATCAAACCCATCGAGATTACCATCAAGGACCCAGCTATCTTCTTCGTCAACATCTACACAGCACTGTTCTATTCAATTTATTACACCTTCTTTGAAATTTATCCTCTGGTCTTTCCTCCATTTTATGGTTTCAATCTGGGGGAAATTGGCCTCGCGTTCCTAGCTTGTCAAGTCGGTGCGACAATCGGTCTTCTGGCTTACTTCGCATACTTGCATTGGTACATGATACCCGATAACATCGCCCACGGGGTGCGAGAACAAGAACATCGTCTCGTCCCCGCCATCGTCGGCTCGTTCTTCCTCCCAACAGGTCTCTTCATTTTCGGCTGGACAGCTCGTTCAGACATCCATTGGATTGTTCCACTCATCGGAGTTGTCATCTTTGTCATTGGCACATTCCTTATTCTTCAGAGCATCTTTGTTTATGTTCCGCTGTCTTATCCACAGTATGCTGCGAGTCTTTTCGCGGGGAACGATTTGGTCAGGAGTGCTATGGCTGCGGGAAGTATTCTGTACGCTAGGCCCCTGTTTGTGAATCTGGGCGTTGGAAAGGGGATTTCGGTTTTGGCAGGCTTGAGCACGCTTGGGATCATTGGTATGGTCGCTATTTACCTTACTGGCTCTAAGTTGAGAGCCAGGTCCAAGTTTGCAACGAGCTAGGAAGGTTATTCCCGATTCTTTGACAGAAAGATGATGTCAAGCGTTGTTGAGAGGAGCAGGGTGTCAGGCAGCAAGAGTTAGGATGTGAATGAAAGCCGGCGTTCAGGGGCTGTGTTCTGGGATATTGGTTCTGACTACTAGAGAGACATGATGACAGGAAGATTAGATTGGCATATATGCGTACTTAATGATTGCAGTATCTGAAATGTCTCTGGATTTTCTGCAAATTTGATTTTCATATGCAAATCTTTCAATATTCATGCCTAGGTTCATGAAGGAAAAACCAGGTCTGTGTATTGTGTCTTCTTTGACATAGAAATGTTGAAAGAACAAGGATTGCCCATTTTTGTCTTAACCTCAGATATCTCATAAAGTCTTGAAGCAAAGAAACAGAAAAGAGTAACAAAGAAACCACACTAAGCTATTGTTACTGTCAACCGCAATTCACACCGACTTGGTAGTGATCGGTGTTCAGTCAGTTTCCACTGTCCCTCTTCTGAACACAGCGTTGGACTCTCCAGCAAACAGTACTCTGTTCGCAATATCATGCTCAAACAACTCTTCTATAGGTAATATAACTACTCAACTACTTCAGTCATTCAACTGTTTCTTTTGGCAGCGAAGCTCTGCAATTCCGCTCCAGTCAGCGCAGGACTCACCCCACGATTGCCCACAAGCCAAACCAAGGAAGTTTCATCCCAAGAATAAATTGAAATCTTGACTAGCATCATGTCTTGTACTCATCCACAGAAAGATGGCCGCGGTTGCAGAACGGTTGAACCGACTCCATCTGCCCTTGAAGAAAACAAGCGTGGGCCCCAATACGAATCCCGGAGCAGCTCGAGCTTAAGTGAGGGTAACTCCGACAACGACATGTCGCCTGCTCCACTGAACTTGATACACAAGCAACTTGCCAGCGGTATAGTCTTTGAATCTAATCGGAAGCTTCGGGAGCAACTCCACCCCGATATTCAAAGCTCCAGTGAGAGTGACAGTGAGCGGGTTTCAACGACAGCATCCAAGTCCACTGCAAAGCTTGAACCCTCTGCTGATACTGGGAAGGCTTTCCAAAACTTGACGGACCTAAGTAAGTCCACAATATTCTCATCCAAGTACCGTGAGACGAATGGCAGGGGTGTTAAAGGGAATCGGCCTCGATCCAATGCCTTTTCCGAGAGCAAAGGCAAGAACATGAAGAATTACACCACTAATTCTACCTCACCTCCCGTGAAGACTACGAATCGCTTGGAGATCGAGAAACAAAAGTCTCCTGGGAGATTACTCGAAGGCTCTCATGGACATACAGTCAGGTCCATTGACCAGAGCAATGCCACGCCCACGAAGAGCAGCACCACTGTCTCTTCATCCAAGCCCAAGGATACCCAGAATCTCCCAAAGAGCTATGAAATATCCGAGCCGATCCCCTACAGCAAGAACAAGTCCAAAGAGGATAGCACCAATGCAACTCTCTCCAAAGACTTGAAAGCCATGAGCATCTCGGCGACATCAGTAGCTCCACCAGCAGCTTGTACTGGTGTACCAAACACTGCAGGCGAAAGTGCCGACCAAGTCCAGGCACAAGGTTTGAAGTCACCCGTTGAACCATGCGCAGCAGTCAAAGGCAAAGCCAAGGTCCATTGGAAGACTCACTCCAATACTGATAGCTCTGCAGTCGCACCTCCCACCAATTATTCCCGGCCTCTTTCTCTCAGCCCTCAGCCACAGAATAAAGTTGAGGTAAACCCGCTTCTGTCGAGGAGTTCTACCACCCCTCCTCCCTCTCCGAATCCTGAGACCCAAACCAAGGAAGACAGCCAGCCCCAGACTCAACAACAGCCACATAACAGCACATGGTTATTTACAGCCAAGAATTTCCTCACCACACCACCAAAAGCCGTATCTGACTGGTTGTTTGGCTCCTCGTCAACACCATCCAAGCCCAAGGACTCTCCAGATACCAAGGAAACTACTACCTCAGCCTCCATAAAGACTAACACTTCCAAGTCTAATCACGGGTTGGAGACAATTTTGGAGGAGACCGAGCCTCTTCAGAAAGACTGGATTGTGGTCGGTACTAGTGAGAAGGGCATGGCGGAGAATCTCATGGTAAGCTTGAAGGAGGAGGAGAAAAAGTGAGGGGTTCTCGGTGAGTAAATCATTCCGGATGCGAGTACTCTTCCTTTTAAGGGAACAGAGTGAGTTTCTGGAGCTGGAACCTTGAGAGCAAAACTTTCTCGAGGCACTCTCCCTTTCGATCAAGTCATTATGTCTACGGTTGGGGTATCAAGTCAGGAGTTGCTTTTCACGATCCTTGTTCTCCTTCTATTCGTACCGCTTTCTGGAGTCACTATGACGGCAAGAAAAAATGATTACCGGATCAGAAGTTTACTTTCTTATGCGATGCTTTTGCTCCCACTAGTCTTCGTACTACACTTGCTCCTTTTTCAAAACAAGTACACATTAGAATAAATACAAAATGGGGGTTCCCCTTTAAAACACCTTCTTGCACTTTCCTAATATGTCCCTGGTACAAATAAAATCTCAAGTATATGACAACTGAGCAATCCGCTCAGCCAAATTATAGCCCGTGAGGTTACGAGATCGCCAGCATCGGCTGGTGTTGACTTAGAAGATTTTAACTTTCTCGCTTAGAGGGTGGAGAATGTCAACAAGTAGAGTCTTTCCGGAATATCTCTCCGGAGCGCGATATATAGAGTTATTGCCAGGACTTGAAATTTGATAACTGTTCTTCATTCCCAGTTTGAACAGATCAACTGATCGATGTATCTGGCAGGCCGTATATGTCATTCTTGGGTAGAGTCATGACCACGCAAGATACAATGAGGCAATGAGTCGCGTCTTACGCAAGCAGGACCTAAATTTACTCTCACTCTTTGTGCTGGATCAAAATCACAACAAAGATACCGCGAATGACACCAAAAGTAGGACTTCAAGAATATCCATGACTCTAAATACATCTCTCACAATTATCCAGCGCAACAGTGAAGTGCCCAGACGTAAACAGAAATAAACCACAACTCCCACTCACTGCATCCCAATCACACATCCCTTTCAACTCCCCTTCCTTTCCCTTCCCTCTCACCCAAAATTCCAAATAAATCAACCCCCCTCCTCCTATCCTCTCCCCTTCCTCCCCCTTCCCTTTTCACTTTCCTCAACCCAAACACAAAAACACACAACACACAAACACAACATCCAAACCAACACTATCCATCTCCAGACAAACAAACCCCAACTTCAGCTACAACCACACAAACAAACAAAACTTAAGAACAAATAACTTCAACCACACTTACAGATCCCAACACAAAAGAATGATCGACCAACACGAAATCTACTGCACCGGCTGCAAACGCGCGTACTACCCTTCTGCCCTTGTCAACGGCCTGTGTAATGCTTGTAGGAATGGGATGACGCCTGCGAATTATGGTAGTAATAATAATAATAATAATAGCAGTAATGATGGTGGATATGGTGGGGGGTATGTTGGAGGAAATGGAGGGTATGGGTATGGATATGGTGGGCGCCGATAGATGCTAGGAGGTGGAGTGGAAGAGAGAGAATAGGAGAGGAGGCAAGGGTGATAAGCGAGGAAGATTGTTCAATAGCGATGAGGTGTCAAGTTAGCGTGGAGTGAGAATGGTGAACTGAAGGAAGGAAGGAATGGCTTCTGGAATGGTATGGTACGACGATGAGCTTCTATTTAAGCAAGCAGCAACCCGGCGAGGAGTTTAGAAGAAAGAATTGAAATATAAAAGAAATAAAATTGTGATATCTCCTGCTGTGCTGAAATATGTTCCTTGTTAGATTGGAAAATGAAAGTTGTTAGAAGATGCCTCATTTGATACGTCCTTTCCAGCTGGAGTGAGGAGGTGCAATATGCGAGTATATAAACAACCCGAAAGGCCAAGCATGCTCGTATCTACCGAGCTTTCCACTTTCCAAGAACTTAAAACCCATAAACCGAAAGACTCTCGGTTCCAGCGCTTTGCCACTTGGCGTCTTCTCTCACAAACAGGATGTTGCGCGCTGGGAGGATACACCCGTACCGCACAGTGACAGCATCCAGTCACACAACGTCCCACCAGTCATGACACAAGGTCCAAATCATCAAATATCATTGTCTAGCGTCTTTATCTTCGCAGATCAAACTAAACGCACGATCTCCGTCCAAATCCCACCCTAAGAAATCATATCTTCGCGGGAAACAAGCTCACCCATACACGCCCGAACCGCCTGTATCCAACGCCCACACACGCACCACATCAGGTCCAGCTCCATCCCATTTCCCATTTCTAGACCCACCCACTCTCCCTACCACCACTTTCCGAACCCTTATTCATCACCTATCGTCCTCCTCAGATCCTCCACCGCAAATCTACTGCGGCAAAGTCTCATACCCACTGCTAGAATTATGCGCAGCACGGTTCGAGAAAAGATAATAGATAATCAACCCTCCAATAGGGAAGACAAAAACCAAAACACACCAAAGCAACTTGGGGAGGACTTCGCGGTTGGACTTGAGGACCTCAACTGTAAGACAAACAAGACCACATTAGCACCGACCGACCAATCAATCAAACAATCAAATAAAGTTGTGTTCATCCAGGCACGGAGGCCTTGGGACCAACAACTCCAGAGGAAGGTAAAGGGAGGGATGTGCCCAACGTACGGAACACCATAATATCCAAAATCAGCACAATGAACCCGATGATTCCCCCACCAGTACCGTATTTCCATGCATTCTCCTGCACGGCCTCGGTGGACATCGGTGCAGCCAGGGCAGAGCCGGCGAGGAGGAGGAGGCTGAGGAAGGATTGGAAGGTGTACATTTTGGCTGGTGGTATCGTTCTATGAATTTAATCTGATATCGAGATGGTGGATTTGTGGGTTTGGAAGATTTATTTAATGGTGTTGTTGGGGAGATGGGAAGAGAATAAGGAGAAGAGGTTGGAGCAGCTGAAGGATGAGGAAGAGGATGGCGGGGTTGGTTGAGCGATCGGCGCTAGTTCCCTAGGCTACAGTGTACGAGTGGGACGGGAGACGCTAGGAGGGTGACGTCACGCATCACCAGACAGGGGGGCCGAGGCTGAATTAAGCGATGGCTGGTGGGAAGCGGGAATGAAAGTAAACAAGATGGATGCTTGTGGGAAAGGGTGTGTTGTCTGGAGAAGTATTCATTCTGAGGTTAGATAACACGAAATGATTAAGCAAGGTGTGTCTTTTCTTCGGGCCGATGTAGTGATTTCGGGGTCCCAAATACAAGGCTGAGTTGTACCAGGAGCTTGACTCCTTGAGGAAGAATTGGGTTCTGTATCGGGCTGTAGAATTATCGAGACGATCTGTGATTCAGAAGACTTGTGGCGAAGAGGTTTAAGTAAATACAAGATTCCCATTGGATCAACTGAGCAGTAGGGAAAGAGACGATTTCCACGTGAACGCTGCACCACTGACACTTGAGCTCGATATCCTCCTTGATCATACAGTCTGTATTAATGCTAATGGCTAAGTGATCATAGATAGCAATACACATCAGAATTTATTACAAGTATATACAACATGCTCATGGCATACTTCCCGATTGAACACATCCATCCCTTCCAGTCATAAACTCAGCATCATACACTCATACCCATGATCCTCTTCGTGATTCGCCCACTCATTTCCTCATTTCCTCATCTTATCATACACTCATACCCATCATCACCCCCACTACATAGCCGCCCCAATAATCGCACTCCCATCACTATCCCCCCTCTCCCCAAACGGCCTCCCCGTCCCCACCCTAACACTCTGCCTCCCCAAAACCGCCCTACTCATTTCCGGCCTCGCCGTCTGTACCGCCCCCATCGTCGGGAACGGACTGATACTCCTAAAGCTCTCTTCCAACCACGTCGTGAACTTCGGCGGCCGATCAGGATGATCGGGGTCATATGTCAATGTATTCTTCCTCACCATATTCCCCACCGGCCTCTCACTGCTCGGCCCGTCGCGAGATAGCGGCGCGCTCATTCCTGTGGGGAGACCGGGCGTGGTGACGAGTGTTGCGGATTGAGATTGCAAGAGATCGTCTTTGGATGGAGACCAGGTTTGGCGGCTTAGGCTGACGTCGCTGCTTCCGCTGCTGGTCATAAAGGGTTCGTTTACCCGTTCGCGTTTTGCGGCGCGTTCGCGTTCTCGAGGTGCTGGTCCTACCGTCCATGTCTTTCGTGTAACTAGTGGAGGGGGATAATCGATCTCTGCCATATCGCCCGCGCCGCGCATGTATGCTAATCTCTCCCTATCCGTGGCACTAACTCGTGCGTTCCCACGAGGCCAATACCCAGTATCTCCTCTCCCTGTTGAGCGATTTCGACCACTTCGCCGCTCTTCACTATTTACCCTACTCCATTGTGTCCGGTTCATGGGAAGAGGAAACTCGGACAGACTAGGTCCATCGCTCTCCTCGCTTTCGTGTCGTTTTCGGCGGATCTTGGATTTCAGCTCGTCTTGTCGTTGGAGGCGTCGTTTGCTTCGGTATCGTACGATGAGGTAGAAGAGGAGGATTGTGATAAGCGAGGAGCCGAGGATTGCGAATGTTATCGCCAAGATGAACGTCGTTCTGTTCATGGCAGATATTCTGGACGCGGCAATCGCGGCACTTGCTTGTGACTGGCATTGATCAGTTTCCGACTATGTTCCAAGCAAATGGGAAACTTACGGCGACTGCAGAAATAGTCGCTTGCGCTTGTGCGATCGCATTAGTGGCCGTTGCTAGTAGACTGTCAGACCGAATCGGAGAAGTATTGGGATGAATACGTACACTGCGCACCACTAGCCAACGCATTTGCACCTGCGACTGCAGCACTCGCACTCGTTTGAACGGCCTGGAGAGCATTATTCGCAAGCAAGACACGGCCATCAGCACTTGACTGAGCAGCAGCCACAGCCTGATTAGCACTCGCTTGTGCCGAAGCGATTGCGGAAGCAGCATTTTGGGTTGCCACGAGAGCAGCCTGAGACTGGATGGATGCGTTACTGACGGCGGCTTGGAGCGATGCGGCGGCTGTCGCCAGGGCGAGGGACGCAGATAGTCTTGCGCTCGCCAACGCATTGTTGGCTGAATTGAGTGCTGCCTGTAGAGAAGCGATAGATGCTGAAGCCGCAGCAGACCCGGCGGGTAGCGATGCCGTAACTGGTGGTGGTATAACCTGGGTTGCTGTGAAAACCCCGCCATTGGGGATTGTCGTAATAGAGATCGTCGTAAGTAGGGAATTGGCCGGCGGGAAGATGCCAATTGCTTCAGGCGAAGGGAGTGGCGATGGTCCTGCTATCTGGCCATTGAGTGAAGATATCGGTGTTGCATCAACCTGGGGAACGGTAAAGAGCTGTCGCTTTGCCTCCACGTTCTGCAGCGGCAGATTCGCCAGCCATTCTCGATGGTCTGAAATGAGATTGTTGGCTCTGGTGACGATATTGCCGATCGCCTCACCCGGGAGTAGTATTGCTGGACCAGCCTTGTGAACATACGGATTCGAATCTGACGCATCTTCAGGTTCGTTGAGCAAAAGAGACATTATTTTTATGCTGAGAGACCGCCGGCATGATTCCGATCCATTGAACTCCAGATGACAAGTGGCCGAAGTCCTATCTCCAGAGACAAATCATTGAACTTTTGAGCACCCAAACCAAACTCCTGAAGACTAAAAGAGACAAGACGGAAATCCAGCGTCCGGGGTACAAAGAAAACGAATTATTAGTCCAAATACTTGTTATGGGCCGGCCAACAGAGGTATGCAGATGTGTTGATGGGGAGGAAAATGAATATTTCGGAGACATCTCGCGGAGGGTTTGCGAGTTGTCTCGCGCCACAGCGTAATGTAGCAGGTTGAGGCTCAAGTTGCGCACATGGTTCGGGAACCGGGGAGAAACAGACCTATCAGGACAGATGACGTTGGATTTTTGACTTCGTACATCCTTGATGCGACTCACTCAGATACAGATCTCTGTCGCGTGGTGGTCCAGATCTGGAAGGTTGGTGGTCAAAGAGCGATGGTTTCAAAACACTCCTGATGCAAGGTTTGAGCCAAGTGACGTGTTATGAAATCCCGTCGATGGCCAGACATGTCATGGAAATCAGGTTAGAAAGCATTCCATACTCATCAATGCGACTTTGGATCATATGATAGATATGACAATGGTGAGGCTTGAGTCCGGGAAGCCCCAATAATGCATGAAGAGGTTCATATTAACTTTCGGACGCTAAATCGGTAGACGCGCTTACGGTGGGACTGTCACGTGATATTAAATCAAGGTTCTCCTGGTGGTTTGATACCTCAACGCATGAACCTCAAAGCCAAGTTCTTGTAAAGTGTCAAGATTAGATCATAAGAAACAAGGAAAGCAATATTAATAGTCAAATGCTATAGTAAATAAGCACGTCAAGCTACCAAGAGAAAGAAGACAAAATTAGAGAAACTCAATTGGTATCATATCCAGCCCGCCCAAGTAACCCTTCAGCTCCCACCCCCACACCCTCCTCCTCCACCACACCCTCCCCCACCGCAACCTCCAATGCCTCCTCCACCGCCATAAGCATACCCATATGCGGTACCACCACAATTCCCATTGCTAATACCAATCCCGCAAGTACCTAGTGCACAGTTCCCAGGTGTTCCGGCTCCGAAAGCTCCAACGCAAGGATCTCCAGCATAGTAGATCCCACCCATCATCCCCACCGTCATATACGGACCATACATGAGCAAGGGATATCCCCACGGCCCCTGATAATACTCGGTTCGTTCCGGCGCAGGTCGACCTTTTGCCTTGGCTCGCTTGCAGGCTTTCTTGTACGCCTCTTCCAGTTCTCTATCGTGTTGCTTACGAGCGACTCTAACGATCATTGCGCGCACTGGATTCTCAACTGTGCTCACGCTGGAGTGAGCGGATATGTGCGCTGCTTTGTCGGGTGTTTGCCCTTTGGCTGCTCCAGACTCGTGGAATTTGTTCAGGGCTTTCTCCTGCTTCGTTGCTCCAAATAGTTTGCCTGTGTGTGACTGCGCTCGAATTGCTAGACTTATGGTTAGAGAGGCGCAGAAGATATGGGACAAATACTGACCTTCGCAGTACCAACATGTACACTCAGAGTATAATTCACCGAACTCAGCCTCGTATGTCCTGGTTGTCCACTGGAAGTGTTTGGATACTGGGCGAACAGATCAGTATATGCTTCATAGTAGCTTCGACATTCGCGAGAGGTAGAGTTTGATAGAATTCTGACGTGACTTACAAGTATCCTCCTCAATCTTATCATCGTGATCGATGAACTTCTTGGCTTTGGACATGGTATAGGCAAAATAGGACCTCGGAGACAGCTGGTGTGTATGCCAAGCGAGGTCAACATCCAACGTTGGGACCCCCACACGCATCGGATACGCAGTTATGAGCCTCATGAAGCGGGAGTATTTCCCCAGCAATCGTTTCATGGTCTCCCGAGCTGCAGGGCTGTGGATCCAATCTATTGAATACATCTTGTCGACGAAGACACCCTGCCGCACAACAGCGCCACCAAGCTCCATCGAGAATATTGAGGGATTGGTCCAATATCGAGTCATCATCTTCCTTGTCGCAAAGCGTTCAAGGCGTTGTGGGACACCGCTCTCGAAGACACTCTTGGCATTGACGCCTTTGATGACTGCCTTGTCGAGGATAGCCTTTTCAATCAGAACCTTGACATGCTCCATGGTTGGCGCCTCCGTATTGATGAGGTCCGAGAGCTGGGATCTGAGATGAAGGCGGAACAGACGATTTGGGAAAGCGTTAAAGGTAATGTTTTGCTCGGATACGCTTGCGTCAATTGGAGCGCCTGTCTCTGGAGATAAGATTGTGCCCCCGAGAGGCCAATCTTTGAGAACGACATTCTCCACATCCCCTTTGAGCTTGGCAACATAGAGGGATTCGTGCCTAACAATAGCTCCGCATTTCTGGCAAGCATACGCAAAATTCCGGTCTCCATACCCGTACCCGCTCATCTCTTCTAGTCTATCTTGTATTAGTAGGCTATGGGATGCAATTTGGTTGAGCACTTACTCGCGAGGCGATGCTTTCTCGCTGGAGCAGCAAGTCGTCCATGGGACTTCCAATGCTTGGGAGCATCTGGGACAGCTGAGGGTCTTGGTCATAGAGTCCGTTCGGTTGTCCCATTCGTGGCCAGAAACAGCAAAATTCCTCCTCGCTTCTTCTGGGGGTGCATAGCTGAACCTCACATCGATCGCTGCGTTGACTGCTGACCACGGCATGCCAGTCGCCCATAGGTCTTTCAACCCAAACCTTATACAGTCCTCGAAATACGATCGAGGGTTCAGCATGAAAGAATGCCATACCATTAAAACATCTAAGAAAGTTAGCATGACCTGCACTCATCGGACCTAGATAGTCCTTACCCAGGGGTGGAAGCATTTCTGGTGTCCACTGTCTAGCTCTACCTGCATTTGGAAACTCCGTATAGTTTGCCGCTCCAGTAGACATGTCCTTTCCTTCAAGTCGAGTACTAGGCTCCATAGCGCACAGCACTTTCAACCACCAATCTTGGAAGCGTTCTGCGGCCCTCGCAACATATAATGCCCACCTCTTCTCGCGCATCTTCGCAAGCGAAGCATCTCTATTTGTCGCTATCTCGCACTTCGCATCGTAGAGACCAAATATCCCATCTGTATATCCAACATCTTCCTTCAATGCGTGAAACGAGGAGAGGAGTTTGAGGTGCGCAAGACACTGATCTGCCTCGGGGAAAGCTGGGGCATTTTGGGCGATCGTGAGTGAGCTGAAGCTCGCATCCAGCTCGTTGTCGAATTCTCCGGTTGCGTTCTTCGTTGCTGCATAGGAGGGAGGATTTGCCGGGCTCGCATGCTGATCATAGGAAGGTGGAGCGCCTTGGCCGTTGCCGTTAGATATCAGACCCGAATATTCGGGCAGCGGGGGATCAACAGGTTGGTAATTGTCAGTCCCAACTTTGCTACTGCCCTTCAAGGAGAACTTGTCGCGGAAAGACATTGCAAATGGGCCTGCGAGGGTAACTGGATGTTGTGTAACGATAAAGCAACGTCGCTCTACCAACTCAAATATATATGGTATGAATGTATCGGCGCATATTTCCTAAGGAGAAACGGTTCTGATATATTCCTTATCAACTTCTGTTCTCCAGACCCCGCCATTGTTGAGCATGCGGCCGAGGGGCGGGCTGGGGCTGAGGGCTGCCCATTCTGCACAAGAGTGGTATAAGACGGAACAGCTGCAGCTCTGGGGCTGTAGCGCACACGTAACGCGCTAGAAGTTGAATGGAAGGCTAGAAAGGGCAGGATACGGTTCCAGCCCTGTGGCGTGCCGTCAGATGATACTACAGAGCCAATTACACGATCTTCAATGTTGATGCCTCTGCGATGATGTGCAGATGTCGTGAAGCTTGTGTCTCCCATCACAGCCCCTCGAGATAATCTACTACCTCGGCTAGCGGACCCAGACGTAAGAATGGACTAGCGTATGTTTACTAAGTAACATATCGAGTCAGGCAGGACAGCCTCACTTCTGCTTTCATTCCCCCATAGTCGTTTGAGGCATTTCTGATCGAGCTGATCATCCAACAACGCCCTCGCTAGTTCATTCGGTCAAAATGGCATCACAGTCCACGTACCATGCAATCACCATTATGGTGGGCTGCGCAAGCTGCCAAGTTTATCTGGGTCCAACAGAGCTCTGAACCACTATCCGGGTAAATGAGGCTGTAGTTGATCAGTCCCAAGATATGCACTGTGCCCCCGGGTAATAGCCATCTCGTTGAGGGAAGCCAGTCAGGAATGCAGATATACGCCCTCCTCGGCGGCAAGCTCACAGGCGATGGTCGAAAAAGACGATTCAGCGTCGTCACCATCCACAGCCAAGAGATACTCGATTTTTGCAAGTCACAACATTGTGAAGGCGCAAATTTTGTAAGAGTTCGACAGAAAATTCTCTGGGAGGAGAGTAATGGTAATTGTCAAATTGGAGTGTTGACCGAATCGACGAAGTAACACGCACCAATCGGAAAGTAGGCACATCTCCATAATTTCGACGACTGCTCAGACAACGACAATAAGTTATCTCATCCTTTGGTTAACTTTGATATCTTGGATCCAATCTCAGCATTTTCATCTCTAATTAGCCCCTCTGTGTCACCAAGCCGAGCCAATTATCATCGCAGGTCACATGATGGTACGCAGAACTCAGATTGTGTTAGCAGCCTCATCCAGCAAGACCCCATGCACCTAAAAGTTTTCAGAAAACAGGCTCATACAAAGTTTTTGACATTTACCGCGATAATTGCAGAGTGGCAGACTCTGGGAAAAGGTGCCGGCACCATCCGGTATTATTCAGAGAACATCCACCCGTCCCTGATCGTATTCTGGAGTGGCGGGTAATTACCAGGATACGAATTGAGAAGCTATGACTTGTCTGTCATCAGCTTTATTGCCCAAAAGAAAAGCCTTTTCACCATCGCGGCATACATTACGCTTGTAGTTATAGCATAGGAGCGGAAGATTGTGAAAGTAAACATAGAGTGTGAGTTCCCCCGTAAGCGAGACACATCTACATAGCAAGATACCTACTCATCTTCCATAAACCAACCCTCTCCCCAGCCTCCCCATTTACCCCATCAAAACAAGATAGGATCTCATCGTAATCCCCCAAACCCCTCACTAACAATGAATGATACCGAGAAAGATACCATATTAATACCCCTCCCCTTCCACTTCAACCACCCTCTACTCGCCTCCCAACCCAAAACCCAACCCATCCCTCTGTCTCACTGTCCCCTGTGCCCAGCTAAAATCACTCTTCTTACCAACTATTCCCTCCCCTCCCCTCCACTTGCCACTCCATTCACTCTTCCACAATCCAACATTCAGAACATCTCAAATACCCAGTAAATGAAATTGAAATACACAAACAAACAAATTCAAAATGAGATGATATCGAGCACCTTCGTCGCGTGGATGTTTCAAACTGCCAACAGACCCAAAAGCCAAGGACGAAGCAGGAGATCTAGCGAGTCAGTGGTAGAAGAAGCTTGGAGAATTGGGGATGTGATATGGTATGTATGATGGCGGAGAAGAAATGAGTCTAATCTCGATTCACGATTGAGCTCTGCGGGCGGCCTTGCTGGGAGAATATCCCGAGAAAAGGAAAGTGGAAAGTTGTGTTTTGGAAATATAGAAGATCCATGAAATATCTTTTCTGGAGAGGGAGGTATATTGTTTTCTAACTCTGTTCGTTCTGCAATATGAGAGTTGAATGAAAACATCTAGCGTGACTGACATGATTGATTGACTTGCCCTTCAACCTGACTTTATCCTAACACCACCTTAACGCCTTGCCACTATCAGTAAACAAATGAAATCCGACATGTCTGGGGGTTTACGCTCAATCACTCTTCGCAGCAGGTTTGATCTCCTCCACCTTAACCACCTCAACCTTCTTCGTCTCCGCCTCAAATGCCTCAGCCATAGCCGCCTCTGCCTCATCATCCTCGAAATCCTCCTCCCCATCCCCACCCTTCTTCACAGGTTTAACAACCTGCTCAGTCTTCACAACCTCACTCTTCTCAACAACAGCCTTCTTCAAAGCCCCCTGCAAAAGACTCTTCCCGCCTAAACCCCAATCCACACACCCCTCCGCACCATACCTCTCCTCCAACCACTCATTCGTCTTCTTAAAATGCCCGCAATCGAACCACCCCCTACTCGCGCTCAATGGACTAGGATGTACACTCATAAGCACCAAATGCTTCTTCCTATCCACCTTGCCTACCCTCTTCCCGGCGGGTGTACCCCAAGCTAGAAAAACCACACCTTTAGTCCTTTTCGCAGCTACGAGGTCAATAACCTTCTGTGTGAATTTCTCCCAGCCGCGATTGCTGTGGGAATTAGCTTCGTGGGCGCGGACAGTGAGGCATGTATTGAGGAGGAGAACGCCGCGCTGAGCCCAGGGTGTGAGGAGTCCGCTGTTGTTTGGGGGTGGGGTGAATGCTGGGTAGTCCCGCGCGAGGGCCTTGTAAATGTTTTTTAGGGAGGGAGGAGCGATTGTGGGTGCTTGGACGGAGAAGGAGAGGCCGTGGGCTTGGTTGTCGTTGTGGTAGGGGTCTTGGCCGAGGATGACGGCTTTGACTGTGTTGAGGGGGGTGTGGCGGGACCTGGTGGTGGGAGGTGTGTTAGTTGATATTGAAATTGGCGCAAGCTGTTGATTGAAGAGTCTGAGTGATTAGGGGTTCGTGGGGGTGAAAGGGCAGACATACCAAGAATACACATCCTCCTCCTTCGGGAAGATCTTCTTTCCGCTCTGCCTCTCCCTCTTCAAAAACCGCTTCAGCTCCAAAAACCCGGTACTCGTAACCTCATCCTTCAATTCCTTCAGCCAGCTCTCATGCAGCGTGTCAATCTCCAACTTCAACAGCTCTTTCTGCTCGGCCGTCAAGCCCTTGACCCATTTCTCCTTGTCGAAGGCGACTGTAGGTGTGCTGGAGGAGCTATTTCCGTTGACTGATGTTAGGGAACCATTGTTGGGTTTAGGTACGGTTTTGGGAGCTCCGAAGAAAGAGGTTATACTGCTGTTTGCTTTGGGCTTTTTGGCGTCCGAGGTAGGTGTATCGGTGGCTTTGCGTTTGAGGGACATGGTAAAGAGGCGGATTGGAGAATGGAAATGGTGATGCAATTGATATTTGGGAGGAAGGCGGCGGACAATTGTGGAGGTCAACAGATTGGCGGTGATCTTGGTGTTGAGTTGAGGTGAGGTTATGTGGAGTGAGATCGGATTTACTAGTGTGGAGAAGAGAGGGTTGAACTTCAGGTGGATAGAATAAATAGTGGTATTAAGTGGAGGTTGGTCGAGTCAAGAAAAGGAGTGGAGTTGAGCGAGCGGCCGAACGAGCTGAGCTGAGCTACGCTGGGTTTAAGCTGAAGCGCGTCTAAGAAGACGCGCAGACGCGTAAAGAGCGTCGCGAGGTCAGAGGTCCGAGCAATTCTCGTGATCAGCCAATGAAAGAAAGAACAGAGACCAAAAAGAAATGAAGATGATTCAATTCCGTGGGGTGGCTTATAGTGCAAACTTGATGAAATCAAGATACTTGCTTTTTACATGTCGTTCGGGATTTCGAGACGCTACATTTTTCGGGGGTCTCATTGTTTGTGAAGTTGTAATAGATATTATGAGTTCTACGTAATGTACAAAGCAGCCATCTGCCATCAAAACGCCAAATCCGCTATGCTCAAGTGCAACAAGCTTACCCCAAGCCGTTCTTTTCGTACGCCCTCAAAATCAAATCCAGAATAGGAGTGGTATCGTATTTTACACAGCCGTTTTCTTTCGCTCCGCTCTCTCATTCACGCTTCGGAAAGCTCGCTTTCCAACCTCATAACAGCTGATCATAATAGCACACGACGGTGCAATCTTCAATGTTCGAGGGATCCATCCACGCCATAATCCTGCCATCCCTTCTTCTCGGAAAATATGCCAGAGGAATCTGGGCATCGATCGTTCCTCTGGTGCCAAAGCTTTCTCAACACCGCTAGATTGAGCCGGTGCGAAAACTTGTCTCCTCGTCTTGCCGACATCGAATGGCATAGTTAGAATTGACGCAACTGCTCCTGAAGAAGCACCTGCGATGAAGCTGTCCAGGAATGTGTTGTAATGGTTCTCTCGACTCTGGGATCTACTTCTCGCTCTTGCCCTCGATCCTTCTGTTGAAAGAGACCGACCTCGTCCTTTCTCTCTTGCTTCTGTCAGTAATCCTCGGATGCTCTCATATCCCAGCCAGTATATCCCCGAGAATGGTACGTCTCTCCACATCGTTAGGGTCAGACCTCTCCACAAAGATGTATATCCATGCGCAGCAATCATCTCTCCCATCCCTTGCACAGTCTCCGCAAAATGTGCTCCTCCCGTGGATCGGCTTGCCTGTAGTCTCGTTCTGAACATTTCAATCGGCCCAACTGCTGTTGCAGCAACTATTCTTGCCGTAGCTCCAGAAATGAGAGGCGCATATGTATCGGAGAAATATCGATTGATCGGACTCCTATTGTTGAATCGTAACCAGTCGTATCCAGTAAAGTAGATAATGTTCGCCGGTACTGTCATGACAAGCGTTGGTGACAGTCCCCGCCACAAAGAGCTCACTCCTTCATTTCGTGCAATCTTCCGAAGTCCGTCGAATGTTGAGTTGTAAGATCGCTTTTGTGTTTCTTCGACCGCGCATTCTGCTCCAATCTCCCCAATCCTCGGTGCTGCCATGCAGTACTCGACATTGTTGGTAGCAAAGAAAACCTCGCGACAGCATGCAGTTACCCCTAAATTCGGCGGCATTGTACTGAATGACCGAGGCGAGGATGCGGCGAGCTTCGAGATTGTAGTGAGAGGGGATGGGGTAGTAGGTTGGGATTGCAACCGGACTCGAACGACATCAAGAGGCGTTACTGGATATTTGTTAACGTTGTCTTAATCACAAATCTGTCGAAGCTTACCCAACAATGAAGTCAACAAACTTCCAGACATGGCCGATAGCATTTTCTGCCCGGCCGTGATACCGATATCGACGTCTTCATTGTCGCCAGACATGGCTATTGTTGAGGATTCTCCTGGGATCGGATTGTCTCCATGTGTTCTATCATGTCCCTGCCCTCCAAAACTGTCCTTGTGAAAGCTTGTGGCGAGGTCCTCGTCAGAATGCGAAAGACTGTCCCAGGTGCCGGACATCGACGGTCACCTTCGTTCGATAAAGCCCAATACAGTGTCCTCAGTATTGATTGTGCGGATACTTTGAAGTCGTGGCGGTCGTCGATGTTGTCGTCGTGCGCGAAAGGTGTTCTTCTTGATTTCTGAGAGGAGTCAAAAGCTAAAGTCGATGATGCCGGCAACAATTGGCACTGATCGGAGCCGACTGCACGGGAGCTGGTGGAGCTGTGGGCAGAAAAAGGCCTGAAGGGGTTTAGACAAAGAAGATTTGGCGGGACGCGGCCGCTGGGCCGGCGATGACGGCAGTGGAGACAGCGGCGGTTCATTGATAACGGGGGACGGGCCTCGGACATAAGATTAACTGCCAGTGATTAATGATGACTCTCTTTTTGTCACAACAACACCATCAACAAAACTGCATCTCGCACCCAGTGGGTAACCAGACTTACGGGCATATTTTGTACGACAACAATAATGGAAGACACGAACCCAGAGCTAGAGCAGTTCCGCCAACAATGGCGAGCTGAGGTGTCCGCAAAGACTCACACCGATAACAATAGAGGTACAAAGCCAACGAAGGCCACTCGCAGACCACCTCCAATCGCAAGTCTTGGATCTAGCAGAGGAATCAAGCCCGCCCAAGAAGAAGAAGAAGAAGATGCAGATTCCCCAATATTCGACTCCATACACGGATCTCGAGTAGAAACAGGACATGGAGAGGGTTCCAAAGCCGTGCCAAAAGAGCCACAGTCTGCCTTGGAACACTATGAGAAAGCGGTAGAGCGGGAAAGTACAGGCAAGCTTGGAGAAAGCTTGGATCTCTACCGCAAGGCCTTTCGTGTGAGTTTGCATCCGCTCGATCTCTGGATACGTACTGATGTACATAGATGGATGATCGAGTTGATCAGAAGTACAAGAGCAAACATTTCCCTCCTTCGTACTTTGCATCGAAACCTTCCAACCCAAATCCATCAAATGCCTCCGTTACAGTCCCAAATACTGCCCATCACTCCCTAGACGGGTCCCCACAAACTATAAAACAACTCATAAGCGCGTTCTCAGGTCTCTCCATTGAGCCTGCTCCTCCCGCCATTGAAGGCACACCTTCCCCTCCGTGTCCTATTGCAACTCTCCCGGAGGAGATCCTCGTCCATATTTTCACAGATCTTGCAATCATAGACGTTGCGTCGTTCGTCAGACTTGCACAGGTGTGCAAGCGGATGGCATATCTCGTGGCCACGGAAGAGCAAGTTTGGAAGCGAATATGTCTGGGCTCTGAAGTTGGATTCGGAGCGATGCATTATCAGTGGCAACGAGAAGTTCTCGGTGGCCCTCTAAAAGAAGAAGAGCCCGAATTTGAAGACACAGACGAGGATGTGGTTCGACCTCTGGATAATGGAGCAATCACAGAACTATTGCATAGCAGTGCATACGCATCTTCGTGGCATCAAATGTTCCGGACTAGACCAAGAGTCCGCTTCAATGGTTGCTACATCAGTACTGTGAATTACCAGAGAGCAGGTCAAGCTTCTCAATCTCAAGTTACATGGCACAGTCCAGTACACATTGTCACGTACTACCGATATCTGCGATTTTTCAGAGATGGATCTGTGATCAGTCTACTCACGACGAGTGAGCCGGCCGAAGTAGTGCACCATCTCACAAAAGAGCTACAAGAAACTCACAGAGGCGGTGCGGCACCGCATCTTCCCTCCATCGTTATCCAACACGCATTACGAGGACGATGGCGTCTCTCCACAACAATTGATAATCCTGAAGTCGACATTAAAGACGCTGAGGGCGATGTCTTTATCGAAACGGAAGGAGTAAGTCCGAAGTACATGTATCGATTGAAACTTTCATTGCGTTCTGCTGGCAAGGGCGCAAGGAACAATAAACTCGTTTGGCAGGGATTCTGGAATTACAATCTCCTGACCGACGACTCCGGAGAGTTTACGTTGAGGAACGATAAAGCTTTCTTCTGGAGTCGTGTCAAGAGCTATGGCGATGGAGCATGATCCCTCGCGGCCTGCAAATGTCAATAAAGCCGTCAACCGAGCTCCGTTCTAAATAAACATGTTTGCTCAAGTCAATATACTTGAGACCAGACGTAGAACTGGATTTTTGGGCAGAAGTGTCAAGTCAAAGCCAACAACTGGCATACTCACCACAAGCTATGGATCCATGATGGTTTGTGCGAGCGAGGTAGGTTCATCGGACCGTTTCCTGGCCTCTTTTGCCTGGCCTCTAGCATTTCAGAATCTTCTCCGATATATGCCCGGCCATTAGTTGCCTGTCCTGTAGCATTGATGGCTCACTAAAAGTCAAGTAAGTTCATCACAGCGCTGCCCAATAGCCCAGCGCCCGCGCCAATACATCATCAAGGTGAGACCTGGCAACTATGGCCGATCAGCTCCAAGCATAGCAATCCCTCCCAACTCATGACATTCTGATGGCAGAATTTGGACACGTCCAAACTTCCAGCCCATCTATCAGACTTCAAGACGAGTCATTTCTGCGCTTTTGGGCGAAGTCAACATCGTCCTCTATGACGAGTACTACTCAATTTCCGGCAAATAGTCCAAGTCCAGTGACAAGTCGCCGTCGAAAAGACGAAGCTTCAAACATCTCCCCACAAACGACATGAAGGGATCTCCTGGTCGGAGAAAAAACTTGTCTTTGTGATCCTTCTTGTTTCTTCGGGCGTGGGGATGTTTGTTCTAAGACATCTCAAAGGATTCATCAACTTCCGAAGTCTTAGGATGCTTAAGCTTGATCTTATGAGGTGGAACCATTCATGCTTCCTGTTTATGCAATGTCAACAGAGAATGTCAGCTGGACTCGGGCAAGCGGCTTCAATACCTTCTTTCGTGTTGTCTTCCTCATCTCATAACTCAAGGAGTCGCAAATCACTGATTCCTTTGCGAAAGGGTGTCCTCGCTTCGGTCCAACATCCATATCAAGCGACAACGCCATTCCAACATGCCCCGAACGTAGTCTGATCTCATCTCACATCATCTCAGTCATCTCACAACCTCAGATTTAAGCTAATCAAGCAGACCCCTCAGCCCAGTCCAAGCGTGCCGTGCTCGCCAAACTTCCACGCCAGTGTCTGAGGTTTCGTCGATGAAACATCCGCCTCCGCCTCCATCTCACCAACCACAAGTCCCCTCGCATTCACAATCCGCGCCCCTCATCCTCACTACGGAGTAAAACCCTTGAGCCACGTCCTCGTTACGTTTTCCTAATAAAGTTTCGCCCACGCCATCTGAACGCACCTGTTCGTCATCCGGACCGAGCTCGGTTTTCGTTTCACAACTTGCTCGAATAGTTTCTCAGTCGTCACTCACGATTCGCTCCGCACGTATGTCACGCCATGGAGCAGCTCCTCGTTATTTCCTCGCTTGTCAAGGGCCTGTTGGTGGTTCTCGGATTGTTCTCGTGGCTTGCGAGACATGAGGTTCGGAGGACAGGGGAGCCGGAGATCCTACGCCATGGGCGCACAAGCCTCGGACTGTTGGCCTGGGCTGGTGGCTGCCGAAGCTGTTTCTAGAAACACATATTAGCTGTGCAGCTCCCCTGGATTGGCGTGAGAAGGTTCGAGCTTTTGACTTCTTCAGTACGATCACAGTGTGGCAATCGCGGCAACTTATTCGACCTTCGTCATCGCTGTATAACCTTTCAGTTCAGATCGCACTGTTCAGATCGCACCGTCGACTTTGGGAACTACAGTTGTGGCCGAATTCTGAAGTGAACGTAAAGGCATCGGCTTGGCATCTTGTCTGTTTGTTTGTTCAGCCGAGTCAGTTGTGCTGAGCTTTTTGGGTTTGTGGACGTGGACTGGGAAGTGGAAAGTGGGGCAGTGGGAGTTGGATATACACTTTGTCTTGGGATCATATGATGGTGGCGATGTCAAAGGGCAACGTTTCTGTCATCGGCACCACTTACACTCCCAGCCATCGACCTATCTACCCAATCTATACCGATCTGGAACTGGGCCTGTCTCACCAACAGTTCCTTTCTCGTTCGGGCTCTTGACTCTTCATATCGAGTCTCAAACTTGAGATATCCAACGACAAGATGGAGAAATCACTATTCTCGATATTACTAGCAGTCAGCATACTTGCATCCACCGTCACAGCAGCATGTTCGCCACCGAATATCCTCCTCGCAGTAGGCGATGCCAGATTCTCAGTCCCTTTATTCAAAGACTGCAATTTCGGCGACCCCGAAGCAGTAACTCCAGGAAGTACGTTTACTCTCCCCCCTTCCACATCACCCCCTTTCCTTCTCTCCCCCCTTCTCCCCTCTCCCACCACCATCACCACCAACTAACCTCCCCAACCAGATAACCCCTCCGCACCCCCCACAGCAACAAGCGCCTCCGCCGACTACAGCCAATACGTGGACTCCTCCGGCGCACCCTTAAACTCCGAAAGCAAAAAGAAACTCCTCGCGTTCTTCGGCCAGGCTGTCAAACTAGATGTTCTGCTTGAGCAGACGATATGTACCATCACGGATACGGGGAATGAGATTCTGGTCGTTGAGGATGGGAGGGCGGATGGGGCGGGGCAGGAGGAGCTGGATGGGAGTGGAGAGGGGGGAAAGGTGGATGTGGGGAGTTATAGGTGTATTATTGATCTATGATCGGTATGGAATCCGGGGATGTAGAAAAGAGCCATGGTTGCAGTGGAATATTGTGGACTACACAGTATGTTGAGAAGGGAGGACCTCCGGGGTCCAGATCTCAGGGCTGAAGCCCCTTGGAACCAGCCAGCATCTGAGCTGAGAACGACGATTGATCAGTCGAGAATGCGAAGTCGAATTTTCGAAGAAAGAAGGAAAGGGGGAGATGAAAGAAAGAACCCCAACTCCGATTTTCTGCAGCTAGCTGGCTTGCACGAAGTGCTCCACAGAACACCGCTAAAGTAGGTTGTGGCCCAGCCAACTCAACCAGCAACGACATGAAATATCTGTTGAGACATGCGGCAGTCAGGGTATCCAATGAGGAAGGGTGAAAGATACTCTAAGGGGAGGGACAAGTCATAGAAAAGGACTCTCAGGTAAACCAGGCTGTTGGGTTCAGTTGTGGGAATAGAGTCTGAACGTTTAGCAGGTTTTACACTGTACATATCTATATTATACCCCAATCTATTCTACTTGTCTATGTCCCTTCGAGCTTTACATTTCGCTCTTTAGCGAACTCGTGCTATCAATGAATGTCAAAGTGAAACTTCCAAAGAGGAGCCCTACTGCCGACTCTATGATTGTTCGGATTTTTTGAGTTGAGCTTTGTTATTGTGTATGTTGATACGCCAGCAAACACTTTCCTTGCTCTTCCTTAAATTCGAAACCGAGCTTGGTACAGCTTTGAGCTGCACGACAGTGGTAAAGGTAATAGAGCTGTATCACCAAATAGGATAATTGCCAGCTTCCAGAGAGATAGATGGTGGTTGACGTTGCGGGCGCCATCTCTCCTCTCCTCTTCTCGCTTAAGTTGTTTACAGTACTGGGTCCACCACCAGAGGCTTGGCAAGACTATTCGGATTTGCATTGCTGCGTCTTGGCGCCCGACAATGCCTGTTTGGGCGGCGGCAAAATCGATGTTGTGTATATCATGCTGGACATGCGCTATGACGAATTTCAATATTGGCTTCGATTCTAAGAAGTAGCAGAGGGACGCGGCTTCTTGGTCGTTCAATGACTCTTCAATCACGCTAGCCCCTCATCCAAGCTTCCACATTCGAACGGGTGGGCTCTTCAGCCCCCAAAATGAGCAGAACCGCATCCAACTCTAGCGGCTGAGTGAATCATTGAGTCTTCTAGCAGCGAAGTATGTACCTGCAGGGTACCCAATCCTCAGAGAAGCAGTAACAGCCAAAGCCAGTATCCCAGACTGCCCCAGATTCCAATAGAGCCCTCGATACTCCTTCTTTGTTCTTCCTCGCAACTTTCTTTGACAGCTGTGTGAATACCGTCAGGCTGCAGGCCGAGAGGTTTACCAACAGCCCTGTCTGGGAATTTGGGATAAGAGACTACTTGCCCAAGTATGATGAATGTGTCCGGAGGTTGGTGCTAGAAAGTAAGTCTTTTGAGCCATTTCGTTATCTCGACAAGCTACTGTGACGCTGATCAGTGAGACATCACTGTAGGAAGTGCAAGAATAATATACAGGAACAAGTGGTTTCTGAGCTGTGTGAGGCGGCCAATGAAATATTGAAACTTGGCACTGCATCCCGCTTGACCAGGTAATGGTCCAAGACACTCCTCAGCCCGCTGCAGTATTTATCTGCCTATTAAAAGACTTCTGTAGCCTTCCATAGTTGAATCTTGGCCCTGTGTCGACCTTCAATCCGGTAAATCACTTCATTTTACTGACGAAAATTGACCAACCCCTGAGGGGACCTCCAAGTCAGTTGAAACCTGCCCAATCACGGTTCAAGATGAAAGTGTTACCGTGTATTTATGTTGCCAGATCATTCTGAAAATGTGCATTTGGATATTGTTAGTAACCATAAAGCTGGGTCATCAAAACTAATAGGTTGTAGTGTTGGCAATCCATGCCAAATAAAACACGCGAGCTCTGGTTCCAGCATCATCACCAAAGTCACCCGCGCATTCTGGTCACTCCAGGTCAAATTGAATACCAACTTATAGGTCAAAGCTAGACTTCAACACACCCTCTGTCTGCTCTTACTTCTTTCCATCCCTTTCCATAAAAATCGCCTCCACCAACTCCACAGCTTTCTCCGCACACCCAATACTAATCTGATATCCTTCCCCCGCATGCCCACAATTATGAACAACCCATGCCTCATGCTCCTCGGCACCTCCACCAGCAGATAATATCACTCTCTCACTCTCAACCCTCACTCCGCTCTCTCTAGCAGGTCTCGACCCCACACCATGCCGGATAACATCCCACTCCCTTTCCTCCCCATCCCCACCGAAAAGGCCAGGAACCACCCCCCCCGCCCTCCTTAATATCCTACCCCCCAGTTCCGAATCCACGTCTTCATCCCAATTTCCAACCTGACTACACCCACCAAGCACAGTACCACCTCCGGCCGCGCACGTCATGCCATAACAACTCTCCTCGCTTCCATCATCCGTCCCACTAACCGAGGACCCAGCAGGTATTTTCCCATCCGCAGTGTTCAGCGAATTCCGCACAAGAGCAACTTGACCTCTCACAGGAAACATCGACTTATCATTCACACCACCTAGGGAGAAAGAGCCGAGACCGGTGCAGTTGATTACCACATCGACTGCTCTGGACGAACTTGAGGGGGAGGAGGAGGATGAGCTTGAGCGTGGATCGAAAACTTAAGATATATCTGCAAGAGTCTTCCGCCGGGATGTTATTCCTTCTTTGAGACATTGAGAGAGCAGCCATGGGAGGTAGATAGCTGTGTTGATGCAGACTGTTGTGAATGTCGCTGCACGTGCTACGCCCTCTGGGAGGTCGGTTTCGGGAACATTGCGATACTGTACACGGGGTATCGTATTAGATCCGTGGTTCTCGGGTCAATATTCTGCGTGGCGGGCGGTTGGGCTTATACGTTTGTTTTGAAGGGAACGAAAATGATAGAGAAGAAAATGCCAGTCTATGCATACATCATAAAATAACTCTTTTCCACCACGGCTTAGCAGGGAATTTCACCCTTCCCGCCTCTTCATCTTTGGTTCTCGTGTAGACTGTCGCTTCTGTATTCAACTCAGAGTATATCAGTAACCAGAACTCAATCAACTTCTTCATTTCATGTAATCACGATACGGACTAGGAATGCCATGGCAAGATCAAGAGAGTAGCACAAGATGAATAGAACATAACCGGAACGTAGGTATGTACCTTCGAAATGCACACCCGCCTCTGGAAGCCTCTCCGCCAAATATCGAAACCAAGGCCACGTCCTACGATGATACGACGCAGATACCAAATTCCCCTCACACTTTCTACCCCATCAGAAAAGTCGTCATCAGTCTTATGCCAGTAAATCACTCCCTCACTCACCAAAGTTCCCAGATTTCAGATCATCGCAGACGAGTATGAGAGATGGGCCAAGAAAAAGGTGATGGGGAAGATGCAGAGCAGAGTAGGCGAGAGGAGACAGAGGCGCTTACGTGGGCATGAAATTCGCCCCAGCCCACGGCGAGCAATACTCCACATCGTAGTCCCCGGGCATATGTTTCGCAAACACTTCAATTTCAAATCTCCCCTTCCTCGAATTCTCAGAACCATTCGCCCTTCCATTCCTACTTCTCGCAAGTAAGAGGGCTGTAGTGAGGCCTGAGACACCTGCTCTGTTGTGGGTGGTGAGTGTTAGTAAGCTCTAGGGGTTTGGGTTTGAGTGGGAGGGAGATGGAGGAATGAGCAGGAAAGTGGGGGCTTCTTGGTGCATTCTTGGTTGTTGGTGAAGTATTACCTTACGAAGGCGGAGAAGACATTGCAACAGAAAAAAAAAAACACATACCCGATAATGATAATACGTTTCATCTCCATCATCATTCCCGTCTTCGTCCTCATCACAATTCCCCATTTCAGCGCCCTATATCTCAACTATGCTTAGATCATCTTTCACTTTCTTCCTCTGTCATAACAACGAAATGAAAAGACACCCATATGCCTACTTTTCTAAATCGTAAACTGTGGCGACGACGACCTGGTAGATATAATGATAAAAGGACAGAAAGAAGAAACGTATCCATAAATGAAAGAAATACGATAGATAAATGTCTACTAACTCCCGAATTAAATACAAGCAAAATAAAAATAAAAACAAGGCAATCCATACAACGGATCATTCCAATTCCGTTTCTCGGAGTAGGACATGTACCTACGTATACAGACGATACCATGTCCTATCCTATCCTGTCCTATCCTGTCCTGTCTTGTAGTATCATATATACCATGTCATCTCAGAATCCACCCCTACCCAGCCCTAGGCTACTACCCTGCCTTGTCCCACCATCCGCAGCGCTTGTACAGTAGGTGACCAAGCCAATTCAGCGTACATAGCGCCGGAGTGAGTGCATGCCTACGCATACCTCACTCTACCCCATCCCACCCGCCCGACACCGCCCCGCGGGGCTCGACTCCGAGATCACGAGTAACTGTAACTGTAACTGTATTGAGAACAGAAAGGGTGAAGAAAGAATGAATGAAAAGAAGAGAAGAAAAAGAGAGAAAGAGAGAAAAAAAAAAAAACGTGGCTAAAAGAGAGTATTGTAGTTTAGGAAATAGTGGGAGATCAAGCAAGTGATTTGCTACTCAATCAAATCATATAATAGTCAGAGGACTAAAAACAAAACAAGAAGAAGAAGAAGAAGAAGAAGAAGAAGAAGCTAAATAAGTTTTAGAAGAAACAAACAATCAAATTAATTAATTTCGAATTCCGAGGTCTGTATGTACGTATGTATGTATCTGTTCCCCAATCCCAATCCCAATTCCCAATCCCAATTCCCAATCCCAATTCCCATATCATCTCATTCCCATTCCGATCCCATCTCAGCCCATCTCAACCCATGTAACTATCTATCAATCAATCAACCCTCACCATCCACTGTCTATCTCCTCTTTCCATCTTCCCCTCCCTATCAACCACCCCCTTCTCACTTCTCCACAATCATACCCCATCTCATTCCATCTCATCTCATCTCATCTCGCCGCCTACATCTCACCCTCTCCTATTCCCCGTCCCCATCTCTCAGAAAAAGCCAGCCTGAATTTCAACTAGAGAAGTCAAAAAACCAAGAAACCAGAAGATCAAGCACAGCACAGCACAGCACAGCACAAAAACGGCAAAACCACGAATTAGAAGCCCAACAAGCCAGCTAGCTAACGAACCAGCCAGCCATCCACATTCACAACCGCGAACAAAATCTTTGAAAAGACGCAAAGTCAAAAAGTCGAAAAACGGAAAAACAAAACAAGGGCGAGAGATCGCTAGCAATCTTTCGTGGTATCTCAAGGTACGGTACGTATTTGCAGGTTGCAGGTATTGTAATGTAATGTAATGTATCGAATGTCGCGGAAGACGAAAACCAAAACGAAAACGAGGAAGGGCAAGCAAATAAGGCGAGAAGTTCGAGGATGTGTATGTATGTACTTGCAAAACCGGTCAATCAGTCGGAGGTCGGAAGGTAGGTAGGCAACGTCATGTGAGGAAAATGGTGGCCAATTTTTGCTCGTATGTGATTGATTGCGTATGTTGTGTTTACTTATCCCGCCGTATTTGCCGAGAAGAAGAATTGGTACAGTTGAATAGAGGAGGGAATGTGCAGAATTGTGGTGATAGGATTGTACGGGCTGTGTCTTGTTGTATTCCGATCGTCGAGATTGGTGAATGATCATGGTAAGATGTGCGTTGCCCTTAGTTCACAGGTCTGCGGGTAGGACGAGTGCTGGAAGTTGGACTTCCGCCTCCGGTCTCCATATTGCCTGTCAGCTCGGCAACACGGGCCTTGATTCTCGCGACTCTTGATTCGATGGCTGTTTGATAGTCAGTATATCATTCTTCGAGGACTTCAGGGTGATTGAAATCATAGGAGGGGGACAAGAAACTCACTCTCTTCACCACTCGTCTCGCCATCATCACCATCCGTCTTCCCACTATGCCCACCCCTACTCTGCTCCTCACTCTGTCTCATAGCCGCCCGCTCAGCAGCATTCTTCCTAATCTGCGCCCAGCGATCCTGAGCGGGTGTCACTTCAGCATCATCAGTCGCCCTCTCGCGCGAGATGTTCGGTGGAACAGCTGCATCGTCCTCGCTCTGGCGAGGAGATTCCTCTGGTACGAAAGCCGGGACGTCCTCCAGAGGTCCTTGATCGAAGCTAGAGAATGCTTGGCGGGCCTCGTGAGCGTCGTTGGTGTCGACGCGGGAGAGACTGTCTTGGATGGAGGGATCGTAAGAGCGGTCGTAGTTTTGGGTTGGGGAGGCGATGGGGGTGCGGTGTTGGTCTTCTGAGATGCGGTGGGAGATGGATTGGGTCATTGATTGCTGGGTCATGGATGGAGTAGCTTCGCTGACGGGGGAGGTGGCTGGGCTCTTCTTACGGAATCCAGAGAAGCGTCTTCCAAGACCGGCGTTTCCTGCTTGGAGACCGTTGCCGTTGTTGATGACTTGTGGTGGGGCCTGAGTTGATTGGCGGTTCTTGTTGCGACCAAACATCTTTCTGAATCCGCCACTTGGAGCTCCCTGTTCCTTCTTCTTGAGCTTATTGTGCTTAGCTTTGCTCTCAGGACTTGATCCGCTTTGATCGTGGGAAGCTCTAGGTTCTGGTGTTGGGACAACATTGCGGGAAGGGCCTTCATCACGGTCTGCTGGATGAGCATCACTTGGTAATGACACTTCAGCAGCTTTCTCAGACAGGTTTTGGTGAGCTTCTTCATCCACATCAAGACCTGGAGTGGGTGGAAGAGGTGGAGGAGGCGGTGTTTGCGACTGAGTAGGCCCGGGCGATGGAAGTGCAGGTAGGTCTCTCTCCTTTGAGTTCTCGCGATGCTGGTAAGCTGGTCTCAACGTATCTTGACTCTTGCCATTAGTCTGCATTGTTGCCTCTCCAAGTCCTCGGCCGGTGCTGTTATTGGCGAGATATGCTTCTCGAATTGCATCCTTGTCGTACTTGTTTGCCCATTTCATGGCCGGAGACGCCTCATTCATGATGACCGGCTGAAGGGTGAAAACACTACTCGTCTTAGTCGAATAAGCATCCGTATCATTTCGTCCACGACGAGTAGTCGCTTGCTGTGCCTCCTCCTGACGTTGCTTCTGTTGCAATTGAATAGCAGCGGCTTGTATCCGAGCATGTTGATCCAGGCCAATACTCGTCTTACTGACTCCGACACTTTGACTTCCGGTCAGTCCAGGTCGTAAATTTGTAGTTGAGTCAAGAGCCTGCTTCCCAGTAGTAGATTTCCGGCGAGTAAGACCCTTATTCTTCTTCGATCGGCCCCAGAAGCTCTTCTTCTCGGCAATATATGCACCCTCTTCAGGAGCTGGAGCTGCTCCCTTCACCATTTCTTCCATTACCAACCATCTTCCACCACGAATGACGGTTTCGATCAGAGCACATCTTCCAAATGCTGCTTTTCTCTCTCCTGGTTCCTCGCCCGCCAAACTGCTGATCCATACCCACCAGAAAGAATCATCCAAATCAAATCGCGTAATGCTGGCTAGTTCTCCTGGCTCTAAAGTATTTTGCTCCAGTCTTGGTCTATGCGATTGAGAACTTCGACCTCTGGTATCGATTGGAGGTAAGACTTTATCGGGTGGAAGCAGAAGCGGAGCTGGGTTATTAGTAGCCTCATCCACGAATCCAGAGGATAGGAAATCGGCCCAAGATGGTGTTGTAGGTCTTCCACCCCCCATAGTCCTCGTCTGTGGCTTTGTTCGTAGGCCTTGCTGAGGGCGCTTTTTGGCAAAACTGCTCTCCTCGTCCTCATCTTCCTCCTCGAATGCGCCAGAGAATCCTATGTCCTCAAATCGAGACCATGATGCGTCTGTCAAACCTGTTGAGTCCTTCGATGTTGATACTTGGGATTGATTTGCTGAGGATATCGATCGCAATACTCGGCGACATTCATCTGTAAGAGCTTTGACCGGATCCTCGTACTCTGCAAAAGCCTGTAATGCTCGATCATCGTCTCGATATTGAAAGTGGTTTGCCCTACGGAGCAGCGCAAATGGTGTCGGAGATACCGCATCCACAATCATAACCACTTTTGTTGTCCTCGTTTGCAGTAGCGATGGTCGCTCTGGTGGGTATTCGGTTTCCTGTACCAGCTTCTGTAGAGACATTGGAAGTGTTGAAATTCCGTTCAATCCCTTTACGGAACTTGGTGTAAGTGATCGTAGATAGGCAAAGAACAAATGACTCGCAGCGTCCGCAGCCCTGGTGAAAATTAGCAAAACTACCTCCACGACAATCCAAATCTACTCACGAAACCCATCCCCTGTATCCTCCCTCAAATCCCTTTCCGCCATCATGATGTTCGAATCCCCACCATCCAGCTAGTCTCGACAATTTCCGCCCACCAAGACCATTTGTCTTCGCATGCGCAGCAATTGCGGACAGGAGATCGAAGAAATCGAAGATAATCTTCGATCGGGCGTCGGAGTCCACACTGAGGGGTATAAATGTCGCAAACGAGTCGCGGGCCATATTCGAATCTAGGGATATCAAATCAATACTTTATCCGCCCCTGCATACCTCGAAGTGAGACATACCTGATTCCCCAACCTTAAAAAGTTCATACGCATCCCACCCTACAACTCCCCCAGGTAATCTACTCCAACACCATTTCACGACACTGCACAAAACCTATTTTACTTGTCAATCCTGTCCGCGAACTCCAACCACACGCCACGCAACGTACCATTGGCTCCGTCAGCCGTAACTCCTGTGCCAGCATCTCTCCATAGAGCCCCCTCTCGAAGAAATTCCGGACGAACGAACGCGCTGCGCTGGGATCTGACGTCGGTCTGAAAGGGAGGAGTAGAAATGGGGTATCGAGAGCTAATCAGAAAGAGACAAACATTAGCCCCGCCCGTGCAACGTTCAGAAAAAAGATATCACATCGCATCGCAGATGCGAGCATGCAGAGTTTGACAGCGGGAGCTGCAAATAGCCAGCCATCCATCCATCGACTTCGTCTCCATCTCAACCCAGAGAGCCGTAAACATACCTCGCGATTTCAATTCCAGCGTACAGCCTCGCAGCAGCTCCTGCACCTCCTCCGGCTCGACGGTAGTGCGCGTCCAGGCGTCCTCCCACCGTGGTTTGGGCGGTGCGTCGCTCTGCGCGGTGGCCTGCTGCGCGCCTTTCTTTACTTTTGACGGGCCATCTTTGCCCTTCAGCCTCGAGAAGAAGCTCGGCATGGCTGGCTGGCGGCCGTTGGGTTGCGGAGGGGTAATATGCTGGAGATTCTCTTATAGTTGAGTAGAGGGAGATGTAGTGCCGGGAACGTGGTGCATTCGATACAGTCCTTCTTCCTGGCACTCGGGTTTGTCTCGTCCTTGGTGTTGCTGCTGTAAGGTTATGGTGGCCGCGTTCGAAATAATTTTAGCGTGTTAATGCGCAGGTCGTGTACTTGTATCAGAAGGAGGGGCCTGCCGACGAGTGAATCGGCATGTGCAGATGCTGCGAAGGGGATATGTACAGTCAATGGAGGTATCGAGAGAGCGAATAGCCTCAAGTATTTTTTTCTCGTGAAATAAGGAGAAATCAACGCTGGTGGTCGAAATAGAGATTAGGGGAGATTTGGGTCTTGCGTTCGCATCCGAATTTGGGTAGAAAGTTTAATCAGAGTAAATTCAGGGGGTCGCTCGCTTTGGGCGGGATAGCCTGGCTAGCCGGCCTGCACTCAGTGCACTGGGCTCCAGTGGTGTGGGCGCGCCCTGCGGTAGTGGGTTTAGTGTGAGGGCGGGTGGTGGATTTGAGGACGGCAGAACGTCCACGGAAGGAGGATGAGAGGATGGCGCACGGCTGATCGCTGGCTGGTTTGGGCGGCGGTGAGACGGGAATAGAGACAGATGAGATGAAGAATAGATGAAGGGACTTCTGTGCGACGATTGGCTGGGACGAGATGAGATTTACTGTATTTGGCTGGTATATCTGTTTCTGGTGCAGTGAAGATAAGATAAGTTGGACTGGACAGGCGTGGGCTTCTGCTTGGCAGGGTGTAGAAGTGACTCCGTAAGGATAGAGTGGACGAAAAGGAGATGCGAGGATCGAGGATCAAGAATCATGAGACGAGACATGCCCTGTGCAGCAGCCCATATGACTGGTACATTGACGAGGTCTGTCAGCCAGAAAGCCGTGCTGTCCTGTCCAGCCATAAACCCAGTCCTTCGCTTCCCGGCAGCAAGTATCAATAACATAAGCGGGACATATCTGAGTCTGAAAAACACAGAATTGCAATACACGACCAGGATCCAAGGACTGGCGTACCTAGCAATCGAGCAAACTCTGTCATTATTGCAGACACCGGATTGGTGCTTCCAGTCGTTTTCTTCGTCCGTTATGTGGGCAGCGTTAACATTACCAGGAGCGTGCTCGGTTGTGTAAATTCTACGCGAGCCCCTGAATCAATACCAGGCCAGGACTAGGACTAGGTAGGAGGGGGCTGAATCTCGGCTTCTCTTTGGTCCAGCGCGGCAGTGGCAGTGACCAGACCAGTTCACGTCCACCTCATCCTGCCAACACATCATCGTCATCACAATCCATCACGACTTCATCCAGTCGTTGATTTGTGCTTCATTGGATACTAAGTTGCCACCTATCGCGCAATCCAGACGATCCTTCTTACCGATTGATTGATATCCTGTTTCTTCACATTGTTGCTGCACAGCTATCATTTTCTATTATTATCCCCCCCATCATAAAAAGCAACATTCGCTTCACACGGCGTTGCAGAATTGTTCATGGCTTGACCATCCCATAGTGCATTTCATGCATGTGTATACCGCCGCGTACATAAACCAGGAAACACCACCAACCATACTTTTGAGAATCCGGATCACAGCTGCACTCTTCACCATTGGCTATCACGGCGTTCAATTGGACCCTTAAAACGGATCAGGTGATCCTGAGATTCCGATTATCCGCGATATATGGCTTGGTGGGTGTGTTTCAACATTTCTGTCATTTTTCTTGTACTTTTACTTTTGCAGATGTTTTTTCGGTGTCAGTGTGTTACAAAGGAAGTCCTCATCGTCGCCCGAACAAATGTCCAATTGAAGCATTTCATTTTCATCCTCCCAACCGAATCAGTCGATTTCGCGACACCTCCAATCAATATCAACCACGACCAGAGACAAAAGCGGCCTGGCTGCAGATGTTTCGTTTTCCGCGCCTACAGTCAGTAAGCTTAGTTTTTGCTTTTGCGATACTTTAATCCCGCTGTCATTTGTGTTTCATTGGAGACCATAACAGTGTTGCTTAACCTTGAAACGGCTGCTCGGAAACTTAGTACTTGCTCGCTTGCCTGGCGAAGCTTAGATTGGCTTTTGAGTTGAGCTCCAGCTGTCTTGACATAAAAGTCGAGAGAATATCAAAAGGGACGAGTTGGGAATTTTCGATACTTTGCCAGCAGCTAGGCATGTACCTTTGCACTCGACTGAATCCGTAGCCATCCAGGAAGGCAAGTTGGACGAGGCCGAGAGAAAGAGAAAGCGCACCAAAGCATCTGAAGTGAAGGCGGCAGCCACAACCTCCAGCCTCGGCTAGCATCTAAATTTACCCAACTTCTCTCTCTTCCTGTCTTCATCCATCATGAACAGTCGTCACAAGATCGGTGCTACGATACTTGTCCTCGACTCTCCTCGGCACATATAGCATATTCGGGCTGGTTTTCGCAACCCTAGCCCTTACGGTTCGCTTCACCAGTCCTTACTAAGCATACCGTCTCCATTCAGCCCAGCCACCATGTCCTTGCCAGCAATTGGGGAGGACGTTGATACTGCATATGAATATACTGCAATAACAGAACATGGCACAATCAGAATCATGCGACTTGAGCCTTCGCTAGATATCGAGGCTGAGCTTCGGGTCAGACTTATACACGAACGCCTCAATGACTACGAAGAAGGTATCGCTGGGCATTATACAGCACTCTCATACGTATGGGGAGATGCCACAGATATTCGCACCGTTGTCGTCGATGGCAAAAGGCTGTCGATCACAGCTTCACTTCACTGTGCTAGCTATCTTTCACTCTTCTTCAGCTTCCCCATGTTGATTATTGATCTCCTCCGATGGCTAAGCGAGGATTCATTCCCATCGCTTGGCAATGTGCGGTCGAGCGAGAGATAGCTGGACGATAACACAGCAATCTCGAGGAATGAGGGAGAGAACTGATGGAGTGTCAGATCGGTACCGCGCTTTGATTGGTTTGAGTCCTAGGTAAGGCAGGTGACATTTGGTCCTGGGATCGAAGTCACATGATGAGCAAGCTGGGCTGCTGCCTTGAGTGTGGAGATATCTGTGCTGTGGTCAGCTTGAGACGGGACTGTTGGAATGGAATCCCCTCAATGACATGAGACCTTGGGGGACTGGTCAGGATAGCGCAATTATCTGAAGACGATAAGTCCCAAATCTCAGTACTTGGTTGTATGATGAAAGTCGGAATATCTAGAAGAACGGACGTCTTCTCGATCTACCCCACCTTCCTATCCTACGACGCCGCAGTCAAACTGGACTGATCTCTCCTCGACTCGAGACTCATTGAACATATCGTACCAGAGAAGAAGCCAAGCAAACATGGAACCAACAGGACCTCTCTCGTCCTTCCCAAGCTTCCCTCTCTTGCCATTCGAAATCAGGTTGAAGATCTGGGAGTATTGCCTACCTCCGCCTCGTGTCATCAAAGTTGAGCATATCAGGGCTTTCTCACAACAAGATGATGATCCAATCTTGAAAGCCGTACCATGTCACTGCGCCGCTCTCTGCGATGTATATCCCTCAATCGCAGCAGTTTCCTCAGAATCAAGGACCATTTTCCTGTCTCATTTCTCATTCTGCTTCGGCACTCACGTCTCTTGGGAAAACGACACAATATACCTCAACTGGGATCTATCTCACAAAGCCCACCTTCCAGACTCATCAGCACGAAAAATCCTCGACGCATTCACAGCAACAGTCCTGGCCAGCCCGGGAGGAGCTCGCATGGCGTCCCTAGCGATGAATTGGCATTACAGATGGGTGAGACTTGTACTCCGCGACCCCCATAACCATATGGCTCCTGCCAAAAGTTCCTTATTCGACCATTTCCCAAACATGAAGGAGTTCCTAGTAATCAATGGAAGGATCGGCCTCTTCAAGATATTGCCCGACCTGACTCCGGAAACTTGGCCCTACTACGACGCCGTACCATATGGTGAGGAGATGTTTCGTCCTGGAAGCCACGAGATCTGTATGCGTGCTGATGATAGCGATGTTCGATTCTGGCCTACTGGCAGCGGCATTAAATTGAAGGAAGCGAATTCAACAGATGAGGTGGTGTGGAGTGGTGATCCTACGGAGGTGGCGCAGGACTTTGTGCGGGAAATGTATGAAGTTGGAGGTTGGGGGGACGGAGGTAGGAAGCCTTTCGTTAAGATTGTGGGAATGCGAGTTCTAACAGGTTCTTGCTTCAAGGATGGACAGCAAGTTATTGGAGGAGTTGTTGAGGGCCAGAGACAGTTGCGAGAGGATATCGTGTTTCAGAAGAATGAGCTGTTCACATGTTGATCTGTAGAGTAAGAGCAAAAAGAGGGGTGTTTTCGGACGGCATCTGATGGAGATTATGTTTAGTATCAAATCAGGGACAGAACAAATTCCACTTCATATCGTAACCTTACGGATTCAGCGTGTCGGAGATAGTTATGGGATGACCATATGAAATCTGATCGTATCTTGTAAATCATTCTTTCGCTCTACCCATACTTGAGTCTCTCAAAAACAAGTATTTGCTAGGCAATGCTTGAGCAGAACAAGGCGACCAAAGCGAAACCCCTATTTACCATTTTGTCACGTGTCCAATGTTGCATCCGAGGCGAATTTTCGGCGCGTCTCCCCAATTTATCCCAAGTCCACCAACTTTACAATCCCCCTTCCCAAGTATATTTCCCTACCTTTCCTTTCCACGCGCCAAATGCAGCCTTCTACATGTTCTTTCTATCTGTCCTTCGATATGCGCTTCTGGTTCTAGTGCCCGTGTGCTCGATCCTCACAACCTATCTCTATCTTTATCCCGTATTCCACCTCTGCGCGTTCCCATCCCCTGAGCACGACCCACGCTCCGAATACATCAACACTCTCCGCCACCACGCGCCATATACTTCTCAGGATGGCAGCAAGGTAGCGCCCTTCCGGCTGCTTGCGCTGGGCGATCCGCAGCTGGAAGGAGAGTCTTCAATCAGGGATGCAAATGCTGCGAACTTTCCAAATTTGTCAAAGTTCTGGAAGGATGCCCTTCTCCTTGATGGCACGAGGCACAATCCGCTGCAGCGTCTGCGACATAGTCTGCATGATCTGGTCGATTTCTATCTAGACGATATCCCGGGAGCCCTCGAGGTCTATCGAAAACGACTTGATCATGTTGGGAACGACTACTATTTGGGACACATATACCGGACCATGCATTGGTGGACGGACCCTACACATGTCACTGTTCTTGGAGATTTGGTCGGGAGTCAGTGGATCGACGACGAGGAGTTTGAAAGCAGAGGCTGGAGGTATTGGAATCGAGTGTTTAGTGGTGGGCTCAAGGTCTCTGAAGAATTGGCGTCTCAACCCTCAGACGATTTCCAGGATACTTTGGTGCTTGGAGAGGATGCTGCAGCTTGGAAGAAGAGGATTATAAATGTTGCTGGCAATCACGATGTTGGATACGCGGGAGATCTGTCTCAGGATCGAATGGCTCGGTTTACGAGGGTGTTTGGCAAAGCGAACTATGAATTACGATTTCGGCTTCGTATCAACTCGACCGCAGTCAGGAAGGAAGACGAGGGATTTACGGAGGAGAAGCCAGTCCCGGAAGTGCGAATAGTGGTGTTCAACGATATGAATCTCGATACACCTGCCAGTTCCCAGGAAATGCAGGACGAGACTTATGGGTTCCTGAATAAGGTCATAACAACATCATATGATGTTACACGTTCGGCACTCTTCACCATTGTGCTCACTCATATCCCTATGCATAAAGAGGCTGGTATATGTGTGGATGGACCATTCTTCGACTTTTTCAATGGCGAATTTGGCAATGGAGTGAAGGAACAAAATCATCTATCGAAGGACGCCTCGAAGGGATTCTTGGAGGGCATCTTCGGTAAAAACGGGAACCCAGATGTGCCTGGTGGAGGATATGGACGGAATGGAGTGATTTTGACTGGTCATGACCACGAAGGCTGCAATGTGTACCATTTCATGAACCACTCGTCACCAATGCGCCAGTGGGAAGCTACTACATGGCCAAAAGCCCTATCTGCAGGAATTGTCGACAAGCCTGGTATCCCCGGACTGCGTGAGATCACTGTCCAGAGCATGATGGGTGGCTTCGCTGGCAATGCCGGACTGATGAGTTTATGGTTTGATGAAGAGTCTTGGGAGTGGAAATTCGAGTTCACGAATTGCGGACTAGGAACTCAGCATATCTGGTGGCTGGTTCATATCTTGGATCTCATTGCGTTGGGCATCGGTCTAGTTTATGGTAGTATTTTTTTGGTGCGACATGTCATGGAAAGTGCGAAAAAGTTGGAGTCTCCGATGGCGGATGGAAAAGTGAAGGTGTTTAAGGTCAAGAAGGGAATTCAAAATGGAACGATATATGCCAACGGACATGATTCGAAGGTCAGAAAGTCAGCTTTGTCTTCGTCGACACAACCTGGCCTCCGTGGGGGCTAGGTATGCTGAGCTAGGATTCAGGGAGTGGAAAAAGGTCAAGTCTGTGAGTAGTGTAAACTTAAGCGCTGTACGATACCCAAAAACATGTATTGAAAATGATTGTCCTTGTGATGACAAAGGGTCAGGACTCCTCATCCCTCTACCTGTGCCAAAATCCATTACATCACCTCTCACAATTTGAGGCGATTAAAGAGCACAATTCAAAGTATCGGACGCGTTTCTATTTGGCCCAGGTTTTCATCATAGCGTCCAGCCTCGAGTGTAAATCGTCTCGCCCATGACATACGCAGTATACATCAGAAGCTTTCTAGAACATTGCTTAATCCCTTCCAGGAGACTTGTAGAAAGACGGATCGTGCTCATGGAACCCTGATGACATTGTTAGTGGAGTTCAGCCCTATGGGAGTGGGGTTTAGCGAGCTAAAAGGGGGATAGTTCCCGCTTAGAGTTAGGCGAACTCTAATAGGGCTGCTTTGTGGGGATGTAAACACGGTCACGCAGGCCTTGTTCCATGGTTGAGAAAGGTTTTTGTCAGTTCGGTATGAGTCTGGTGCTTTTCACTAATAATTACAATTTTCGATCACAGAATAATATTTCAATAGATAGGTGTTTCAATGGCGTTCACTTCTAAAGACCGCTCTTGCTCACCTCCCATACTTTCCGACTAATTTCCGCAAAAGTTCTCAGCACGATCGTGGTGTACCCCCTTTTAACAGCCAATAACGATTCCTAACTCGCTTCTTTGCCAGAAGCAAACCCATCGTCGATATACATTGCCATGCCTACCACCATTGATCCAACAGGTGGAGCCAACCATACGAACCAGGCAACAAAGTACAAGTTTCGGATATCATTTCGCAGGGCACCTACTTCAGTGTCTAAGATCTCTCTCCACACTCAAACATCGGAGGACTCGATAGCTGATCTCAAGTCTTCTTTTATTGTTGAGTCTTGCACTAAGCGGAGGAGATTTTCGCGACTCAAAATGCTGTTAAAAAAAACATCAAATTTGGGCATCGTAAAGTACTAACAGATGAGAAGTTAAACACCCGTCTAGCAAGCAGCAATTTCGATTCGAGGGATTCAATACTTGGACAAGATGAAGAACCAGCGTTGGAAAAGTCGGAAACCGATCCGTTGAACGCACACCGCGAGTCCAGGAAGTTATTCGAGCTCCCCACAGAAATCTTACTCTTGATTACCAACAATCTTCCTACCTCATCAGCAGCAGCTCTCTTACTCTGCTGCCATGACTTCCCGCGAAATCTTGGCAACAAGAAGATCCTGCTGATCAATAAAGCCTCCTCGGAGCCGTACACTGAATGGTTCAGATCTTACAAAGAACTGTCAACACCAAGTCCCGGAGAGATCGAGCGACAAGCATTTTTAGAACTCCTAGACAGAGACTCGTCCGAAATGATATACTGCTACTTTTGCAAGAAGCTACGTAATCCGGCACTCACCAACAGCTGGCAAACGGGCCCATACATCTACATCCCCGACAGACGACCATGTGCTGTCGTCCAAGCACGCCAAAGGCCAGAGGTTTACATGGACGAATACTTCAACTTCTCCCAAATCCAGAACGTAATGAAGCACCATAGATTCGGCCGCGATATTTCTAGACTACTCAAGCAAATGGAGAGAACATACACCATCTACAAACGGCAGCACGCCTACCAAAGATCCACCCACTTCCGCGTCTCTACATACGGGCACTTCCTCGCCCGCACACAGAATTGGATCGCCCTCGAAGGGAACTCAAATCAACCACCGGTATTCCCAGATTACTGCAATATCAAAATCTGCCCACACCTCTCCGGCTACGGCAGTGGAGACTTCCCCACTGAGATAGACTTTCGAATCCGCTGCAAGATGTCCCACATAGGCACGGGCAACAAGTCATGCTATTTCTGCGACGAAGACAAAGCCTGTCGATACTGTAACACCGAGTACCGGCTAGACAGTAAACAAATCCACGAAGATACCTGGGCTTTATGCTTTACTGTCTGGCAGGATTTCGGAGAGTGCAGAAATCCGTTTGAGCGGGATTGGGAAATCTTGATGCTGGGATCTTCGGCTTGTAGGTTTGTCACAAACATGTATAGGAAGGGTGGTCTTAAGAGACATTTTGAGGAGCTAGGATTTGATGAGGGGATGGGTGAGGCATCGCTGGCTGCTTTGAGGGTTGAGGGGGTCGCTCATGAGGAGGATACCACTGGCATCTAAGCGTAGCGAGGACCCTTGGCTTTGCTCAATGACAAGATGCGAAGACAAATCTTGCTCTCATTGGCACCTTGTTACTTGAAAGAATACAAGACTTGCTTGCGGATATGGAATGCTGCTACTTATTCAAACCAACAACGTGGGCGGCTCTCAAGTCCCCTCCATGTAGATATTATATCCTCTCTTCCCAGCCACCTAAGATATCAAAACCTTCTTGGCAGATTCGGATCTGCTTGCACCCTAGCATCGAAAACTGGAACAGAAACCGTCCACCGCCTTCCACTTGTTACTTGGAAAATCTGATCCCGTGACATCTGTATATGACCGTAAATGCATTAAAACAAACTGGTCTGGATATACCTAGTGGTTTCTTGCAAGTGAATATGAGAGAACGTGATGGAAAATCGTGAAGTACAGTCATTCTCCAGCTGCAAAATTCGGAGGGACTTTTGGCGGGGCAAAACCTTAGAATACAAGTAGAGTGACTGAAAAGCTCAAGAAAAGGTAGATTCAGTCTCATAAATGTTTCTATGCCAATAGAACAGGCTTGACAGATGGCGACGCCTCTTTCCACGCATCTCTATGAATATAAGCCAGCGCAACACGATTCACGTAGTCTCCATTCCACTTGACCAGCATTACAGTGAGCACACACCAGACATCTCTCGGGAGACAACGGTCAAAGGCTGTCGGATATCCGAAATCTTCCAGTGCCGTAAATCGGTGAAGAGAAAGCTTCGAAGAAGAGAGGAGAACAAATGCTAACGACTCCTCATGGTACTGCTGAATGAACGAGGTGTTGACTCCTGGGATCGTACCCGATGAGTGTCCACGAGAATCCTTCAACAGAGAAAAGTTATTTCCTCGATGCGTTTCAGTGCAAAGATCGAATGCAGAGAAGGGTACCACATCTGTGGAGAAGCTTATGACGGAGGAAGTCGGTTCGGTCAAGGGTGATACGTTTTGACGATCAACCCGCTCTTGAGGATGTACTATTGGTCTCAGGTCAGTCGCAACTAACCAGCGCTATCAGGGGGAGAACTCACTGAGCTTAAATGGGGAATGAAGGATATTGATATCTGATGCCGTCCACTCGTTGTAATCAACACCACCGACCCAAGCTGACCAGGACCATGTTGGAAATTGAGAATGATAGCCTTCTCTGAGCTGAGTGAAGTCTCAGTGTTCTGTTCCCAAAGAAGAGCTCTGTCTAGAAGCTGTGCCGTCAGGTCATAGACCATAGACCAGTTACAGAGCTGTTCAAGGGAAGTTCCAATACCCGCAAATGCATTGAGAATATCATCACTGAAGCTCAGCTTCTTCCGAGTGTATTCTTGAATGATTTTGCTGTGTCTGAGTTGCTGTCGATCATCCTTGCTGGCCGCAAATGAGTCTCCAAACTCAATCAAGTCACGTTTTACAGAATTCCCAGCTGTCGAAAGATAGGAATTCCTTGGTCGCTTGTCATTTGGAGAGGGCGTTCTGTCTTCGGAACAGAGAAGCTCTTGACACTCGAAAAACGCTTGGTCCCTCGTGAAATAAAGACACCTTCGAGAGAGCAATCGTTCTTGAAAAGTCCAGCCGCGTCCGTTATAGGCAGAGTTATCCATGATAGTACTGAGGCGATCTCTTTTCGATATGTAAACATCAGCTCCGGGAATTTTGACATCCTGGTCTGTGCCACGAATATTTGGGGATACGCCAGGCAGATCCTCGTTCGCATTTTGTCCATAAGCGGCAATTATGGTAACAAGGCTTGATCATATACCGTAGCCATCTCAGAAATCATAACATGCTTTTCTGTATCATCATCTTGGACAATGCATAGGCAATTCACCCATAGAAGTGTCTCGCCAAGAGACCGTACTGCTGTGATAGCATCCCTGACCACCCTTGGAATACCATCCTCCATCTTCTTCAATGATCCTTTCTTCAGAAGTAAGTCCCGGTTGGAGGATGTCAGCAGCAGTTGAGGGACACGTCCCCACACATAGCTCAGAGCAATGTACCGAGAATCATACGGACATTCTACCAATGATAGCGTCTGGACGTTGATGTATGTTCGCTTTTTCATCTTTGGACGAGCGGACTTGAGCAGAAGTAGGTCGCAATCTCCAATATGACTCTTTTCACACCGGTTCAACCAGGATTTTAACAATGGCCAGCAAATATTTTGTGGGACAACTCTCGCGTCGTCATCATGTAACTCCTGGTGGGCAACATTGGCAATCCTGCGTCCATATTTGAGTACTCTCAAAAGAAGCATGCATGGAGACATTCAAAAGGTGGACTTACGGTCAAGGGAAGATACGATTCTGATTGTCCACCCAGTCAATGTTGCCCACAATAATAAGATCATCATAATATAGAAAGTTGCGACTCAATTTCACTCTTTGGATAGCATCCTGGCCAAATTCCATGTCATAGGTTAGGAGATTTTGCTCACATCGAACCTGGACCATTAGTAGACATAAAAAACAGCATCCTGCGACAAGTTCATCTTCCAGAGGCTTGCTCATTGGCGCCCTGTGAGCCTCTAAAACGTTGCCACCAAGCTTATGGTACTGTGAGCTAGACACAATTTCAAGACAGGTAGTGCAGGCTCTGTTTCGGGTGTATCTTCGAGCATCAGGTGATGAAGATTTGGGAGCCATCGTGCCGGGGTCTCCGACATCGTCCAGGTAGTCAAGGATCGTTTCTTGCTTCTCCGGCTGAAACAAGACTGTTTCCAGCTTTGATACAATTCTTGCACATCGAGAACAGCGACTGGCAGAGTTTTCACCTGGGCTATCCGTATCCAGTGCATCCCTGCCAACTATTCTTTTCCGAGAATCGGACCCCGAAGGTGTGTCTTCTTCCTGTAACCTGCGTTTCCGAATACTGGGTTCTGATGTGCTGTCTCTTTCCTGTAGTTCAGTTAGACGGTTCTCGAGATGGGTACTTTTGCTCAAACAAGCTTACCCCAGGAGCAAGACAATCACGCTCGAAACGATCCATTGCCAACTTCACATCTCAGAGATCAATGACACGATTAAGAATGCAAGATGGTGAGGCACCCTATGTTGTTTTTGAAGGGTTCGTTCCGGTGGTGGCTGTGCAGCCTTGTAACATTGTCGTCAACTTCTCCTGGTGGGGTTGGGAACTTAACCGAGCTCGTTGCGCTCACCGACTGAAGCTATATTGATAGGCTGGAAATTAATGGTCTTGCATGGCATATATTGGGCACATACAGGCCCCCTCCTCAATTGTAAAAACGATCCGGAAACATCATCAGGTCTAATGTCTTGATGTGATAAATTGACAGTAAGCGGATTCTATAATAGCAAATTCTCAAGTGTTATTCTACAGCTTTCCCAAACCAGAATACCTAACAACCAAAGCTGGCAAATCCGCCAAAGGAGTCAACTTGTAGCTGTATGGCGCAGTAGTAAAGTTCCCAACCTGTGTGATATTAACCCCTGATCCGCCAAAGTCATTTTCCGCACCCAAGTTCGCATATCCATCAATCTCAAAGTCTCCGAGCGGCGAAGTATTCGGCGAGTCTTCTGGGATGACCAAGCCATATGTGCTCAGCGCCTCGCGAGTATCGCCCGTGAACACATTACCCTCGACAAGGACCTGGTTGTCAGATCGAGAGTGGATTGCTTGGTACCGGAAGTCTTTGTAGTAGTTGTTGTACAAGTGTTGGTGTCCAAAGCGACCTGCGTTTCCACGCGTGCCCAAATTGCGCCAGTAGTTGTGATGGTAGGTTAGGTGGAGATGACCGAAGTCGATGGCGCGGAACTGATCGTTATTGCCAACGAGGGACGCCTTGTAGTGGTCGTGGAAATAGTTCCATGAGACGGTGATCCAGTCGGATGCACGAATAACGTCCATAAGCCCGTCCTAAAAGTTTTGTTAGCCAAAATTTGAATGGTGGACTAAGGGAAGTCTCACATAAAGATCAGGTCCGTTCTTGATGATGTTCGGGTTGGAGGAGAGATCGTTGTGATCAACCCAGACTCTGGTGGTGTTCTGGATAGTCATACAATCGTTGTCAAGAACACCAGTGAATCTCAAGTTCTGGACGATGATGTTGGTGGCATTGATAAGGGTCATGCCGTTTCGTGCAATTGTTCCGTTCTTCCCACCAATGATGGATTTGTTGGCTCCATTGACACGGAGACGAGCTGGCAGGGCGAATTCTCCTTCAATGATGATAGTCAACGGGTTTGCTCCCTAAATATTGTCAGCTCTTGAAACACGTAGTTGCTTTATTGAAGGTACTGTGACAGCCGCGATCAAAGCAGAGTTGGCAGCTGTGCTTCCAGCAGAGATTGTGGTTGTTGGTCCTCCGGCTCCACCACTGACAGGTCCAATTGGGTTCTCTTTGGCATATCCCACGAGATCAAAAGCTCCAGATGGGAGTGGAATGGCCGGGTATGTAGCATCGGGACCGCAACTTGGTGCTGTGGGAGCTGCAGTCTAAGAATTAGTTCAATTAGCACGCGGCATTCAATCGAACTTTCCAATAGCTCACAGATAGTACTTACCGAAGTTGCAGAAGCTGTAGTAGCAATGCAGGCGCAGGCACTGCTCACACGGCTCGCAGTATCACCTGTACAAGCTGAAGTGGCGAAAGCTGGAATCGAAGCTGTTGTCGTCGCATATGTCCCACAGAAAGCTCTTGCCTCAGCAATACGCTCCGGTGAGCGCATAGCTCGAAGACAGTTATCCGCATTGCATGCCTGTGCTGAGACAGTTGCAAAACTGCACAAAGCAGCGAGACCTTGAAGAAACTTCATATTGAATTCGAGCTGGCTGGTAGTACAAACTTGCTCAACTGATCAAGGATAGGGATGCAAGTCTAAAAGCTGGGAGCTCATGATGTCTCTTATACTTTTTTTCTGGGGACAGACAGGGAGAGCTTCGACAATGCCATCATACCCAGGTTCCTGCAGGGAGCTGGTAAGCTAACACCAGTGATCATTTCCAGAGATAGATTCCTCCGTCTCTGTGAAAGAGGTCATTGACTGCACAACCAGGGATCAAGTGCATGCAGTGGACGAGCGAAAGGGAACTGCAGGAAGATGACCTGAAAATCGATAGCTGTTTGCTGTTTGAACTTGGAGCTGCCCTGAAGAGCCAAGACGGAAAAGTTGACGATTAAATGAAGTGCAGTACCTTCGTATGCGTGACGGTTCAATGTCATGGTTGTGGTTAGTGATATTAGCCTCGCTTTTGGTATTCGCCTGTGGGCACCAATGAGTAAGACTCCTTGCAGCCACACCGTTCATGACCCCAGCTAGACGAGAGGGGCATGTGGGTTCCTGGTTTTTGTGGGCTGTCGTTGAATCTGGAGTAAGATCGGAGCTCTCCAGATTTCATAGACGCTGTTCCACTGAAGTTTTTCCGGGGTTGAGCAATGAGGGGCATATTATTTAAAGAAGATATTCCGGCTTTCGCTGGGATGGGACGATCTTCCCAACCCCGTAAACTCAGAATTGCTCTAGCCACTTGGTGCCCCAGCTCCAGACAAAACAAGCTACAGCTTACAAAGCCAATCTTGAAGTTTCTTAGATGTCAATCTTTTAAGCTCTAAAATTGAAAGGTAAGCCAAAGCCCTCGATGTAGCCAACTGAATTGATGTGTACCATACAGTTTCGAGAATTCCCGAATCCAAAACCTCAACATCATCTCCATCCAAAATCAAGCAGCGACCATGTGGCGTCCAGATGCACATTCTTCCCCAGATTTGTATGTATTCCCGCTGATGAAGCGGAATGTCTTTTTTCCTCCAGTGATCTTCGAACAGCTTCGGATGAATAGTTCTTGGTATCTTGGCCCTTGGCAAGACGGGATGATTGTTTTGGCCCTTGGCCATGCACGTGAGGTTTAGCGAGATTCCCATTTTTAGGAGACATCCCGAGTCCCGAGCTTTCACTTCTATCATTGATACCTGCTGTTTTGACTGGCAGACTCTCGATGCAGCTTTCACAATTGGGTGACTCCTTTGTCACCAGGCTTCGACCTTGACCCATTTGGCAGTCGTAGAGAATATTCTATACCAAGGTACTCGTGGCTCGTCTTTGCGAGGTGACAGCAACGAAGCGAGGAACGCAACGAGTGTGAGGCGGCAGGGGCAGTACCCTCGAAACAATAAAGAATAAGTATTAACACTAGAAGCATAAGTATGCTCCCCTCACAATTCTCATCATATCATCTCCACTCCATCATCCCCAAAACCACATACCAAAACTACCCCGTAGAAACAACATCCCTAACCTCCACCCCCGCAAAGTTCTCCCCTTTGTATGTCCCAACCTTATCAACACCACTCCTAAAACTCTCCGGCGGCCCCAAATAACTCGCTCTCACTCCGCCAAAATCAATGATGATCTTCTGGAAAATCACACCCGGCTCCACCGCCCAAATCTTCAACGTGTGTTTCCCAGTCTTACTCAAATCATGCTTCGTGGTAGTCGTATTCCCGCTCGCAGTCATCCCCCACACTGAATCAGACACTGCGCCTAGCCAGCCTGGAGGCGACCCACCACCTGTCCAGTTCCCGACGAACTGCTTGACTTGGGGTGTTTCCGAGTCGAATGCAATGCCGTATTTAAGGGGACGGTCTCCGCCGTTTTGGTTGAGTGAGGGGGAGAGAAGCAGCGTCACGTTGGCAACGGATGTGTTGGTGAAGGTGTAGATGTCGTATTCGAGGACGGGGCCTGTCCCAGCTGGTTGGCTGGGTGCGAGGACGGGCATGAGAGTCACTCCTGAGAGAGTGCGGCCATGGGATGGGAGAGTGATGTATGAGACGCCTTTGACGGCCGTGTTGCGAGATGAATGCTCTGCTTCGATGGAGATGTGTTTGTCGCTTTCTACGAACCCTGTGAAGTCTGATGGTGCGGCGACATTGGTGACGGGGACTTGGATCATGGGGGCATTGTAGTTGCCCCAGCCTTTTCCGCACGAGGACGTCACATTGATGTTAACTGTCGTGGTGTTAGGTGCTGCAGGTGCCTTCGCCCAGTCGATGGACACGTGGACTCGTGTATCAGTTCCGTTATTGCCACCGGCGTATCCAGTCTTTTGAGAGAGGAGCACGTAGGGTGACCATGGCGACAGAGTCCATTGACAGCCTGAAACTCCACGAGCGAACATATCTATCCATCGAGTCTTGGGACCGTAGGGATCCATAGGTGGAAGGACGAGTGTGCCTCCAGAGTTTGCATGGTACGCATCGTCACCCGCTACTGTCGCGTTGCTGGCTTCCACGCCGACACCAATACTCCCTGCCAGTGAAGTCTCGAGTTCCTGAACAAAGGATAGAGGGGGTGCGGTATTGCGCATCGGTTGTTGCCAGTATCCCGAGTAGCCAAGATGGGTTTCTACAAACATCAGTCCAGGTCCCATAATCGAAGTATAAAGTGTCAGCAACTTACGATCCAAAATATGATTCCACTTCCCATCCAACAACTCATGATACCTAGCCGTAAGCTGCGCGTCCTTCTTGAAGGCCTTCAGCACATCCATCGCAGCATCATTCGCTGAGTTCCTCTTCTGGATAGTCCAGTGCGCATTCTTCGCCGCCCAAATATAAATCTGATTGACAGTTTGCCCGCCTAAAACAGGTTGCAACACCAGCTCATAGAATGCTGGCTTGGCGCTTCTGTCGAGATCGTCATATACACCCTGTGCATCATCCGCCAACTTCTCCCACTGAGCTAGAATGGCATCGGCTTCGTTATAATTGAGAATACTGTAGAAGCTTGGATCCAGAAGTTCATACTTCCTTCGAGCGGCGTACATTCCATAACGGTCGACGATAGAAGAGATAGCATCAGAACGTTCAGCGCCGAACTCGCGGGTAGCCCAGAGCTTGATCCAGGTGGGCGTGCTGTCATATCCCCACTTTGGAGTATCATAAGCAAGGTCCAAAAAGTGGTTAATAGGAATCTCGAGGGCTTTGAGGTCTCCAACATTGAGAATCCAAATGCGATCCGCTTGGCGGGCATACGCAAGTTGCATCTGTATGAATTAGTCTCTAGCAGCCACGCTCACTAAACAATCCAAATGCACTTACCTGTTCGACTGTCTTGGAAAGCTGAATTGTATTAATCCACTTATAACTCCTTGGGTCCCCCACATAATCAACATGATAATACACACCCGCCCCGCCACTCCTCGAGGTCTCATTCGCAAGCGGCAGTCGTCGAATATTCCCAAAATTGTCATCCGTCCACAAGAGCGTGATATCCTCTGGCACCGTCAAACCAAGTTGCTCGTAGTAACTTTGCACCTCCTTGTATAGACACCACATTTGTGGGATATCACTGACGTTTGTGTTGGGGAAGACATCAGTGAGGATCTCCCGCTGTGCTTTGACGACGTTCTCGAGAACGACGACGGCTTCGCTATCGACTAGGGGAATCGAGGTATCGTGACTACCACGCATTGCGACGGTGAAGAGACTGCTGGCTGCGTAGGGAGCAGCTCTTTGAGCGCCGTATTTGAAGAATGGTTTGATAGAGGCATTGTTCGAATCGTAAGCCCTGCGCAAATATCATAAGCACTTCACAAGATGTCCGAGGCCATTTCCCCAGGCCAACTTACCACACACCACTGCCACCATACTGCTTTCCAAAGTTGTTCCACTCATTCGTAGCTCGCATCATCGGTTCTGTCAAGTTCATAATCAGTCCAACCCTTCATGATCGATTTCCCGAGCGAACTGAACATACCAGTATGACTACTCCCCATCACAATACCGAATGCGTCAGCTAGCGGCTGGTTCGCAGTATCATCCACGTTGAACATAGAACCCCACATAGCCGGCCAGAAGTAATTCGCTCTCAATCTCAACAACAGCTCGAACACTCTCGGGTGATAGTAATGGTTGAAGCCCGGTCCCCACTTGCCTCTCTCGTAGTTATCACTGCAAGATATCAACTCCTGCTCTTCCAACTAACAAGTCTGACAAACCAGAAGAGAAAAATAAAGGAAGGAAACAGAAAAGAGTAACTCACTTCGCCCAATTCGTCAACCCCGGCTGCTCATCGTTAATAAAAATCCCCCTATATTTCACGCTCGGCGCTCCCTGAATCTTCCTCCCCTCCTTGGCCCAAACACCACTCCTCCTCTTAACCGGCACATCCGCCCACCAATACCACGGACTCACACCCATACCCTCACTCACATCATACAACCCATACACCGTACCTCTCAAATCGCTCCCCGCAATAACCAACGCTTTATCGACACCTGGGATAGGTGATGTGATGACTTGGCTGATGAAGGACTCCCATTTCCCCTTTATTGGGGATACGTCTAACTTGCCGGATGAGATGAGAGAGTCGATCAGTGAGGATTTGGAGATTGTGCCGGCGATTATGACGGTCTTGGAAGTGGATTTGGTGAGGAGGGTGGGACCGGTGAAGTTTTGTGAGGGGCCGAGGGTGTACTGTTAATTTCACACGGTAAGTGTTAGCCGAATCCTCTTCTCTTGAATCAACGAAGCATTGAGGTAATGTTTGGAACAGGGATATTGTACGTACGTTCACAAAGCTCGTCACAGGCTGATATGTATAGTAGACCGTCGTCCCTTCCGCCTTTGCATCTTTAGCCACAGCCTCATGATCTCCACTCTTCGGCGGACTCCGATGTTTACTCTCCCACGACGGCGCAACGGTAGGGACACTCTTCCCCATAGGAGGCGCGCTCCATTCCCTCTTCTCAACCTCACTCCTCTCACTCAAATCCAGCCCTCTTTCCAAACCTCCCCTACTCGCGGTTTTCGTCCCATTCCCAGTCCCATTCCCACCACCTGCCCCAACCCAATTCCCCAACGTCAAGTTCTTCCCAGTAATCTTCCCAAAATCCCCCGCTAGATCCTGCGCTGCGCGGAGAACTCCCCACCAGTCATCGGCGCTGAGTAGGATTTGGCCATTGACTCCTCCGCCTGCTAGTTTCAGTAGTCCACTGGAACTTGAGCCTGATTCTGTTGTCACCGGGGAGGATTGGCCGAGTGCTGAGACTCGGGAGAGGAGCCCAGTGAGGGCCAGGAAAGGGAGGGAGAGCCCTCTCATTGTTGCTTCAAAGGTTGGTTGACGTTGCCAATACGGAGGTGATTGGCGTAGCGATCAAAACAAACCGGGAAGGAAAGGAAAGAGAGGAGGAGGATCGAGGGGAAGTAAGAAAGAAGGACTAGGAGAAGACCGACGAGGGGAACGAGGTCATTTTGTATAAATGAAAGTTACAAGTATGGCTCATGACTTTACCAACGCGCCATGCCCAGCAGGATAAATAGCATTTTCAAAGCGAAGATCTCGAGAGCGGAGAAGAACCATGGGTAAGGTATGGAATATCCTTGTCCTACCTCACCTACCTTACCTCACATTGCATACTGCATTCGTCCCAACTTCCAACGCAGTGCAGCGTAGCACTCCCAGCGTGGGTCTATCTGCCAGAAGAGCCGGCGGTTTACAGCCTGGAAACAGACCAGTCCACCCAATATAACATGCAGTAAAAGGATCGATCGCCCGGTTCAACGGAAGCAACTAAGTGCAACATCGAGCATCAATCCCATTTTATCAAAGGAAGCTGGATAATATGTTGCTGGTGTGCTGTACCTTGCATGACTGACAGGTAGGTAGGTAGCGGTATTGTCCTATTAACCGAGAGCCCACTTTTGGGAATGAGGGGTGCGGAGCTCGGGATAAATATTACGCGGGGTAAAACAAAGCCCAGGTTGTTCAAGAGAGAGACGAGGTGCATTCAGCCTGAAAGCATACCCGAAGCTGTAAGTTACCTTGTGGATTTACCCAAAACTTACCTAACCAGAACTAAACCATTTCTTCTCAGCTCAACTAGGTCAACTTCTGATTCAAAGCATAAAATACAGCGGGGTCATGCTTAGCAACTTTTGACTTCGTGCTAACCACAACAAGCACGAGACAAGCAAGCTTTAAGCTTTAGTATTCTCTGAGCTTAACACAATCCAAAAGCTCTCCTATATGCATCTGTAGCGCCCCCAAAAGAATCAATGCTTCCCACCTATGAACTGTGTCCCTGTCACCTGTAAACTTACCAGCAAGGCGAACTGAGTCAATGAACGGCGGAATCGTTGATAGGGTCGAATAGCGAATGACTTAGCTGGTTCCAGCTCCCCCTATATCCCAACCATGTCGTGTCGCCGCTGTCTTGTGACAATCCCGAAAAACCGAAAATATGTACGATGAACGACATTCGCCGATGGGAGACAAATGGAAGTCGATTGACTTGCGGATTTCCCTTTCTTCTCCCGTCCCCGATTATGCATCAACAGGACCAGCAACACCTGGAACCGTAGCAGCCTCGACAAGTGATGATTCAGTCTTTCCATCAGGGACGAATGCGTACCTTGGCATCTTAGCCATCCTCTCCTCTGGACTCAATTCGTTGTCGGAATATATCATCTTAATCGGCTTCTCCTTCTTCGACTTCTTCTCGCTCTGCTCGGGCTTCTCAGTAGCATCGGACTTGACTTCGGGTGCAGGCGCGGGTGCAGGTGTAGGTGTAGGTGTAGCTTCTGAAGCTTGAACTGGTGCCGGTGTTTCTCCCTTCTTCGGAGGTTTTATACCTGCCTCAGCCATCCTGATGAGCTCGTCAATGTCATCAGCTTCTCTAGCGGCGCCTGATACCAGGTCATCCGCCGAGGAAGCGTTAGTCGGATAAGTTCCAGGAAAACCTTGAGGGTGAGGATAAGCTGATGACATAGCTGTGTTCTGTTCTGGTCCTTTCCAACCATTGCTTCCCCAATTACCTGACGGAGGTGGAGCTTGATGCGTCTGTTGCATTTGATGTGCCGGCAGTGCAGGTGCTGTGAATGAGGGTCGCTGTGGCAGACCTGGAGCAGGTGGGAGACTAGGCGGACGATTTGGTAATCCTCCAAGTTGTGGAGGAGTGTGTGATGGTGGACCCTGATAGCCGCCAAACGAGCCAGGCGGCGAACCTGCTCCATATGATGGCGGTTGGTATTGAGGAAAGGATTGAGTAGGGGGAAATTGTTGTGGTGGAGAGTAAGCAGGTTGATATGGTGCTTGGCCAGGAGGGCCAGAGAAGGGGGGTTGATAGGGAGGCTGTTGGTAAGCTGCCGTTGGTTGTGTATAAGGCTCTTGTGAAAACGATCCATAACCCGCACCTTGTGTTGCGCCGTAACCGGCTTGTGGAGGAGGAAATGGGGAAGCATTCTGTAAATGATTAGCAAAGTCTGCAGATCTGAATGGATACATAACTCACAAATGAACCTGGGCTGTGGCCTAGAGGGCTGTTCTGAGCAGGATCCATCATCGGCGTATTGCCTCCACTGTCGCCATTCGCAGCTTGTTCTGCCTTTCGAGCTTTGTGTTCTGCCAACCGTTTCTTCAACTCTGCAGGAGATTCGAACTTAGGCTTTTTTGCTTGTCCTCCATTCTGCGCCCCAGGTCCTGGATTCCCGGTCGCAGCTTGTCGCTCGGCTTGTGCTTGGTAGAAACCTGCAATGATGCGCTGATTATGTGCTTGGGCAACATCTTCCGGGATACCTTCCATACCAAATATTTCCACCTCCAACCCTTGTCTGTTCGGCAGCGAATTGTCGACACTCGTGAGGGTCTCCTTATGGACCTGATTCATGTGGACGGAGAGTCCTGTGACATCGTTAGCATCGACCCGACGCATTGATTGCGACAGGGGAGGACTTACCTCCTGCAGTGTTCAGTCGGCGACCACATCTTTCGCATTTAAAGTGCTTAGCCTTCTGATGGGAGATGAGGATCTTAAGGTCATCGAAATCACGCTCACCTGTGACACGTTAGCTGGATGTTGACGCTCGATCGAGGGATGGGCAGAAACTCACAGTAATAGCACCAGGGACGTGAAAGTACCTCCTCGACATCGGGGTGCCCACGCTTCTTCTTGCCGACCATTATTTCGATCTGCGACTGATTTGCGACGTGTTCGTGATAGGGTGGTGGTGTTTTGGATGGTGGTCGTGTAGAAAGAATGGTGGAGAAAGGGATTGCTGCTTCGCGAGGCGGCTGAGAGTCGATCTTTATCCGAGTCCACTAGGCCGGATTAACCATAGCGCCGTGAAACCTTAAATTGCAATTTTCGCGAATCTGAATTCAACCTTGACCTTCAGAAACTTTCACGATACTGGAAATGCCTCAATCCAATCAGTCGAAAGTGCTTTTGGACTTGAGGTGGTAAGCAATATGCTACCTGAGTTGCACTGGCATCGTAATAGTCGGCTTCATCAGTATTTCCTACGCATCCATGCGTACTTGTACCTGTTTGCTGCCTTGTATCCTTTCTTTCATTCTTCTAACTTCCCTCCTTTCCACCCGCACCACCTTGATCAATCACTCAGCCTTCGTGGCAAGGAAATGAGACTTCCTTCGGGAAGCCTTTCGGTATCTGCGCGTCTTGTGTAGAGACCGAATGGAGATTGGGAAGAGGGTTGATTCTCATTCTTCGGAATTTGAATTGTCCCTCCATAGAGGATCGCTGCCAGACCAACTACAGGACCTTCATAGTCCATACTCCTACTCTTCACGAGAGCTCTACAGGAGTGTGGCTCCTTGCGTACCTACATTTCATGGAAGATATATATTCTCTGCACGCTGTTAAGTACCATTCGTTCTTTACGAGTGGGAATGCTATCCCACGTGACGACAAGGACGTGGGAAAAATATATGACTTTTTGTTGTAAGCCAACTGATATCTAGGTAACTCATAAGTATTTGTGTATTCATAATTGTTCTCGACCGTGAAGATACGTTTGAAGAAGCCATTTCAACAGGTCAAATCAAGCATCGCGATCCGTCGCTTCCCGCACTGTAACGTCATTGGCGGCTACTGTGTTGGATGTCATTGGTGACTGGAGAGTACACTCAGCACATCCAAAATAGCAAGTGCATATCGAGAAGAATAGTGCCTCATCCTTCCTTTCTGACATTAAATACAGCTGTTGTCTTTAGTTGTTCATTCCTAGATTATATTAATCTTCGTTTCCCTCACTTTCTTGAGAGACTTCCATTCCAATCTTTTGCTCGTCAAGCCTCCACAGCTTCTGCATTCCCCTCTCCTCTACATATTATGTCCACATCTCATCCTCCAAGCCCAACTCCCCTGCCAAAACTCTCAAAAATGTCCTCCCACCACAAAGCAACCAACACACGCTTCACCCACCTCCCCCTCAGCACCAGCGGTCCCCAAGACTGCGCCCTAACCAGATCTGCCCTCCTCAACACCCCCTACTTTAACAAAGGCGCCGGATTCCCATCCGAAGAGCGCCAGAAGTTCAAACTCACCGGCCTGCTCCCACAACATGTTTCCACGCTGGATGAGCAGGTGAAGAGGGCTTATCAGCAGTATTCTTCCAGGCAGGATGATTTGGCGAAGAACACGTTCATGACGAGTCTGGCGGAGCAGAATCAGGTGTTGTATTTTAGGGTGAGTGGTATTTGCTTCTTCTGGCTTGGGGCATGATTCCTAGAGGATTTGAATTCTTAGTACTACTGTTTCCTGTCATATCCAGACCCATTTGCTTTTCCACTACGGTTGCTGGTACTGCACGTGAGATGGATCGTCACGTGCAAATGCCCGACCTCCTCTGGTGATAAGCATCAATATGCGAACATGTAACAATCAGTGGGACTGACTGCGTTCTCATGGAACTGTTGCTGTAGCTGCTTCTTGTGTCAAATCTTTCCATTTGCTACAAGGGCGGAAACGGCTAACTGTCCATAGCTAATCCAAGACCACCTGAAAGAGATGTTCTCAATCATCTACACACCCACTGAAGGAGACGCTATTCAGAACTACTCCCGTCTCTTCCGTCGTCCAGAGGGTTGTTTCCTCAACATCAACGATATCGACCGCGTTCATGACGACCTCGCCCAATGGGGAGGACCAGAGGACATCGATTACATTGTCGTCACAGGTTCGAGGCATAACCTCTCCTCAATACATATGCTAACTCCATCCAGACGGCGAAGAGATCCTCGGAATTGGCGATCAAGGAGTAGGTGGTATTTTAATCTCCGTAGCCAAGCTAGTCCTCACTACCCTGTGCGCTGGAATCCACCCTAATCGAACTCTGCCTGTCGTCCTCGATTGCGGAACCGATAACAAAGAACTTCTCGACGACGAGCTCTATCTTGGTCTCAGACAACCAAGAGTCAGAGGCAAGAGGTATGATGACTTTGTAGACAAGTTCGTCCAGTCTGCTAGAAATCTGTATCCTAAAGCCTACATCCATTTCGAGGATTTTGGCCTACCAAATGGTAAGTACCTCGTTCATTTACAAATGACTGAAACTAATTTGGATAGCCCGCCGAATCCTCGACCGCTATCGTCCCTCAATCCCTTGCTTCAATGATGATGTCCAAGGAACAGGCTGTGTGACCCTCGCTGCCATGCTCGCTGGTCTCCACGTGTTCAACCTCAAACTCTCGGACTTGCGTATGGTTGTTTTTGGCTCCGGCTCAGCAGGAACTGGAATTGCTGACCAAGTTCGCGACGCTATCGCTGCCGACACTGGTAAAAGCAAAGAGGAAGCTGCCTTGCAAATCTGGTGTGTCGATAAACCTGGTCTGCTCCTCAAAAGCCACGACTCTAAGCTCACCAACGCACAAATTCCCTACGCACGCAAGGACTCTGAATGGCAAGGTAAGAAGCACGATGACTTGCTCTCCGTAATCCAGGAAGTTCACCCACACGTCCTAATCGGCACCTCCACTCGACCAAAATCCTTCACCAAGAAAGTCGTCCAAGAAATGGCCTCCCATGTTGAGAGACCCATTATCTTTCCACTTTCAAACCCCACTCGTCTCCACGAAGCTAGCCCAGAAGACATCAACGAATGGACGCAAGGCAAAGCGCTCATCGCAACTGGCTCTCCTTTCCCACCTGTAAATTACCAAGGCCGCGAATACGAAGTCGCAGAATGCAACAACAGCACCTGTTTCCCTGGCATAGGCCTCGGCTGCGTCCTTTCCCGGTCCAAACTCCTCTCCGATAAAATGCTCGTTGCGGCCGTCAAAGCACTTGCTGCGCAGTCTCCAGCGCTCAAAGATCCCAATAAGGGATTACTGCCGGATGTTGTCAATGTTAGGGAGATTAGCGTGCGTATTGCAAGGGAGGTCATTAAACAGGCTGTGCAGGAGGGATTGGCTACTGAGAAGGGAATTCCCGAGGAGGATGAGTTGCTGGAGGAGTGGATTAGAGAGCAGATGTGGGATCCAGTTTATAGACCACTGAGGTTTGTGGAGAAGGAGAAAGCGAGTAAGTTGGCCATGGGGGAAGCTGGTCTGGCTGCGTGAGGCCTACTCTAGGAGACAAGATTGTCTTTTGTGCCGGATAGGAAGAGAATGTGCTTTTGCGGCTGTTCGGTTCCTACATATCTCAATGATCAAGACTCATACATCAATAATAACCATCCAGATGTTTTCATTTTTGATCTTGATGTCATCGTTCCACGATTATTCCTCTCTCGATCGTGAAACGCCACTGAAAAGCCAGTAAACAAAGCCGTATAATCCCTCACCCCTCTCATCCAAACCCTCACCAATTCAGCAAACCTCTCCAATCGAATCTCTAAACCCGTCTCTCCGAAGTGCCACACCATCCCGCAGCATTATCATTATCATCATCGTCATCACCATTCTCGTCATTAACCCATCACAGCTAAACACTAGCGCCAAGCCGGGCCCTCGCTTAACCACCACCCAAATAAGAAGCCATCGTGACATTATCTCATCAAGAATCCCCATCCTAGACGCACCTTAGTTTTAGGTCCCAGAACTCATCTCTGCTCTTCAGGGCATCGAGAATGTTTCTTAGCACTGATTGCGCGGGATTGTTAGAATGCAACTAAACCAAGCTAGTAGAGTATTTCTTGGGAGGCTTTGGAGGGTCTGGTAATGATTAGCGACCCACTAAAACACCAGAACCATAAAGGCAGCACAACAAATATTAAAAATTAATATTTCACCGCGCTAGGGAGTCCGTACCAGATTTGTGATACCAAAAAATAAACTCGCTTCATAGCTCGAACCAGGCAGTTCAGATTCCAATCCCTGGGTTATGTATCCGCACTTCTTCCCTAGAACATCTGGAATTTTATTTTCTTCTTTCTGCCTTCTACCGCAAATATTAATTCGTTAGTTCCCATCACAAAAAATTCTGTGTACTCTATCAGTACCCACATATCCAGCTCCATCCCTACAACACCAAACTCTACCTTCAGGCTTCAGCACCTAGAATCTCTCAAGAGTACCTTCACCGATTCTACCCATCCCAATAAAAAGCACAATAACCACCACCACCACCACCACTAAGTAACCATGTATCCCCCTTCCTACAACATCAAAAAAACTGGATTGCCCTCCTCCGGGGATTTCAAACGCCAGTTGGCTGAAGCGGCCTTCGAGGAGTCGAGGGCTATTGGTGCGGAGAGGAGATTCTTGCAGTGAGTTTAATGCTTTAATTGTTTTGCTTTGGTTTTTGTGATTTGTATTTCTGTATTCTCGTGATGCAACTGGGTTACGAGGTGCTTTCTTGTGTTTATTCGTGCTGTTGTGGCATGAACGCTTGTTATTACTTTGCGTTGCTCTGTCCAATGATTGAGTTTGTTGCATTATTTTGGTCGTTTCGCTACTTTGTTATGACGGTTGTCGTCATGGCATTCGCTTAGCGAAGCACAGTTTGATTATTTCTTAACTGTCATCAAGATTGGACACTCAAGTGGTGTCCGTGTCATTGGTTTATGAACAATTTTTTTTTCCTTTGGGTGTTGTGCTATGCGATTTTTATTTTTATTCAATGGAAGTAACTCCATCGATGCAGTTCTGCTAGCTCAGGAAGTAATGCCAGCTCCGTCAGATCCTCTGAGCACAATCCGATAGTCCCTTATGCTTTACATGTTCCGTTTACTTTCTTTTCGTCCACTCGATCAAGAGGAATAGAACTAACAATAAGGTGCTACAAACAGAATCGCCTACTCCATTAACAACCGCCCCCCGGTCCTCACCCACTCCGAAGCCACCAACTTCCTCACCACCCTGCCCGCCCGCTACCACTCTATCCAACTCCTCCAAAACACTACCACCACCTCCCTTAAAATATCACCCATCCACCACGTCCTCACCATCCTCTCCCACCCAGCCCCGCACTTCCAACACCGCACAGCAATCGCATTCGCCTCCACCCTCTCAGCTATCACCTCATACGGTGGAGGTGGTAAGTACCTATCCTACGACAACGCGACACATACGCTCAGCTACATGATTCAAACTGGCAATCGATGGGGTAGGGGACGGGGAAGGAATTATGCCGGGTTTGCAAAGTTGGATGTCGATGTTCCGCTTTGGTTTGAGGATAAAGCGGAGGAAGTGAAGATTAGAAAACGGTGGCAGGAGGAGGAAGACAAGAAAGAGGAAGACAAGAAGGCAGAAGAAGAGAAGAAGGAGGAGGAACAGAAGAAGGAGGAGGAAAGTAAAGAGTCTGTACCTCGCAGCTACAAGGTGACAATAGAAGACTGTGAAGAGGAAGAGGACTAATCGGATACGGAACCAATAAATCTGGCTGAAAGTCCAAAGCCAGATTTAAGCACTGCCTTGGGCCCAGAGACCGGTAGAACGATACTCTTCACACCCAAATCACTCATGAGACCTGATCCAGCGGAACAAACTCCGTCTACGCCAACATCGACGAACGCCACAATCAACTAGACCACTTACTCCACCCAACACACTGTCCTTCACCGAACAATGGCTGCGAGAGAAGGGGAAATGCAAGCCTAAGAGGATGAAAATTAAAATCAAGAGGGACAGGGGTCAGCACGGAGGAAAGATAGGAGCGGGATCGGGCCACGGGGACGGACAGGCGGGGTAATAAGTGTTTGCCTCACATTTGGCTAATATTGTGGAATGTTATGTCGCAGTGGATGTGTGTGGTTGCTGGTCGTCGTATCTTTCACTGATTGAACTTGCAAGAAAAATTGTGAATCCTCATTGCTTAACCGAGGGAAAAGTCGCAATGCTATTATCGTACATTCGAAATGGGGGCTCATATTTCTACAAGATCCTACACAGCATAACAACCAGACAGATCAACTTCTCGATCATAGCGAATCTAAAAATCCCTCTCCTTTTCGTTCACACCCATTCCAACTTCCAGTTCTCCCCAGTACACAAAATCCTCAAACCCCGCCCTCATACTCTCAAACACTCTCCTTACGACCTCCAAAGCCTCCTCATCCCTCTCTCCATCAGCCTTCTCGCCTTCACCAAGCACTAACATCGTCAACTCCAACCTCTGCTCCGTCTCCGTCTCCGTCTCCTCGTTACTGCCCCTGCTGTCTTCATACACTCTCACCCAAAGCTTACTTCTTCTTTTCTTCAACTCTGCCTCAATCTGGGTGAACATCGCAATCACAGTTATCGTCACAAGCAAATAGTTGCAGCTGGAGAGTGGTCGGTGGCCATTCACGTCTCCTTTGATATCCAGTTTTAGAATATCAAGAAGACTGCGAGTGCTCATAGTTGGATTTCCTAATTGGATACTAGGGGTGGTCGAGGCTGAAGTTGTGCCACCCAGTATATCAAATATTGAGTATCTTTCCTGTATTTGACGTACAAGTTACGGTCTGCCATGATTCCTGACCGAATTCTTCATGGATATGAGAATATTGGAATTGAAGAAGCGAAGAGCTTGTAAAGAGACGATATCAGGGAGGTCGATTACATTCAAAGAACAACAAACGGAAGCGAGGCGGGACCGTCTGTCCTGTGGGGCCAGTTGATGCCTGGCAGCGGCCGCTGCATGTGCTGAAACTCTGGCGAACAATGGACTGATTATGGGCTACATATTCCTTGTGCCTTTATAACCACTGCTGCATTACAGCGACGTCGTGCTAGGCAAGTTGGACTTTCAACCACACCAAGCAGAGGGCAACCCAACTTTGAGCTCCAGCCTTCTCCGCTGCCATGATATGTGAATGGAAACAACATAGCGTTTTTTATACACGTTTCTGCGTTCACAATGAAATCGTCTCTTATGTGTTCTCCGCCATCACTAACCGCCAGTGTCGAACTTACATCGTGCGTAACAAGAGATCTTCAACAAAAAGTTGCGAATCATAATTCTGACTTCCAACACTTCAATACCCGGCATCTATCCATGACCACACACCGAATACGATCAATGTATCGACCCATCAAGCATTCCCAATGCCTGTATTTGCCCCCGGATCACACATAGCCTTCCCCTTAATACAGCAGATGATTGTATTTCCTCCATCACACCATCCAGTGACCAACAGCCCATTCACGCATTGTTTTCCCTTCAGGACATCGACGCAAGTTCCGCCAAAGAACTTTCCCGCGTGGAAAGCGATACAAGAGGCTCGCTTCTCGAGATCGACCTCGGTGCTGAGAGGGTTGCCGGCTACGAGGGTGGCGGTTAGGGTGAAGACGGTGACGATGGATGTGAATTTCATGGTGTCAGGTCGGGTTGAAGATAATTTGGGGCCGTTGTTGGAGGTGAATGAAGTCTTCTGGGATATATGCTCGGCTTGGATGGTTTGCTTAGTTTTTGGCTTATAACTTTGAGATTGTTGATGCAGAGCAGCGGGCATTTGAGATCCCAGACAGAATTAAGTAAATTTGCGGGAATACAGGATCTCCGCCTGATCTTCAGCCCTTTCCATAAATACAAACATGTGGCTTGCCGAGACTCCTTTCCTCACTTCAAAACATTTCAATTTCCCCTCAAAACCCTGTGACATGCACTTGACTGGTAAGTTATTCTCGTTCCTGAATAAGGGCTGAAGGATGGCGTTCACCTCATTGGCTCTCCACCGACATGTCGCTAAATTTATTTTGGGCTTGCCAATCCTAAACATCAGACGGCAGCTATCAAATGACGGACAGGGAATAGGCGGGATCCCTCGGCTCTGCCGCCCTCCCTATGATATGTAAGACGGGTGAACGAACAGCTGTCCATAGACAGCAAGGACGAGACTTTGGCGGATATTTTCTTATGATTCTGTCACAGTATAAAAAACCCAAGGATACTATGGAACTACGCTAAAGACGTCTGATGGTGCAGGCTACCGATAAGCTTTGTAAAAAAAGAGATGGCAAGGCGCACCGGAAATCCCCCTCACTCGGCTCAGTCTTCCCCAACCAAACACCACAAACGAACAAATCGGCGAGTTGAACCTACCTAGTAAAAGTGCGGGGTACACATGAAATAACGCCTCTTGAAGAAACACATCCCTATCTCTGTCCTGTTTTGGTTCGTCAATTAGAAACTTGTAAGGAGCAGAAAGCTAGGTAATTCCCACTTCTTCGTACTCATTGAATCTCGCACTGCCAACCTCACGATGTCAGCTCTCAACCCTCCAAGCGAAGCCGAGCTCAAATCAGGTCTCCAAAACAAAACTATCATCGTCACAGGCGGAAGTCAAGGAATTGGCTTTTCCATCGCCCAGCTCTGCGTCACCCACGGAGCAACCGTCATCATCGCCGACATCAACTCAGAACGCGGCCAGCAAGCTGCATCAGAACTCGGCAACAACACCCTTTTCGTCAAATGCGACGTCTCGAAGTGGAGCGATCAGCTCCATCTCTTCTCAACAGCTATCTCCCACTCACCTCAGAAGCGCATCGATGTGGTAGTATGCAACGCTGGGATAAATCCGGAAATGGTGTTCCTCAACGCCCCAGATGGGAAAGAACTCGTCGAGGCTCAGACGAAAGTTAGATTCAATTTCCTCGCCGACGAGATGGATGAAGATAATCTGGCTTGTCCTCCCAGTACCATCATAGATACCAACCTATTTGGCGCCATTTACGGCATTAAGCTGGCTGTGCACCACATGAAGAAAACAGGCGGAGGACGAATCATTGTGACTGGTTCGGTGGCAAGTTATATGGGCATGACCCCGCAGGATATTTACAGTGCATCGAAACATGCAGTCCTGGGCTTGGTACGGGCTACTTCGCAGAAGGAGGAGTTGAAAGAGAGCGATATTGCGATTGGGCTCGTTGCGCCCTGGCTGACGGAGACTGCGATGACGAGTTGTGTGTATCCGCCGTATACGAAAGGAAGTCTCAGGAGCTCTCCTGCGGATGTTGCAATTGCAGTGGGGATGATGGCTGTCAGGTGCCGGGAAGAGGTTAACGGGAAGGCGATTTGGGTTCAGGGTCAGACGTATACGGAAGTTGAGGGGACCGTGGCGAAGTGTAATGAGAGCATGATGAAGAGCGCCAGTTGATGCAACCTATCGGCAGATTTTAGACACCGAATTTTCGATGAATATGAACCTACGAAGAAAACAAACTCTATTCTTACTATGGCATCGCCCATGTTCAGACGAACAGGTCCTCAAAATCCGGTCCTCAACCTAAGCGATGAGTAACTTCGTGGCTGACAGGCGCACAAGTAGAAGTTGTTGCCAACTGCCACTAGTTCGTATAGGAGCAAAACGAAAGACTATCGAAGGGGCTCACCAACCAGAACCGTGAAATCGAAACAAAACAGATTGCAAGAGTTGCAAACATACTGGCAAAACAACCTATCGCTTAACACTCGCTTAAAAAGGGGCATAGTTGACAGACGTGGAAAGTTCAAACCCAACACCATGACCACCTTGCATTACCATTCAAGGCCCTAAAAATATATCAAATTCTCTCATTCAGCTAGAAGAACGAAATCGATTAACATATTCACTTCACAGATTTACTGCAGCATGTCAAAATATGTGTGATGTTTTGTTTTAGTAAGGTACGGACACGCGGGTCACCCGACGACAATATTTGCGCGATGACAACTGAATATCGACTCAGATTCGAAGAAATCCGGGACCACCAGCCTCCATCCAAACCCGACAAAAAGAGCTACCAGCTGAGAAACCGAGGACATCTGAAATCAGATCTACTGGCCATCAATCTCGTCCATCTTGAGGCCTGATGTTATCGTTCGCGGGTGTGACTATGCTGGTATCGGCTCCGGCAGGGTGTAGAGAAATGGCTTGGTGGCCGTCAGAATATCAGCATACCCCTGGGAGATGCGCCGGTGTGTATAATCGGCATGATCCTCCGAGCACGAAGTCTTCTGATCTGGACTTTCCGTTGACTTTTCGTTACGCCTGTCCAACTCGATGATCTTATCTTCCTGTCAGCCAACCATAAGTGCCAATGCTGCTCCCATTTGCCTCCTTGCTTCTCCCCCCTTCTTATCCTTCTCAGCCTCCTTCTTCGTGTTCGATCGGGTCTTTCGCGTGGACGGCGTACTAGACTTCTTCGCTGGCGTCTCATGTCCTTCACTACTACCTTTCCGCCTCGGCGTCTTCTTGGCATCATCATCCCCGTCGCGCTTCCTCTTCCTCTTCTCATCCTTCTTCCTCTCTGCTTCCTCCTTCGCTGCCCTAGTATCAGTTAGCAACTCTTATAGACGAAACTGTGAAGGTTACAATTTACGCCTTTGCTTTCTGGCAGTGCTTGCATTCGTCCTTTTTGGAATATGTCCAATCGTGTGGCTTGCACAGGTTCTCATGTCTGGTGCACCACCTGTACTTGCTCTCTGCCACTTTCCAACTGCAATTCCCTGCTGGTATCACGTTGCCATTCTTGAGCGTGACAGGTCCAGATGCGCCTGGGCAAGAATGCTGCGTACCGGTAGAGGCGTGAGGCATATCGAGAAGAAATTGGTGATGATATCGAGTTCGAGAGAATGTTTCGAGGAAATTTCCGAGCATCTGCGTACGATCAAGGTTCAAAAGACGTGCAAAGTTGTGGGAGAGCAAGCGACACAGGTCTTGGAATTCAATCTGTGACAGCATTTTTCATTCGAGCGCGTGAAATTCAATTGGGTTCGAAGGCGAACTACTTGATGACGAGTGACTTCGGCTTTATTGACATTGTTTCCGCGCCGGTAGGCAACAAAGTCGCTTAAAGTTCCGTTGAGGCTCCGATGTGCACCGATTTTTTTTGTCGTGAACAAGAACAACTTTGCATGAAGTTGAGTCATGGCTCTCAAGGATAGGACAGAGCTCTCACAATAATTCACTTGGAGAGATCTCTCCTCTCACGTGACAGAGAAACTCAGGATTTGCCTTTGTATTGCTTGAGACCATCGATGCCCTTCAAGATTAGGTGATTTTGCTTATCAGCGCTTCAATCTTGAGGATGTACCCCGGAATTCTTGATAAAAGGCATGTCTGGCTTTCTAGGACCAAGTCACTTGACTTTAACATGACAGCCTGAAATAAAAAATGTTGATGATGAGGATCTTCGCAACATCAGGGATGAGATTCCGGTCTCCAGATCATTTGATGAGATCCTCAGAGGTGCATTAACCTGCTGAAATGTGTCGACTTTGAGGAATTCTTCTGGGGATTCTTCCAAAAACGATTTGGTTACGACGTAAAGTAGCTTCGGCGGATGGGGTACCTGGCGACTGGAATACGCAAGCGCAAGGTTGAATCTTACAGGTTTTCCCATCTGAAATTGATATGTTTGGTCTCTAAGCTGAAGTGAGTGGAGTGCGAATTATAGGCCTCTTAGGCCTTTTCTAGAATTTTGTAAGGCTGGATACATGCCCTCTGGATAAATCTTGAGACCCGTTAGATGTATCTCTAGCAAACCATGAAAGATATTTACGGCAACATTTCAGGGTCCAGTCTGAACCTGTTCTAGCCTGTAAGGAAAGTTGCCTCGGGAATGTTGGACAAGGCAATTCACTAGCCACCCCCCTCCAAAACCTGTGACACCCCCGCGACCCCTTCGACTATTTTCTTGTCACAACCATCGCGCTCTACTCTAAAAGGCAATATTTGAGCTGCCTACGGGGTACTGGTACGAGCGCAGGTCACAAGTACTGTCCCCAAGACTCCAAAGCTGAGATACCTTAAACCTTGAGCATATGAAAGTCACAAGTCACGAAGTACCGAAGACTAGGTAGGTAAGGTACGAGGTCTTCATCCGTGCCGGCCCTCCGCAAGCTCCGGGGGCACGGGACCTCGCTTCGCAACAGTCACATGACAGCTCGCTATAAGTAGTTGCGGACCGCAAATTATTAATAATAGGAAGTAAATATAATAGTAAATAACTGTAATATATAACTGTAATAAACAACTATAGTAAATAACTATACTTAGACTTAATATAATATATTATAATAAGTAAGCTAAGTAACGTAAGATAGCTATAGTATATAAAGAGCGTTTCTTTCTATAGTTATAGAGTTTTCTCTTTAAATAAATATTATACTATTAAGTAAGTAGCTTATTTATAAACTGAAATTCGATCTATAATAGCTTATAATATATACTTATAATCCGTAGGATATTAACTTTAATTACTACTACTACTATAACTACTACTACTGCTACCTTAGTAGCTTAAAACTATACTACTATAGAACGAACTTTCGTTCTACTTTAGTTAGTGCCTTAAGGCCTTAGGTTAGACCTTATATTAGTGATATTTATTATCTATAAGAACCTTTATTTAATACTATAATAAAGATTTAAAGACTTTTTCTCTCTCGATTCTAACTTAAGTGTATTTTAATACTTCTTTATTCTACTCTCTTAAGCTTCCTTCTTTTATAAAGCCTTTATATTAGTAATCTATATAGGGAGATAAATTGTAAAGATTCTATCTTTATATAACTTTATAGTAACTCTTTAACTTATTTATATTATCTTACTATTAAACTAATAAAGTAATTATTACTAGTTTATATTAATACTCTTAGAAATAAATAATACCTTAGATTAGCTTAAAGAAAATAAATAACCTTAGGAAATCTAGTAATAGCTTTATATTTATTTCCGAAGCTAGACTTATTATTCTATTAGATTATTTAGTATCCTTTAATTATTATTAAGCTTAATACTTTATAATAACGAAAATTAAGACTAGTAATTAAAAGCTTATAGAATTCCCTATTTTAATAATATCCTTTAGTTAGGAATCTACTTATAAGGAGCTTTAACTTAGAAAACTAGGATATATTATAAAGAGAAGTATTTTAGTAGTTTAATTTATTAATTTTAAAGTTCCTACTAATAATACTACTTATTTTTAGCTTACTTTATAAATAGCTAAAAAGAAATTAGAAATAGATTATCTTTTATATTAATAAGACTAATAGTAAATACTAAAAGTAACTTATAAGCTAGAATTATAAGTTAAATAGTAATTAAATAGACTAAGAAATCTTAATAATAATATCTAAGAACTAATATATATCTTCTTTATTCGAATAGTTTCTATCTCTTTTTTCTAAAAATTTAGAAATTTAAGAAGAGATAAGACTAGAACTAATTAAAGCTTACTTTAATCTATCTTCTATCTCTTTAGATATACTCTTTACTTCTAATTTATTAATAGAATTTTAAAATACTTAAAAATCTATAATCTTTACTTCTAGTATAATAATAAAGAATCTAGCTAATATATCTACTACTAGTACTTAAGACTTTAATTAATTCCTTAAAGGAAAGATATTACTTCTAAGATTAAAAGACATCAGCAAAAAAATCTAGCTCCAGGCAGCCGCCGGCTAGCCGCTAAAGGCGCTATTTTCGCTATTCCAGCCTAAGTTACATGTCGATTAATTTGACAGCTAGCGACCCCTAAAGCGGTATATAGTAATTTTAGCCGGCGCCCCTAGCGCCCTAGGCGCCTTCGACGCTATAGGTGCTTATAAGCCTAATTAGGACTAGCGTATAAAATAAAAGTGGGTCCGTTTTTTTATTTATTATATAAGATATATTAGTAAGCTTAGAAAGCTTAATAATACTAATCCTAAGGATATTAAAGGTACTTATAAAGATATACCTTATAAGGGGGTATTATTAGGCTTATATCGCTCGATTAGGCAAGGCGGCGACTCACCCCTGCATAGAATTTACCCGAATCGAATTATAAGCTTATTAGCGATTTTTTAGCGTGGATATTTATAGTATTAAAGGCTTAGCGAGACTAGTTTTAAGGACGTGCATAGAAAGTGCAGGTCTTTTTAAATTCTCGGTTAAAATCCACGCTAGTCTAACTGTTTATAGTTAATTTAAAATCTAAAAATAAACTTAACTTTTAATTTTTAATTCTAATTAAAAATATTATATCTTTCCTAATTAGGTCTAGCTTATACATAAAAGTGGGTCTTATAGAAGGCGCCTAGGGCGTATAAGGCGGCCTCTTATTTTTTAGGCCGACGTATAGCGGCCTCTTATATTTTAAGGCCGCTTTAGGCGTAAGAGGCCGTCGAACGGCGGAAATGGCGAAAATGGCGGGTGGCACGTGCACCCGGCGCCAGAATTTTTTGCTGATAGAGATATTATTCTTCTATAGAACTAATATTTTAGACTTCCTTAAAAGATATAAAGAGATTTATAATAATTACTTTATTATAAAACTTAAGTATATTAATTACCTCCCTTATTACTATAATAATATCTATTATAATATTATTAGAATAATTCCTAAATAGAAAGACTAAAATTTATAAGCTATCTTAGCTACTATACTAAAAGTTAAGTTTAAGAAGTATAATTATTAGTAGATTTAGAATACTATGAAATTCCTTTAAGAGTTTATTATAACTAAGTGAAATATATTTAACCTTAAAGGATATTATTACCTCTACTCCTAAGTATTAAAAGCCTTACTTAATAAGTAAGTTCTTAGTAAAGTAGATTAAGAATAACTATTTCTCCTTAAGTTACTTAAAGAGCTAAGAGCTAAAGTTATTAAGAACTATAAAGTAAATAATTCTGAGCCCTAGACTTATAAGAACTATGAAATCTTCTAAGACTTTATTCTTAAAGCTACTAAGAGTAAGTAAACTATTAAAGCCTTATAATATAAGAAGAAGCTAATTACCGAATATACTAAAGAGATTTATAAGCTTATTAAAGAATATACCTAAGTACTAATTATTATAGAAGCTATAAAGAAGAGACTAATTATTATTCTATTTACTAACTATAGCGCTCTAATAGTAGAAAAGAAAGATATTAAAGACTTAGTATCTAAGATAATAGAACTTAAAATTAGTACTATAAACTCTAAGTTATAATAAATCTAATAAATACTAAGTAATACTCTTTATATACCTAAGTTTAGATAAGAAAGCTAAGGAACTATATAGAATCGTAACTGCTATATAGAATATAGTCCTTAGGATATAAGAAGTAGTAAACTAGTTAACCTTAGAGGAACTATAGGGATCAGAGTAGTAAGATATAGTAAGCCCTTAGTCTATAACTTCTATAATAACTAATTTAAAGTACTCTCTTATAGATACTAAAATAACTATCTAATCTTTAAATACTATATAAATAATAATATTATATATATTAATAAGTATAGATAAATTTATATTAGCTCTTAATAAGAAGATACTTAACTAGCTATAAAAAAGGTAAAATAATCTTAAGTTACTATTATCCGCTTAAGTACTATCGGAACTAAATATAACTTAGACTTAGAAGCTAAAAGAGCCTATTAAAAGAAGTATAAAGTTATAAATAAACTAGCTAATACTCTAGTAACTACTATACCTTAAAATAAGAAACCTATAGTATTTAAAGGAATAAAGATTAATCTTATTATAGTTTTAAAACCCTTAGAACTATTAATTAAAAAAGTAGAAGTCTTAGTAGAAGCTATTTCAGGAAAAATAAAATAATAAGGCTTTCTAGGAAGAGTATAAAAGAATTAAGCTAACAGAGAGAAGGACTATAGTACTATCCTTAAAAAAGCTAGATAAGAGTTAGACTAAGTTAAAAAAGCTAGTAAGAAGATAGTACTAGATAATCTAAGTAATAGTACTTTAATATAAATAGTTAAAATTATATAAGAAACTAAGTTATAGGATCCCTTAAAGCTAGTAAAAACTAAAACTCTAGTTATTTCGAAATAAGAAAAGTAGCTAGATACTTATACTTTAGTTAATACCTAATAAGATATAATAGCTAATATTATAAGATAAGAACTTAGAATTAAGATAAGTAATTTATTTAGACTTTAAGCTTAGTAGGATCAGATACTTAATTATAATATACTTTTAGTTCTATATAAAAGAG